CAGAGGCGCGTCATGGAATCAAGAATAACGACGAGAAACGATTAGTAATTCAATTAAAACGAGTTGATTCCAGGATGGCATTCTCACGTCGAGATATTCAAAGAGATAGAAACGACGAGCCACGAATAATGCCGTAATGGATTGCGTGAACGCGTTTGCGAAGGCACGCGATAGCAGTAAACCGAGATGCAAAGCTCGGTTGTCGTAGGTAATGGTGTTGTAAACCGAGAACACGGGAACGCGAATCTGTGATCTCTCTTTATCTGGTCCAAATGAAATTTCGAATCGGTGATTCATAATAAACATCAATTTTTATTCTATTTTAGTACACGCCAGGAATTACTCCGTGGTTCGTCGTTTAATGGTTAAAGTGTACGTAGTAAACATAGTAAATTGGAAGTCACGGTTTCAATTCAAGAAGAAAACATGATATCATCGTCTTTCTTAAAATTTTTCAACTACGTGGACAAATATATGACTCAGTGAGAGCCTCGATTCAGCTTGAAACGAAATAACGACCCACCGGGGATATACTTTCTCTAAAATTACAGCTCCAGAGGTTTCCGTAGCTAATTCAGCGTGAAAGTCAATTATCTAATTTCATTGGTAACGTTTCACCATGGGATACATCAATATGTTTCGCAGAATTTTCCTGCCTGGAGAAAGGTTTTTTTAATTGGAACAGAGTATCCATTTGATAATTATACTTGATTACTGCGATTATAGAGTACCGTGTACAAGGTTCTTTTCAGTGTACCAGTCGTGTGTTAAAAATGCAAATACCAATGTGGAATTCTAGGAATTCCTAAGGGTAGAAATTGGGAGCTAGGAATTCTCTAGGGTTTAAACTTGAGCCTAGGAATTCCCTAGCATTTAAACTCGGACCTGGGAATTTCTTAGGACTCAAATTCGGATCTAGGAATTCCCTAGGGTTCAAACTCGGACTTAGGAATTTCTTAGGACCCAAATTCGGATCTAGGAATTCCCTAGGGTTCAAACTCGAACCTAGAAATTTCTTAGGACCCAAATTCGGATCTAGGAATTCCCTGGGGTTCAAACTCGAGCTTAGGAATTCCCTGGGGTTCAAACTCGAACCCCTGGGAATTTCTTAGGAGCCAAATTTGGGTCTAGAAATTCCTAAAGGTCCAACTTCGAACCTAACTACACACCAGCCTCGAATTGTCTACAGATCCTAAGATATAATCAGTCTCCATCCGGGCATGTGCCTTCGGGTATGTACCTCGACAAAGATCTCAATTAAATAAACTCTCCGGTATGCTCGGCTCAAATAAAAGTTCCGTATAGTTAAGGTCAGTAGGTCGGCGTCGTATCAAATGAAATATACGAATCCAGTCTGACCGAATTACAGCAAGGACGCGGGTAGTCGTGTTAATAATGCATGCGGCACACGTAAGTGTCCATCTTTGTCCGTTTACCCTTTCGCCTGTAAATCATGTCGTCGTTTGATGCATCATAGGGTTGCGACCACGTTTCCCTCTCTTCTCTAAATTTTTCTTTCAATTACACACGCGACTCGATTTCCTTTGATGTACCGCGGACTGATATTGAATCGCGTGGCCGCAACCAGTCTATATACACGAAAACCACACAACGAACGATCCTTTTTTCATCGTCGAATCGAGACTTCGTGAAAATTACCCTCTGAATAGAACGGTGAATTGACTTGAAATTCAAGTGAGATTGAAAAGGAGGATTGTGTGTATTATTATCGAGTTGCAGACGGGAAGATTGTGAAAAGATGTTTAAAGAATTTATAAGTTTCTTCTCTTTCGATTCTTTATGTATTTGGAGATGGTACTTTTAATTGATCGCTTTTGTGAGGACTAATAAAAGTCTGGGGATTGATCCAATTATCCGTAGAAACTTAAGATCGTTTCATTTGATCAATGTATTAATCTGAATAATTAGAGATCAAGTTTTCTGGGTAACATCTATCTTCTTCCAAACCACCCTCGGTGCGTCCAACTAGAACTCTCTTAAAAAGGAACTCTAAACGGAAGGTGTTAAATAGTTGACAAAGTGTAAAGAAACGTGCAGAAAAAAGCGTCGGTGATTCGGTAAGGTGTTAAACGGTCTCGGCTCACTTACATCACGGCCAATTTACGCTCTCGTCACGTTGAATCGCGTGGAAGCCGGAAAATTATGTAACCGAGATTCCACGATAGCCACGATTCGCCAGTAAAAAGAAAAAAGCAACAGGGATCTGCACCAAGGGGGAAAAATAGTCTCGGAATGCTCGTCACGGAAAGCAGACGGGATCCGTTCCTCATGAATATTAATTTCGCCGACCTCGAGCAGGAAAAAAGAACGGCACGGTCGCGCGAAACTGGTGGCCGACAACATTATCAACGACTTCTATGTATTGATATACAGGCAAAAATTAATAAGATGTTATTATCAACAATACGTTCATAATCAAATAAGATGCCGAGAGTCAAATAGTTTATGCCACTGGATCTACTTCCTGGACCAAAAGGCATTCATAACTCAATACGTGAATGCAGAATGTAGAAATATAGATAAGGGCTATGAAAGCCGGCCCCCACCTGGCATAGGGACTTTTGGTCATTACCAGTCAGTCATTTAACCCTTTCGCTACGGCGGACTTGCTCGCGAATGCGCTGTCCCGGTACGGGGCAGTCCTAACGCAGACGCACTTAAAAAATAAAAATAACATAATAATAATCGCGTAATATAAAATTTAAAAAATTAAAAAACATTAGTGACCAAATTGAGTAACCTCCTTTTTCGAAGTCGGTTAAAAATAAAATAGAAATTAAATACAAGAAATCGGCAACTATAGAAATAACAGCGTAATAATATTCTGCTCGACCAAAGTTAAAAATGAATGCGAAATTCACCGTCTACATAGTGGGGCGGGAGACTAAAGTCACTGTTAGTAGCGAAAGGGTTAAGAAAAGCTAACGGAAGAACATCCTGTTGGATGCCAAGGAATATCCTACTTCCCAAAACCAATATCTATGCATCAAGGGAACCGGTTGCAAGTCCTACGACGTGTCGACAGGTCAACTATTACGCGAACACCCTCGCTTTATCCTATTATTTTCGCTCGAACGACGATGGACTCGGTCGACGTGACATCTTGGATTACCAGTGTCACGGTCAAACTTGGGTACAACTAGTTCTTCCTCCTTTAAAAAAAACGTTGAAAAAGAGCTAATTTTTCTCCAGGAAAAATGGTGACGAGTCGTTGAATGTTTTCGTATCCCAAGTGAACCAGAGGATTTGTGAAACAACAGGCTAGGGGATTCTATTGCCAGTCATTCAAAGTGCTCGACCAACCATCACCGGTTCTAGCGTTCCACCTAGAACAGACAATGCGATATCTCCTGCATCGAACCCTTTTTTCCTCGTTTTTCGATCACTATAGGAACAATACCGACATCCGACGAGAACGGAAACGTTTCATCACCTCAAACGATTCAGTTCAGATCCCGCGCAACGCACTCGTTAAGGATCACCCTATTTTAGATAATTAAATTCTCAGGGATTCAAGGAAAAGTTCGGATAAAGTTCTTCCATTTAAATGGAATATTTTAAGTCCGAGGAAAATGAATTTCTCCAGTGAGATTGATCCTGGTCCCGGTCCAGAATCAGCTGGAACGGCAAACAGATGCTCTTTTGTCCCCATGGATAGAGCGTTACCCTTTTGTTCAGCATTTTACGCAATGGGACAAAGAATGGGCGCTTCTTTGTGATCTCTTTCACCCGCCCAAAAGTGGATTACCCACGAACTTCGTCATTTGGAACTAGCCCTAAAGCCAAACTGCATTCTTTTCGCTTTTCAAGCAAAAGCTACCTTTTCATTTTTATCCTTTCAACCCTTCGCTATCAAACATCTCGAAAATAGTTTAATCCAAATGAATTTAAAAAATAAAGCTAGAAACCTAGAAATTATGCAATCTACCTTTGATTCCTGCTCGCTTTAAAGTGCAACCGAGCGGAATACTCGGATGAAGAGCAAAAAGGAAACGCAGTGGGGCACCAACGTTATAAAATAAGTGTATTATCACGTAAACGGATATGCCACGGAACCGTTACAGTAACTTGTATTGAAGATATACCGGGTACTGGAGCTAACTGGCGCGTTCGCATTTCCACGGGATCGTTTCCACTAAAACATTAAAACTTCCCAGACCCCGAGCAAGATTTACTCTTACGTCTTATCAAGCTAAGATTACAAAAATCATTAATCGTTAAGGTATCGAAAGGTATATCTACCCAGTAAGGTTTTATGCATTCAACGACCGAATGTGTCTAATGTTTTTTCTCTAATGTTAACTTGACAGAAACAAGAAACCGTTTTCGATGCTATCGGATGAAAAAGTCTCGCTCGTTGCATCGGCGAGTTGTGTTTCGTTTCGCCGGCATTAACTGAAGCGAAAACACAGGAGAGTCAGAGAGAAGCAAGGTAGAGCACGAGATCCAGTTATACTCGGGCTGTGTTAAAGATACGCTCTGTAAGCAGAAACATAATCGCAAAGAGGAGAGATACTACTGTTACAAAAGTTAAGGTCGCTACAACACGGCAAAATCAAAACGTTACATAATCTATTCACTTCCTATAACTATATTACAGATTTTTCAAAAAAAAAACAAACAAAAAACTGCACCTTTTTCTTTCTTCTCCGTCCATTATGCGCTTCCGGGTCTATTAGAGCAGAACAACGCTGCAAGGCATTAAGAATATTAGTACAATTATTTTCTTCAGAAAATTTTTTAAATTTCTAAAAAATACACAAGTTTAACAGGAAAGAATAAAAATGAAGATACTCAACGTTCTCCACAGAAAGCGGAGAAGAAGCTGTATCCGAGTGTCTCGGGTTACCTCCTCTAATTAGCCAGCCGGTATCGTAATAACGATCTCGTTAGAGTGTCTCCTCTCCGTTTACCACGTTCAACCCTTTTCACACTGAATTTCAGCCAAACGTTTAAGGAATATTTCATTCGAATTTCAGATGTGTTGGCAAAGGATCTACCTTTCTGTAGGACTGTTCGGTGTCCTACTGTTATCGAGCAACGCTGACAACAGCGTACATATTTTATCGAAGTACCAACAATTGGTGACCTCGTCCACCCTCAACTGGCTACCTCGCGCCCACTATGATTCATCGAGGGAGATAGTGATCGGTGGTTTCGAGATCGAAGAAGCAGAAGGTAAAAAATGGCAAAAATAAAAGAGATAAAACGACAAAGAACGTCTCCCTCGCACGTGTAAACTTCCCTTAAACTCGAGTCACTCGCTAATTGCTGTCTCGTCGAGACACCAAAGATTCCTAGTCCACGTTTCCGCTTGCCTGCACGAAAATATAATTGTTCAGTCGATAATAACAGTCTGGGAGACGGTTTTATTTTTTTTCTCTCCAGACGACTCGTACAACAATCAAGCGGAGAAGTCGGAAAGAAAGAGACCCCTGTTCGTATGTCGGGTGCTGCACAACACAGTTTTGGTGGCTGGAAGCCAGAGAGGCGACGAGAAACGATGCACCGTGACGATTCACGGTAGCGTACAGTCGTACGACAAATACGAGCTGTTGGAAAACGTCGACAATGCGGCCCGCGTCAACTGGGAACACTGGGACAAATACAAGTCAGCCCCTATCGGCGCAGTGGCGGCGGAAAAGATGTTCGTCGCCCGACACGCGGTTCACAATGGCAAAGAAACATCCCCGGACGCGACGACGCGGTACACCCATTATATAGGGACCCTCAATTCGAACGACAATTTCGCGACCATCAGCTACGTGAGGGACGTGAGTAATTGTTTCTCTGCGTGCAACGTTTCCCTTCTTCAAGAGCTAACCCTTTCTATGGGGGAGGGGATCTGTTTCTCTGCATGCAACGTTTCCCTAACCTAAACCTAACCCTTTCTTCTTATTTATTATTATTATTAAATCTGTTAGATCGAGAAAGTAGGAGGGTCGTGTTCCAGGGCATAACATTTTTATTTCATCTTAGGACGGCACCGAGGGGTCGGCAAAATCCGGCGACGTTCTGGTGGAAACGGAACCGATATACTACGACCTAAATCGAGTGAAATTGAATTGGCCTAAAAAGCGTGTGATCAAACGCACGGCCCGTGTACTGGGCGAGGCGATAATCGCGAATACAGGAGAGGAGGCTGCGAACGTGGCCAAAGCTTTCGGGTACGCTTACAAGTACTCGGTGTACTGGGGTCAAGGACACGCTATTCTGAAAGGCCTAAATACCTCGATCACCCTGACGAATGGGACCACTTTGCCGAAGATCGTATGGGGCACTATGGAGACCACCAATCGTACGGACGTGTACACGTAAGTGTGGATCAATGAAGAAATTTCTATGTTCTATATGTATATAACATTCTAATTTGATTATTTGAAACAGGGTTGAGATATTCTTGAAACCCGGTACAGGACTGAATGTTACTTTGAAGGCGAATTATACTGATATGGAGGTACCATATTCTGGGACACTGATATCTCATTACGAAGATGGTGAAACTAAATCAAGAGTAATAAGTGGGATACGCAGAGAAGAGACTATGTTTGATGTCACACCAGAATTTGGATCCATCTACTTCCTAGGGAATTACAGTCTAGTTCCTACCACTACCGTGCCGCCCACTACGGAAGCACCGAGTACCACCCCGTTGCCATCGACTGTGATCAAGGATATTCATAAACAGGACATGGATAACGAGGACCATGATGAAAACATGATAATAGCACCGAAGAAGTCGGATATGTCCAATATGCAAAGCGACGACGGTGGACCGTTATCGTTGAAGAATAAGGTAGAAGTTTCTTATTCTGGAACCTGTTCGTTCAGACTGAACGCTATGTTTATACTTTCGTTAACGATGATCGTTCATAGAATCACGTGAAAACATCTATGAGAGATTACCATATTTCCCAACGTTGCAATAGTAATATATTCGTAGTACAGTGAAAGGTTATTAACATACATACATACACATTCACATACACATACACAGAAACACAGTTGAAAAAAGAAAAATGAAAAAAAAAAAAAAAAATTAAGACAACCAAACATGAGATGTTGCTGTAATTTCGTACATAGCGACTATGGCACGAAATAAAAGCCTCCTTGATTAAATTGCTGATTGTCAGATCGCAGTATCAGCACTGACATATGCTTGCCTTTCGAATAAACAGAACTTGATATTTAATATGTACGTTCGTACCGTGTATATTAGGTATCAAGTTTTCTTTTAATGCAAATTTATATATACAAATATATATATACATGAAATATATATATATACACGTTTAGGATAGTAAAGGATGAGAGAAAAGAATACCTTAACGATGAGCTAGCCTCATGAGAATGTTAAGTACAAGCGATTGCAGCCAATGTGTATGTTAACAGGAGTAATTTGTTAACATTACCTCTATATTGTTGAATAACTGAGTGTAACTAATGACATTCCGTCTTTACTAATTCCGCTGTGAATCGATTTTCCAGCTAAAACTATTTTATGCCTTTGCAAAGTGTAATTTCTAGACCTTCTAGAAGAATTTAAAAAGCTTAAAAAAAAAAAGAAAAAAAAAAGGGAAAGAAACGATACATTCTTTGAGAATCGTGTTCAGAGAGTTAGAATTTACTGCAGGTATTATCTCGGGCAAACTAGCTTATAATGAGAAAGAGTCAAATGAAAATGAAAACGAGGGAAAAAGATGCGCGAGTTAATGCAGTTACAATATATATATTTTTGAGATTGCAGTATAATTTTAGAAAAGTGTAAGATTTATAAAGGTGTAGCGAGTAAGATTATGTAGAATACAGGTGGATGGGTACAGATATTTTCTTCTAAACTAATTGTAATATCACAACAGCAGTGACTTAGATATCAAGACTTTGAATGGTACAGGAAAGACTCATTATTTCTAAATTATTAATATTTCTGACTGCCGAGAATGATTTGAATTCTAGTAATTTATGTACCCATCTATCTCTGATGTAAAGTGATAGGGTTTGGAGATTCCTAGAAGATAACTGTTAATGGAAATTGTAATGGTAAAGGAATGCATTATTTTAATTTGTATAGATATGTTAATAATTTATGAGATACATTTCTTTAATAAGCAAAAGAGAAATATGGACTTATTGAATTTCGTGCTTGATTTAAATATATTTTAGTTCAATGCACAAGGAAGAAAATAGTATTGTCATATATTCTTAGGATTCCAGTAATATTTTCTTGCAAATTTATATATGTATATAGTGTATTTCTATATTATTATTAGATGTAATTGTTATCAAATTATTTAATCATTTATAGTTTCTCCTGATGGTATTAATCGTAATATTTTATTACAATTGTAATATCAATGAAAATAATGTGAAAGATTCATTTTAAACAGATGTCCATGGGTTTCTAATATGTAGTATTTATCAAAGTAAGCCTAATCACAACATTGTGATATTCAGTAAAATCTTATGTAGAATATAAAAGAATGTGACATATTCTGTTAAATAATTTGTTAATTGTCATAGAAAGCAATAATTTGTTGCAAGATTGGGACATGCGAGTTTTAGAATGATGTGCGTTTAAATGAAACAGAAGAAAAAAAGTAGGTAGAAAATGCAAGATATAACGTTTAATACTGTGAGCAATATTTTCTCATTGTGAATAAAGTGATGTAATGGATGTAGCCCCCAAATAACTGAATAGTACGTTTATCCAAGATAAAATTAATGAAAGAAATGAAAGATATAGGAAATCTATATATTTGGAAAAAGAAATTACTGCTTATTTTTTAGTTGCTTCTTCATATTACTGTATGCCTTTGAAAAAGTGTTAATAAAAATTCAAATGCAAAAAACTACATTTAACAGTATCCAGGACTACCTTTGATTTTTACAACTACAATTTTCATTCTGTAGATATATTATTTGTGTATAATCTATCATGCTGTACATTATCATGTAAATATAAATGCTATATATACATATGCAAGCATGTGCGTATTTATACCTGCATCTATCGTATACTCTTTATGTTCAAAAATACATATTTATATTGTATCATTTTTAAATTTTAGTAACAAGTGTATTGACATTATATAGTTTCCATTATAAAAATTGTAAGAAATATAATATAGAAATATATGACTCACCAAGAACCCCATACTGTTGTGGAGTAAGTCTTGCATCACCATCTGGACCTCCAGGCACAGAGGATATAAGCGACGCACGATCGCTTATGTGACTCCTACTGCTGGCTTCGCTTCTTCTTGCCCATGATACTTGTGACAATGCATCTACATTAATTAAATATATTTGTTAGAAAACACTAAATATTACACCTTCTAATAAATCGTTATTTTATGCTTAATACTAGTTACATTATTTTCAAATTACCAAAATTAGAATTCTTTGCGCTTGTAAATCTTTGTTTTATATCTCTCAAAGGTCTTCTGGAAGGAGCAAGAGGATGTCTTCTTCGTCTTTTTAAAAACTGTGCTAATCCTCCTAATATTAACGATCCTCCAGTAAGACATATAATAAAAATCTATGAAAGAAAAGCAAAATATATTGAATATTATTATTACACAATAAGTATTACATAAAATTTTTGTACAATTACGGTTTTAAATTATTTATAATGATAAGATAATTAAAAAATACGCGGCAATAATTTTTAAATATTATGTAATATTACAATTATCGAATGAAAATGTATTTATTCTAACCTCTAAATGGGATACTTGCTTTTTGAGTTCTGGATAAATTTATCGATGGCAGTGAAATTATGTAACGTTTATACAATGTGACTAAAAATTGGTGTGCATTAGAAATAGACATCGTAAACTATCTTCGTTACAAACAATATAAACGAAGATTTGAACGCGGTTCAAACCAAAGACCAAACATTAGTTTCGGAAGGAACACTGCCAAACCAAATTCGTTTGTGCGGTAAATATTCAAAGTACAGCCTGCTACTATATTCATACAAGATGTACAATACCCAGAGATTCAAGTTTAGTCGCGTGTTTATTACATCATTGTTCCATTGTAAATACAAGTTAAAAAACATGGGGCCAATGAAATTAACGGATATATTATTCGTTTAACGAGAGAACATACCTGTTTCGCGCAGTTCAGAAAGGCCCTTTCCTCTTATTTCTAACTTCATGGCCATATACTTGGTGGACGAAAATAACTAAATACAGGAAACAAGCGTCCAAAGTATACTGAATATAAGATCACCATATATATGCTCCATGCCGCCCACGCGCCAGAGATGGGATATGGGACGGATTTTCTCACGCATGCGCGGCGATTTTAGCATCAGTATAGTATAAGTTTCAATAAAATGGGGTACCTTAATCACCCTGCATAATTTTACTAAAATTGTTATGATCTGATTGTGAAAAATGGATGTATAACATATATATATACATAATTCACACTTTTCCTTTTTTCGGGGATATAGGAAAGGGACGAGTACTAAAATAATTGTAAACAAAACTGACTAGTGACTAGGGCCTAGGCCTAGTCCCTAGTTGCGCCACCACATAGATACGTCCCTGCAAAACTCGCGCATGCGCAGGAAAATCCATCCCCATATACCATCTCTGCCACGCGCTTGCGCAGACGAAGCATGCTTGAATTTTAATTTTTCAAAACTGAACTAAACAAAAATTTGTATGTCTCATATTTTCATCCAAGTATGAATAAAAAATTATTCAAATAAGTTATTGAAATGTTTCCTTTTTTATTCTACTACTTGGCTACTTTATTAGTAGCTATTGTAACATACAAAATATTGTTTAAAAAATAAATGTTTTATTTATCAAATATTCATTCATATACTCCTCACAATGTTAACAACCTATCACACAAAAATAATGCTTTATTCTATATTATCCCAATTACTGAAGTCAAAGTCCTCTTCATTGAACTCCAGTAATTCTTTAAAGTCTTGCGATGCTATAGAAGAACAACTTTCTAGTGTCTGTTGGACTGTATTTTCGTTGTTTTCATTTTCATTATTTTGTACTATCTCGTCATCAATTGAGAAATCGAACTGACTACTGTCCATAAAAGAATCTAACGTTTTTTGTTTTGTACTTAATGTTTGTTTTGTTACATCAATGTCTTTAAGAGAAAAATCTTGGTCAAGTCCAACTTCGTTTAACACATTCATCTTTTTTTGAATTAATGGCCATAAATAATCATCTGCAGTATGTTTGGCAACCAAATACTGAATCACAACATTCTCATTCTGACCAATTCTATGTACTCTGTCCTCTGCTTGACATAAAACCTGCAACAAAATATACAATGAACACAACTATAAATAATTATTATTTTCCAAAATACGAGTAATATATACTCCGGGATTCCAAAACAGCTCTGCAAAAACCACGAGTTGTGCAGCTGTTAAAGTAATGCCTGTGTTAGCGGCTGTAATTGATAAAATTGCAGCCAAGTAATCATCACAGCTTTGAAACTTATCAACTTGATATTTTCTACGTTCAGGATTTGTTTTCCCATCGATTCTAATATATCTGCAATAAAGTTGAACATAAATAAACAGTACATCTTTGGTCGTTACTGTTAAAAATATAATTACTTTATGTCCATGGACTCGGCAACTTCTGAGATAGCATCTAAAACATTTTGGTGATGAGCAAATATAATACACTTCTGTTTGCTTTTCAACAGCTTGCCAATATAATCACTAAAAAATTATACCGTTTTAAAAAAAAAATATTATTTGCAAATATGATGTTTTAATAGAGAAACAGTATACCAAATAGCTTTTTGCTTAGCATAACTACATTCGTTATAATACTGTAACAGAGTATTATGTCTTTCTACCCCTCTTAAAGTTTTCCGTTCCAATTTTGCGGATATTTCTTTCATTTCTTTGGTAGAGTTCTTTATTAAGTTTGGATCTAATACAATCACTTCCCTACAATTTGAAGACTATAAAAAACGTTTACATTCAAAATAACATGATTTCTTACCTCTTTTTTGTTGGTAATTCACGTAATACTTCACTTTTTAATCTTCGAATTACGCATGTGTGTTTTAATAATAGTTGCAATTCTTGCATATATGATGACCCTGTAAAATCCCAACCGAATCCTTTCTTTTCTCCCGCACAGTACCGAATTCCGTATTCCTGATAACTATGTAAGAATCAATTTCTTAGTTATTATGTAATATTACACTTAATTATTGGTTTACAATACCTCATGAAATTTGGCATTATAAGATTTATCTGAGAATATAGCTCTATAGGTCGTGATAAAGCCGGTGTTCCGGAAAGTAAAATAACATTGCATGCTTGTGAAACTACACGTTGTGCAGCCTTAAATCTAGCAGTCTTAACACTTTTTAAAGCGTGAGATTCGTCCTGTATACAAATTCAAAAATTCAAAACTTCTGCATAATATGAATGTGCAATCTTATAATATGTACCAAAATGACGAAGCCAAATGTTTGCCGTTCAAATGCGTTCACAGCTCGTACTAAGAGATCATAAGTTGTAATAACAATTTTGCTGTTGCTCATAAAATCTTTCATACTTGAAAATTGATGAACATACTGGGCAGGAACAGATGGTAAAAACCTATATATTGCATCTGCCCATTGATATCTAAATTTCAAAAATTGCCTTTAATGTACGTGATTATAATAAAATGTATTTTATTTTAAACAGTGATAGTAACCTGACTGAAGATGGTACAACAATAAGAAGAGGCCAATTCCTTTTAAAGTAATGGGCAATTCCCAGTGCTTGAATGGTTTTCCCTAAACCCATATCATCAGCAATCATACAACGACCGTTTTTAGAAATCCCATAGCTAAAAAAAGAAACATATCTTAAGTTTTGCAATAATGAAATAAAAATATTAAGTAATTAATAAAATTCTACCATATTCCTTTACGTTGAAAGGGCATCAAACTTGCCAATAATTGAGGATCAATTCTTGATAAGTCAATATTCTCATCAGTACTCTCTGAACTGGTATATTTTTTGAATAACTAAAATAAAAATAGTTTACAATACGAAAGTTAATTAGTAGTAACATTTAAATGTAATTTAAATTTTACCTCAATAACTAATTTTGGCAATCCTACTATTTGTACATCAGATTTGAAATTAATCACTTTCTCCATTAGTGTTTCATAATCTTTCAAATGAAAATTCCAAGTTTTGGCTTTCATATCTGAAAAAGATAACAAGTTATATTTATTTAATGTTAAATTAAAAACATAACAAGTATTTTGATATATTACCATATGATCTGCTTGGAACTGTTTTTAAAGTCTCTATAAGTGGAGGAAAATATGACGATGTTTCTAAAGTAAATCTGTCATCGCTTATCATGTAACATTTTCCTGTGATACGTGACTTTTGACCAAAGAATTTCTTTGTCGACATTGGATTGAAACGTTCCTTTTGTTTATTAAATTTTGGAGTATTCGAATGATACCCAAATTTTGATTTGACTTCAGCATCCTTCGCTTCATAATGTTCAAAAGGTTTAACTGTATTCATTGACTTATTTTGATCGAACATAGCATGGTTATTAGCAGGAGAAATACTGTTTCTGCTGACACTAGAGTTAAATGAAGTATTCTTTACTTGAGCTTGTTTTTTACGTTGTAAAGCCAATAAACGTTTTTGTTCTATTTCTTCTTGAGAGTAATTCATAGCTGTAATTTAATCAAAAATTCCATTTGTAAATGTAAATAGAATAGCAACATAAATATAATTATTTTTAGATACCCACGGTAGAATAAAAAATTTAATTTTTACAAACCTGATGCGTATTTTTCATAAATAAAATAGTGCACATTTGATGTTATATTAAGAATACTAATTAATACTGATTATATTTCGTTGCCCATTCTTTTTCTTTCATAATTTAAGTCAATTTACGTTAAATAATAACAGTAATACTTAGTTTGTATGTACAAAATCCATAAACAAGTGCGACATCGTACACACGCAGTCTGATGCACACGACGTTATCACTCTAATACATACAAAAATACACACGTATTAGTATTTAATATCTAGGGAAAAGTATTTTACGATACTAAACCCTACCTATCACCAGGTATATTTACTTATACTTCAGTAACATTTGATTATTAATAAAAACGTGGTTTATTTGTTAAATTAGAAAAATGACATATGCGCAACCTCCACAATTTAATCGCAGTTCTTACGATTGAAAATTTCTAATTTTTGTATTTAAGTTTCTATCGTTACTAAGTTTTTTCGTAACTTTCATAACAAGAATTAATTATTAAAGAGCATTTTTAATTATTACACTGTTTGATTTTTATAATTTGAATAGTTATGACATTTTAATGGTTTTGTGGATTTTTTGAATAATTCAATCTCCAGTAATAGATGTAGTTCAAATGTTTTGTAACATTGTCCTTGTACGTTATATTATTTAAGCACACCCTCTTATTTTCTTAAAAACAATCTAAATTATTTATATTTCACAAATAATAGCCAAAATATATACCATGTCAACGTCGAATGAACCTGCTAGGAAAGGACCAGTATCACGTACGTATAACACGTAAATTATAAAAATATTTAATTATGATGATAAAATAATTATTTTGGAATATTTCAGCTGAAAATCATGAATTTGTTGTTCCACAAAAGTTCGTTAAAACACCGCATGATATGGCAGTCTGGGGAAAATCAGAAGCATATTTTGTAAGTATTATATTAATTACAATACTTGATACTCTTAGTATTTACAAAATTGTAACAGAAGTACTTTTGTAGGAATACCTAGGATTTATATTAGCTTTAAACCAGGCAGTTCAAGGAAAAGCTTTAAATGTTGAATGCCAGCCAAGTCCTATAATAGATAATATTATCCAAATGCTTAACGAGTTTGATGCATGGATAACACAGATACCTCCAACTGAACAACCTCAGCGATTTGGTAACAAGTCGTTTAGAATATGGCATGAAAGACTGCAACAGGTAAATATTTCTTGTTTCTATAAATGCCTCTAAAGTTTATTAATCTAATATATTTCAGAATGGAGTGGAAGAATTGCAAAAAGTATTACCACAGAAATTGTATAGAGCTGTTCCAGAGATAGTTGAATATTTATATGAAGGTTTTGGTAATCCAACCCGTATAGATTATGGTACAGGACATGAAATGGCATTTCTGATGTTTCTATGCTGTATGTTTAAAATTGGTGCTTTCAAACAGGAGGATAAAGTTGCTGTAGTTGTAAAAATATTTAATAGGTAGTATATTTTTCATTTAATATAAATAGCATTTTATTTGTAAACTGAAGTAAATTTTCTTTCTGTAGATACCTCGAATTAGTTCGCCGATTACAGTTAACTTATAGAATGGAACCAGCAGGTAGTCATGGTGTCTGGAGTTTGGATGACTACCAGTTTGTTCCTTTCATATGGGGAAGTGCTCAGTTGATTGGTATTTTTATATTTCTATTCACATTGTGGTAATTACAAAACAAAATATAAAAACAATAAATGTTTCAGGTCATTCTCGTATAGAACCTCGCCATTTTGTTGATCAGGATATCGTTGATGCATTCAGCAAACAATATATGTTTCTTGGTTGCATTCAGTTCATTTCAAAGGTTTATATGAATACATACATATATTCATATAAGTACAGTGTTGTTTTTAATGTAATAATATTGTTTTAGGTGAAGACAGGTCCATTTGCTGAACATTCTAATCAGTTATGGAATGTCAGTGCAGTGTCTTCATGGTCCAAGGTGAACAGTGGTCTCATTAAAATGTACAAAGCTGAGGTACAAACTAATATTAAATCTATTTTAATAACGTGCTATATAATAATTTAAATATTCATACATTAGGTTTTAGCAAAATTTCCTGTCATTCAGCATGTCCTGTTTGGTTCTCTATTACCGATTAAGCAAGCTTTTGCATCACCCGTTGGAAAAGGACCTCGTAAAGATGATTCCGAACAACCATCACCACCGACTCCTCAGTAACGATACCTCACGAATGAGCTTTACATTTGTTAATGTAGATTGTAATTCAGTATTTATAATAAAATTGTACACTGCGATTGTATGCTATTAGATTTTAAATTATGTTTTTTGCAAATAACAAATAAGTTGCAACTTATAGACAATATAGAAAGCAATGAAAAATTATTGTAAACAAAATTGTGAACTATACGCGGCATGCATCATAGAAATCATTTCAGTATAAACAATGATCTATACTTCATTTGTATACAAACATATATATATATATACACATATATATATATACACCGACAGAAGCCTTCTCACACGGAACTAAACATATTTCATCAACAAATATTTTGTGACTTAATAATAATCAAATAAAATGAAAACAAATTATTGTGTTAAAGAAAACAAAATGTATAAAATATATGTTATAGGAATAATATTATTTCTAGTAATAATACTTTACGCGAATTCTGAAAAATCAAGTGGATTTTACATCGACGATGGGTTCAATCAGACAATTTTACATGAAATTTTTAGTTACGAACAGAAACGAGAAATGAAGAGAAAATTGTTAAATATCCTGGAATTACCTGAGAAACCAAAGAGAATTACACGTAGAGCTTTGCTAATAAAGAGATCAGCACCTAAATTCTTATTGAACATTTACAAAAATGTATTATCTAACGATAAGGACGCGTCAATTCAAAAAGAATTTAATTTAAGTGGTCATGATATTAATATCATTGATCAGAGTGACTTTATAATGACGTTTGGTGCTCACAATCCATACTCAGGTAATGCGTCTAAAACGAATCGTGGTAAAAGAATTTGGTTTGATGTATCAGAAGTACCACAAGATGAATACATTATTGCGGCCGAGCTAAGATTATATCAAAGTTTAGATAAAAATATTGAATTTAATGAAACTTATACAGTGGCAGTATACAGAGTGGCAAAAACGGAAAATGGAGGACGAATTAAACATTACATTAACTCGACTAATACTGTAACTGGAAAAGAAAATTGGATAACTTTAAATATCAATGATGCTCTTGAACATTGGATCAAATATCCAAAGGAAAATCGAGGGCTATTTTTAGCGGTACATCGTGTTAATGATACGAGTCATATTATAAGACCAGATGACATAGGAATTATGGGTGTTCTAGGAATTCCAGATAAGCAGCCGTTTATGGTAGGATTTTTCAGAAGTACCGGTAAACGTAGTAAACGTGAGACACTTCTTCAGCAGAAAATTGATATTATACCTGAAAAACAATATTCTAATAGTAGAAAAGTTCTAAATCCTTATATTACCTCTATAACAAAAAAGAAAAGAGACCATGTATGTAACATTAAAACCTTATATGTAAGTTTCAATGATCTTCAATGGCAGGATTGGATTATAGCTCCAGAAGGATATAATGCCTACTACTGCAGTGGAGAGTGCAATTTTCCACTGAACATACATATGAATGCAACTAATCATGCTATTGTTCAAACTCTAATACATCTGATGAAGCCAACTGAGGTACCAAAGCCATGTTGTGCACCTACAAAACTATCACCAATATCAGTACTTTATTTTCTTGATGACAGTAATGTTGTATTAAAGAAATACAAAAATATGGTCATTAATAGTTGTGGGTGTCATTGAGAAATTGTTAAACTAGTATTTTTTGATTTTTAAATTTTAACTATTAACTTTTTAAAAGAGACAAGAATCTATAAAATTTTCTTACAAAGTAAAAGTAAAAAGAAATAGACATTATTCTTAAAAATATGTATTCATATTACATCTGTATTAAAATATTTTAACAACAATAACGTATATGTATAAAAATCTTTTTTAATAATATTATAGTATTTTAATAAAAATTTAAAAACACTGTAACAGAAGTATTATATGATTAAAGCATAGAACGTTTTGTCCCTTGATTAATAATTCCAGCTGATATTAAAGTTCTGATTTCTTCTGGCTTAAAATTTAATTCTGTAAGTATTTCTGTTGTATGCTCACCTGGCTCAGGATTACCTTGGTGTCCTTTCGACACCCCGGCAGTACGAGATAAACGAGGAGCAGGATTTGGAATCACTGTATCTTCTTGGTCAGATGTAAATGTATTTCTTTCTTTATTATGTGCATGAGATGTAACATTTTCTATATTCAAAACAGGTGTTACACAAGCATCTGTGCCATCAAATATAGCACACCATTCAGCTTGAGTTTTCTGTTTGAATATTTTCTCGAGTATTTCACGATTTTCATCGAATTTATCAAACTGTGGCATTTCATTCGCTGAAAGGCCAAGTTTTTCCAAAAATATTTGATAAAACTGTGGTTCAAGCGCTCCAACAGACATATACTGTTTATCTTTTGTTTCATAAGTATCATAGAAATGTGACCCACTATCTAATCTATTGAAAATGATAAAAATTTAGTAATAATAATATTATCTTATTATAAAATGCTTACATATTTTTGCCACGTGCTTTCCCCCATAATCCTGGCATCTTTTGGGATCTGAAAAGCCAACTCCCTAAGTACGCTGTTCCATCTACCATTGATGCATCAACCACCTGACCGATGTTACTTTTAGTACGTTCAAACAATGCCAAGAGTATTCCAAAGGCACACATTAATCCACCACCACCAAAGTCAGCAGCCAAATTAATTGGAGGTGTTGGCTTCTGATCAGACCGACCCATCAAAGATAATAAACCTACGTAGAATAAAAAATTAACATTTCAGAAAAAATTGCATAGTTTTATTAGAAATACTACAAGTTGGTATTACCAGACAGTGCTAGATAATTTATATCATGTCCAGCCATGTTAGCGTAAGGTCCTTTATGACCAAATCCACTTAATCTAGCATATATCAATCTCTTATTTGTTTTTGTGAGTTCTTCTGGTCCTAGTTTCATTTTCTCCATCACACCTGGATTGTTACAAATCCTTTAACTTATATAATTTCAGACTACAAATTTTCATAAGTAGTATGAAATACAGACCAGCTCTATATGGATCTATAAGTACATCACTTTGATTGCTTAGTTTCTTAAATATACTGATACCTTTTGGGCTTTTTAGATTTAAGGCAATTGATCTCTTTCCATTACCAAGAGAATCGATACTATGAAACGTGTTAATCTGTAAATGTAAATGACAATTAGATTTGTTTAACATCACTTTTAACTTGAGCTTAACAATAATTGTATAACTGTAAGTTTAATATTCACTGAAACAAATAAGTAAATACATTTTAATTATACCTTGTCAACTTTAATCACCGATGCACCAAATTCAGCCAATATCATTCCACAAAAGGGGCCTGGTGCAAGACCAGCTAATTCTAACACTTTTACTCCTTTTAAAGGCATATTCTTTACAAGTAACAGTAGAATATGTTGTATGTTTTAAGAAATAACATAAAATGAATCTACATTTTTCCAACGTGACTTGCATGTTATTTACATACTTAAATACATATTTTTAAAAAAACCTGATTTTACATACGGTACATAATTAAAATATTAGAATCATCGCATACATTTTTGTAGCAATTTGTAGGCGATGCGTCTATAAACACAATCAAACACAATAACACAACAATAAGTAATCCTAGAAATCTTTTCGAAACGTAGTTATTTTAAAGTTAGTATTAAAATCTCTAGAAAATGTGTTAGGTATGTTGGTAATACCGACGCTGTGGCGTGCAGAAAACAAATATTGTCGTTGTAACCTATGATAAATTAAGATTCATTGTTTATAGGACAAATTCCATTAGAAAATTGTTAAAATGAATCCAACGGAACCCACTAGTACGGAAACGCTAAGGTAACTTAAAAGTATATACAAATTGTATGAAATAATATTTCGATGTATTCGTACAGTAATATGCCGGTCCACGGTTTACAAAACTTTCTTTTTCACAATTATATTACATATTTACAGTTCCAAAATGAAAGATGTTATTGATGTATTAGCTATGCAGCGAGAAAAAAGAAATACTTTACAAAAAAGTATTATGCTTGATTATACTAAAAGTAGTGACAGTTTTACAGTTTCAAGATTCATATTTGAATGTGGTAAGCATCTTAAATCTCAATGGAGTTACCTTTGTCATAACTAGTACTAACTATATGTGTAATTATAGGTTTAAAACTAGAAGCACACCCATTGACTATTGCTACAGCTGCAACTTTATATCACAGGTTTATAAAAGAGGCTGCACCAGGGGGTTATGATAACTATGTAAATAATTTGTTAATTAATGATTAATATTTATAGTCCACAATGTTTAATAATTGTTTTTTATCCTCTAGCTCATTGCTGCAACTTGCCTTTACTTAGCTGGAAAAGTGAAAGATGATAATTTGAAAATAAGAGATGTAATGAATGTATCTTATAGCACATTACATAGAGGATCTCAACCATTAGAATTAGGAGATCAGTATTGGAGTATGAGAGATGCAATTGTGCAAGCAGAACTTTTAATTATGCGTATGCTGAAGTTTCAAGTAACTCCTGTACATCCACATAAAGTAAATATTTAAATACTTTTCATTTGAGTAACACAATAAATGTATTAAATACCGAAATATTATTATTTCAGTACATGTTACATTACCTAAGATCTTTGCAAGCATGGTTTGGGGAAGAGGAATGGTCTAAATATCCTGTTGCAAAAACCAGTATGGCACTTTTGCAAGATTTTCATCATTCTCCAGCTATACTTGATTATCCACCGAATTTAATAGCAATTGCCTGTATTAATTTGTCATTACAAATTTATGGCGTTGTGGTACCATTAATGGATGAATGTGATCAACAACCCTGGTTCAATGTAAGAGCAACATTTATACAAATTATGAATTTTTGAAAATCTAAAACGTAATTGTGATTGTTCATAGGTTTTCTGCAAAGAATTAACAAGAGATAAACTTTGGGAAATAATGGAGAAAGTTATGGCAGCATATGATGAAGAACCAGAAACTAGAGATAATTAAAGCACTGTAAAGTAATTTTTAATGTATAAAAATATTTCAACTCACTGTATATTTACACAGGTTTGGCATTTTTCTCAAAAATAATGATATTGAAAGAGTACAAAAATAAATCAGAATAATTTTAATTTCTTGTTTCATATTTTTTTAAACCATGTATATTCATTTTAAATAAATACTATAATAAACACACAAAACAGTATTGAAACTAATTTTTCTAATTACATGATTTACCAGAGTATGTATTTTCAGTAAAGCGGAATTTACCATTATAATAAATGAAATTCATACAAATTTCTATTTTCAACAATCATTAAACAATCTCTTTTTTATAAAATTCCTTTTAAAATCAATTAACATGTTTGACAAACTTGCGGTTTAAAAAGACTGCCTAAAATTAAAATTTTTTTAATTCGATCCTAGCGCCACCTATACAAAAATGGTTCAAACTATTCAACAAGTTACCGACTAAGATTCTAAAAGAAGAATGTTAGTCGGTAACTTGTTGAGTAGTTTGAGCCCCTTTTGTATAGATGGCGCTAGAGTCGAATTAAAAAATTTTTAATTTTAGGCGGTCTTTTTAAAATGCAAGTATGTCAAGCAAATAATTATTTTAATAATTCTTTGGTCTTGTGTTGATTCTAATTGATTTCTAAAAAGAAGAAAGGATTAGAAAGGAGTCGAAACTGTGTCTTTACGGTTGTGAGTGCGAGATGTGCTAAAAGAAACTGGTAAAAGAGGCACGATTGTTATACTAACTGTGTTCTCTGCAAAGAGAAGATCTTATATTTACTCCAAAAAGGTGTTATACCTTCTTGTCTACTCTTTTTTCTCTACGTACAGACCTATCTTCACCTAGGGGTGTCTGGAACCCCAAAACTCGTCGAGAATAAAAATATGTCCAGTCTTTTTGTATCTGTAGTTACTGCCAGTAGTTTGAAGCAGTTTGAAGTTCGAACATGTATGAAGTCAGTCACTATTAAATCAGTATTAATATAAACATATATAATCGGCGTTTATTACTATTTCTCCTCGACTGCAGGAAATTATTTCTTGTACATACAAAATATTAATGCACATTGTAATATTCATTACATTTATGTTATAAAATAATAAGTATACGTTCAGAATAACGTCGAACATGACATTACTGCGTAGTGAATATTTGCGGGATTCTTATACGAGAAATTTAAAATAGTTTAATCAAGTTTTAATGATACATCAATGGAGCAAATGGATATATCCTCACCGTATACAATGAAACAAGAACGAGAGGAATATGATATTGGAAATTCTGACGATGATAACATTAGTCTTGAAGACATCAACAATCTCCTTTCAATATCATTACCTTCTCTTTCAGCCAACAAGTTTCAAATACCCAATGATCAAAATGACGAATTTCTTCGGCTAACTACTACGGCACGTACCCTGTACACAATAGGATAATTATTATATATCGAATACATTCAGTTAATTCAAAATATTATTTCTTTTAATTCAAAACTTTGTATAATCAAATTACTTGCATTTCAGGTCCGTGCTGTGTATTTTTCATATCTTCACAAATGTTTACTCACCAATTACATTCTTTGTTATAAAGATAAGAATGAAGATATTCCATGCGATCAATTGAAAAAATGTGCAAACCAAATGGAACTACTTGCACTTCGATCATCCTTAGAAGCAACTCTATATAGACAGAATATGTTAAAACTGGTAAGTCTGTTTATTAAAATAATTATACATCTAACAATTTGATTAATAATTGAAGTTAAGACATTTTTAGATTTCAGATGTAAAATCACACACATCAGAGAAAAAGACGTACAAGAAATTAATAATATTTTTAGAAACTCCACCTACTAAAGTGGATGTTGCAATTCAAACAACTAACTCATGGTTGGAGTTAGAAAAACTTGATAATATTCAGAGTGTTTGCATTACCTCTAACTGCGAAGAACAAACGCCACCAAATAATGAAGAAAATGATATTAAGGATGAGAGTGAAAATTTAGACGTATCTTCTCAAGTAACCATTTGCAATGACACTGCTTCACCTACTGTAAATTCCACTTGTTTTCATGACACAGAACCTAGTAACGATACAGATGATGAAGTCAATAATAAAATGATATTTGATGAAGAAACAATGAAGGAGGATAACAATAGTTTCAGTTACATGCAAGAGAATTCTGATGCTCAAATGATAAATCAAACCAGTGTTCAAAATGATGATGAAAATTCACAAGATTCACTTTTGCAACACATGGAAGACATGTTTTGTGACAGTGATGATAGTAGCGATCTCATGACACTAATTGAGAAACATTCAGGTGTTAGTAGAGCAGCTATGAGTAAAGAAATTAGTTGCCTTCTTCCACAGAATCACTCTAGTAGCATACCTGAAAGTAATGGCAATGTAAAGAGTAATCCAAAAAAGAGCAATAATGTAAAGCAACCAGACATAAGTAAAGGAAAATATAGTTTTAGTTACTATAAAGAGATGAAAGCTAGAGAATCAAATAAATCACTACCGCAGGAAAGTGAAACTAAAGAAAGTAAACAGAAACGTAGAATAAACAGTATTTGGTTTGTCGAACGCGTCTATCAGGTATCAAAGTTAAAGGCAAAAATGACAGAATTGTCTCTGAAAAATTATAGAAGACATGGACGCGTGAAAGAAAAATTCATTGAACTATTTGGAGAATCTGATGACGAGGAAATGATGCCAGATTCACCAATCTGTATCGAAGAACATTTAACTGCTTGCAAAGAAAGAATAGCACCATGGATTGTAAAGCATCTAATGCCATTCTACAAAAAGAGAAGAATCAAAGATAGACAACTTTTTAAAATAGTTGCCAAGCATATAGCTGATATGCTCATAATTGAAAATACATTTCCTGGTTAGTGTCTATTAAAATACTTCATAAGAAGAAATAAAACTGTATCTAATACATTTTATGCTTTTCTTTTTCAGAGCAAGACTGTGTGAGCAAATACATAGAGGCATACTTCAAAAATAAAAAATTCATTAAAACTAAACAAGATGTATACTTATAAACAAAAAGAAGTTTGCAGTATTAGCATTGCACTTGTTTCTATATTACGAGTTTGAAATTGAATATTAGATGATCACAAATATGTATTTTATTTCAAAGAAGAAAGATACAATAAAGGAATATGTTCAGTATCAATTACTCAGAGATGTGTATATAAGAAAAATGTAGCACAAGCAAGAAAGGATGAGTTATTTATAGAAGTTTTTCAAAGAATAATGTGAAACCTCCACGTGGAAGTTACTCAAGATGGTGTATTTTGAATCAGCAACACTGCTTCTTTGTTTATTAAGTTCCTTACACATCTTTTAATTAAAGTAGAAACTCTTTTATACTATTTAAATATTGAAGCTTTAAATGTAGTATGTAAGTTACAGTCTCAATTTTTCTTATGTGTCTTATTATTTATACTGATGTACAATACTTCCGTTCATATATTGATGTAAATGTGCACGCAGGCGCGCGCACGCAAATATGTACATTAGAATGAAATCTGCAATATAATCTACAACTTAAATGAAAAACTGTAAAATAGTTTAATTCTATGCCCTGTACATAGTCCCTTCAATAGCTGTTATACGTTCAAAATGTGTTAAATTGAACGTAAATTGAAAAACTGTAAAAACATAAGGTACATTAATTTTTCAGTATAGCACTGATATTATTTCTTATAGAAGTGTAACGAGGAGATTCAAAACGTCGTGGTTATATATATATATTATCATTATTAAACAAAGATATGAGTTGAAAAAATCTTAGATTTTTAACATTTCTTTATGTAAAGAATATCAAATTATAAACAATTTTTAAAAGATTTCACCTCCACTTATAAATCAATTTATCTTATCCATTTAGCTTGTGATAGCACAGTTTACAAACTATGATTTATACACTACTTACAAACTGTCCAGTAGAAACCACTATATTAAAATATTAAATTTTTCTGTATATTTTTTAATGTTAAAATATTTCTGTAATATATATATATATATAAAAAGTTGTGACGTGTACAGAGAAAATTACCGGAGTTATTTAAAAAAAGTAAAATTATTTAGTATTTTTTCTACTGAACAATTTGTAAATGAATAACTTTTATTTTGATATTTTATTTTTAAGCCATACTGTGAAATTGATGAATTTCATGTGCTTAATTAAATTGCTGTATATCAGTTTACTTTTCAATTTCTGAAAATAATAAATGTCAAATTATGAATCTTGCACAGAATACCAATATTACCGTTAGAAAAAAATAAAATGAAAAGATTTTATTGATGTTTTTTCAATGATAATGATAGGTACAAGATCCTTCTGAATATTTGATCATGTGTTTGAAACACAAGAACTTCCAAAAACAAATATTCTAATTTAACATCACAGCACGAGAAGCTCGATAAATATTGCATAAACACAGAAGGATCTTAACAAATTTTGGCATAAATTTTTTCAAATAATCGAGAATAATTTCACATACTGAAGGTGGGAAGGAAAATATACTTGCAATAAGTCTTATTATAACTTATGTATTACGTATTTTTCCAGGTACGTAGTTCTTGTTTATTACAGGTTCTTGCAGAAACATATGTAAACATCGTTCATTCTGTGCTAATGGATGTCCTGCTATTCTGAAACACCGTACACAATTTTCTCTTATTTTACATGAATGTTAACAAATTACTTGATATTACAAATTTTGTTCTTATACTTACTTATTAACAAAAGCTTCTAAACCTTTCCTTCGATCTTCAATAAAATCTTCTTCAAAAATACCATCATCTCCTCTAAAAGGCATTTGACGCTTCCAAGCTTTCCCTGGTAGAGGAGGCACTACAATCTGTATGTTTGTACAAACAATTTTACTGTTAAACAAGGTATATCAACTTTCATTAACATTACTATAAACAATTCTAAACTAACCTTACTATCTCTTTCTAATTCATTTCTCAGCCACTCAAAGTCACTGTATCTTCTTCTTACTGTGGAATCTTTTACTTTAAAAACTGGAAGATTTGTCTGAAAAAAGAGGGTTTAACTTTTTTTATTGTACATTCTTAAAATTCGATACAAGAGTAACTTGACCTACAGATTATAAAAATACAAAATGCAATAATTATATTAATAGTTAAAACATGTTAATCGAATGATAATGAATTTGGTGCTATTTCTAAAATTTTAAGAGGTGATTCACATATATTAATTTAAGGTCTATAAATGGCTCCAACAGCATACATATTTTTTGTATCTACACACTTTTATCATTAAAAGTAAGATAGCAGACACAGCCCATGATATGCTTGATTAATGTCTATAACAAAATTATTACTGTTACCTTCGCCTTTATTATAATTAGTGATTATTTCATTGAATGACATGTCTGATACAAAAGAATGTGTTAATATAAATATCTAAAACTTACTTTAGCAAATTTAGCAATTGTATATATTTACTATCTGCAACATCAAACTTTTTCTATGAGAAAGGTTACAAACTACAGGAAAGTGAAATAAACAAGCCATAAAATTTATAAATGAATATAAACGGATAAAACTACCGATGTAAAAATTTAACGAAGTTTGTCTGTTTTGATAAAAATACATCATCTTTTATACTTCATTAAAGCGTTAGAAGAGAACCTGGCAGATAACTGTAGGAATGAAAACATTTGTGGATTTGCAAAAGCGAGTTACATATTTAAAGTAACTATTACTTACCCTCATGCGAACTTCATAATCAGTGTATCGTTTCTTGCCGATACCGTGTGTGACTGGATTAATCACGTCAATTTCGAGAAAATTTGCAGGTGCTGCGTAAGCGTCATCCAGGGTTTGTTTCTTAACATTTAAACGGCGTGTTGCGTCTACCGTTGTATCCGCCATACCTTTTAACTATAAATTAATTAAATTACTTACAAACCACCTAGAAAACAAATTTGATACAGTCGTCAACGAATGTTCATCAAATGACAGCGGTGAGAAACTTGACACAATTCGTTCTCATGTGTTACGTCTGTGGTCATGGTACACTGAAATGAAGATAGATAGGAAACTCGCACACAATCTAACCTATTCAACTACCCGTTTCTCAACATTAAATTATTAATTATAAGTTAATAACAAATGAAATTGAATGAAATTCTGTAACTGTCCCCGTATAATGTTATTAATAAGTAGGGATTACATTAAATAAAATGAATGCATTCAATTGAAATAACAGGTTAATGCAGCGCAGGTTAATCAGCTAGAAATTACCCGTTGACTCTAAACACTGTATGTTTCATGTAATAAATGATGCTATTTAAAAATATTTAAAAATTGATTGTATATCAATACTCGAGTTATTCATAACACGTAATTAGTGGTATGACTATTCACAGGCTAAAATAAAATAAACGTAACGCCTCAAAGAGGAATTATAATTATGATTAAAATGAAAACAAATTAATATATGTATACAATACGTAACTGATACGTATTGTATGATAATTATGAATTATTATTATTTATTTATATAGATTGAGATATATTTGTCCCAGCAGGAATGCCAGAAGCACTACTGTAAAATCATTAGAGTAGAACTTCTTTTATTGTATAAAACAAATCTTATAATCTATAACATAGTTATAAGTGTCTCATAACAAAGTTTTTTCTTTCCAATAATAATACAACATTTTGATAGTAGGAAGTACGATCAATCGTTAGGAATAAATCTATTCACACAATGAGGTGTGAAACATCTGCAGTGTAAGCGGCCGGTGATAATCTGATATCATCCGAGCGAGGAATGGGTCGTTGACGAATGTCACTGTCCCCTGGCCATGCACGACCCGGACTTCGCGGAGCCACATTCGATCTAGCTACTGTATCGACCGCTAGACTCACTGTTGTGGGATCATTAAGGCCGTTGCTTTGAATTCGTCGTTGGGCGGCTATTGATGCTCGCAAAGTTTTCCGTTTCTGCATATAAAAATAAGTAAATTAGAACAGTTCATATTGAGAACAAATTAGAATTATTGTTTTACTCTGACTAACACTATCAAAGATTTAGATGTTACATTACAATGTATGAATTGCATTATTTGCATTTCTAACGACTGCTCTAATTCATTTGCTGTAACATGGTAAATGTAAAAAAATGCAATGATGATTCAAAGCTTATTTCAAATGTAAACAAGCAAATTTGATAAAATACAAAATGCTGCAATTCTGATGCAAGATACGAAGGACATAATTCTTGTCGTATTTCGCATCGACCTGTACAAAGCGCGCAAACTCTAATTTTACGGCGATTAAATGTTATCGCTAAAGCTGGCAAAGCGTGGAAGTCTGTGCTTTTGTCTGGTCTATGCGTGTGTTTGGTTGATCATGTTCTTTTTATTGTATCGTTACGAGGTCTGTTAGAATTCCCTGCGCTGCTCCTCTTTTCTCCTGGCTGCTTGCGGTTTACTGATAAACACAGAATTCTGACGAGAGAGCAATAAAATATTGGAGAAACAAGAAGTATTACCTCTATAGCTCCTCTCCATTTATCTGCAGCGTGTCTTGCCAGTTCCATCTTCTTTTGTTTACGAATCTGATGCTTCTTATACGCCACCTCGATAATGATTAGCCCGATACCACCGATGATCCCGACTCCCACAACTATGAACACTCCAGCCATGTTTTTCAAACCTAAGGTGTTCGGAGTGTTCTCAAGTTGTTCGCATTGTTGTCTGTTGTCAAGGAAGATCCAGTGGTCGTCTAGGCTTTCCATGAAACCGCCTGTAAATTTATATTTTCCGTATACCATGAAATTTAATAGCGCATTGTACTTACTTTCATGGAAGTCTAAAATGGCGATGGTCACCGCATCCGCCCACAAAGAGCCTTTCTGTAAACCAATACCATAACCAGAACGTCCAAATAATTCTCCAGCAGTTACCAATTCACAGTCTTGCGCAGCTTCGAATTCTAACCGGGAACTGTCCCAAATGAAGGCCATAAGTTTCCTGCAAACCCATCGTTCTTTACCTAATTCATTTTTCAATTGTACAAACTTTATTCAATGGTTGTTGCTAACCCAATTTTAATATCTCTGATTGCTTCCTCGGCAGTGTCATAATTGTTAGCTTCCATTGTACGATACATGTTTGATAATTCCACCTGTCGTCGGAAGTACATGTCCACGGCGGAACCCTTCACCGTGGCACACGTAAGGTTTTCCATGGTGTTTCTAAGCTACAAACATATACATACATAATATGCTCATCTTTAATTAATTATTAATTAATTATTTAGGCGTGTGTAAGTTGCGGGGCCGGTCACCGGTGACCTCCATGCACGATCAAGTAATACATTTTCCTTATTCTTACTCGTGCATCGTTGATGCCAGTCAATTTAGTCTTTGGCCTCTCCAACACCAAGAATGCAGCCAGGTTGGCAGTATAAGATGCAACGATGATCATGGCGAATCCTGCCCAGACCATGCCCAACACGCGAGCAGAGAAACTTCGCGGAGTACCTATTACACAATTTTCATATTTATATATCGCTAAAAAAGGTCTCCCTTATCGACAACTCTATGATTATAAAGATATTTATACACAGTTCAGTTTCTGTCCGTTATTAATTGATTTAATCACGCTTGGCCTGATAAAAGAATACTAAGGGTCCATTATAAATATATTCCTAAAAGGTTCAATGTTAAATCAACGGACCTTCTCCTATTCCGCTGTTGAGCAGAACTCCCCAAGCGAACCAGACGGCGCTAGACAAGTTCAGGGCATCCTCTTCGGTACCGTCAGTGTTAGCTAGCTTGAACCTCCCGAAAGGCGAGAACCGGTCGAGGAGGTACAGAACTAGAGCCACTACGTGCACCGACACCATCACCAATATCCACAGGGTGTTGCTGAACGGTTGTAAAAACGACACCAACGTCGAGGATCTTGATGGCTGAAAATTCAGACTTTCTTTCATTAACACGTATTGGAGCGTATTAAAGCTCTAATTTCTAAGAATAGTAATAATTAATTTTCAAAGTTCAAATTTCAAGCTTTCTATTTGCCATTTCACATTATTTCTACCATAGCAATATTACTTAAAATATTGTTTTTCTATTGTTTTCATTTAATTATTTAGGCGTGTGTAAGTTGCGGGGCCGGTCACCGGTGACCCCGTGACGTTCAACGTGTTAATCTTTCTCTTATTGCACGTGTCCATTTCCATCGTGCCAGTCAACATGTTAATCCTGACAACGTGTATCTAATTACAGAGAGATTACTCAGCTGATTGGATTAGAGCTTAAACCTTTTATTGAATCTAAACTGCCTGTATTAGTTGAACCGAGCCATTGATAAACTCTTACAGGATAGAAAAATGTACCTTCTTTTCTAGAATAGTGATGCCCTGATACTTGAAGGGTTTGCTGAATTCTATGAATTCAGCGCGTTCAGGGTTGATCGTCAAAGGGGCAACGATCATGTCTGCTCTTTCGTTCACCAGCTCTCCGATCAGGCCTGTCCATTCTTTCTTTCCTCCAACTGTAACACCACTTAATTCATAATAAATTCTTTCCTCTCTTATTTAAGTACATCTTTTTCACCGAAACGAGGTCTTACATCTACGATTGTTCTACCATCGTTTACATCTCGCACCTGAACTGTTCTTGATCACATAGCTGCCGAACTGTCCATCGGGCGACAGAGCCAAACTGTAGGTGAAATTAATGGTCTTCGACAGTTGTTTCAACAGGTCCATGCAATATCCTTTACAACAGTATATTTTTGTACCTATAAAATTGACAGTGATAAAAAAGATACACATTGTTACAACTGATTATTAAATATTTACTTTGATAATCGGTGGAATTGAAATGAGGACACAGTATCTCTTCTGGTAGGCATAATTCACCGTCTGCTATTTCCCGGATGTAAACAAACGGCTTCTCTTCAATAGTGAGCACTTTTAAGTGCGTGGGAATCATGAAACCCTCCGGTTTGCTTGGTACTCGACCGGGCCAAGTTATGTTTGTCTCGTTAATGCTTAACTTCATCTTGGTACCATTCTGTAAATGTATGCAAGTTAGACAATGAAATAGCATCATATTATCTATTCACTTACAGACGGACAAAAGTACTGTCCTACAGAGACGTGTTCACCGTCCTCTTTGATATTGATGATATCGTATTCAGCATAAATCCTGTCTCCATTGTCATCAAAAGCTACTCTGCCGGTAGCACCATCCACCAACACTTCTTCCCGGATGAAACTAATCAACGAAAGGGATAATTAAATAAAGTTTACTTAACACTTTGACTGCCATTTCAATAGGAATCCATCTTTCATATTATTAGGAATTCTTTGATTTACCTAATTACAGATACTCGTATTAGATACTTGAAAATATGGACAAAAATATAATGAAATATTTTAAAGATAATATACATAGGATTTGTGAAGATAAAAGTAATACTTAATGAAATTTTCAATGGCTTTAGCGTGGCAGTCAAAGTGTTGAATTATAATCTAAGGTGAAGGTAAATCATACTCGAATAGATTTTTCCCGGTTTCCCATATGGAACCTGAGTCACCACAGTTCTTAGGCGCCTCTGTGATCTCCTTTGTCTTGTTCATCTTCCGTAAAGCGGATACGAGTACTATCCTGAAATATATAGCTCGTTAGACCGCAGGTACTTGGTAAGAAGTTTAATGAAACATTTGTCAATTCTTTAGATTTAATGAATACTTGAGATCTTTGAAACCTTTGACCTTTTCTATCATTACTTGTTACTTGGCAAAATTTATATTATCTCATATTTAATTATCTGAAAAGTTAACTCGTTGCTTTAGAATCTTAGCTTTACATAATAAATGATCAAGTTAATTAATTAATTTGAATTTGAATATAAGATTCTATCTTATCTATAGCAACGATATTCGGTACATTTAAAGCACAGTATGTTGGTGAACAGAACAGAGAATATCCACTGACAGATAGTAGGATCTACTAAAGGGTATGCAGAGTGATCCAGTGATCTGAAATCAAGATGTGCATGTTACTGTATATAGTGCATGCGACAGTATAACATCTACATCATAGGAAGATAGTGTTGTTCTTTTGTTAGAATTGTCTGAGTCTTCTCATGCGTAGAATTCCTTGGTTTTGCTTCAGCTATAGATGTGTAACATACATGCGTGGGATGTCTATGTACGATTAGAAAGGAACTGACAGGCTATCCATGATGTGAGCCTTCTCTTTCTCAGCGTTAATTAATTTCAAGCCGAGAAGACCTTCCGGTGCATTCGGCGCATCTAAGGCTTGCTCGGTCACGATCCAAACGTATCCTGCACCGGTCATGTTTAATTCTGCAGCATCTTGGAAGATCACGCTCGCGTCAGTCTTCCTATATGGATTAATAAACAAATGAGACTCGAATAAAATTAAACTCTGACATAATTGTACTGAGACTTACGAAGCGTATAAAAGGCAAACCCTAGCTTGGGCGCCTTTCATATCCATCAGTTGATGGCTGAAACTTTCTAGGCCGGGTTCGAATTCAATAACAGATTCTACCTGAAAAATAGATAAAAAATCTATTATTAATAAGTATAAAATCTTTTATTAGTTATTATTTAAGATTCAAAGCTACCACCTGAACCTTGATCTCCACGTCATCCTCCAAATTCTGAGAAGTAGTCTGAAAACGTCCAAGTAGAGCACGACCATCGGTATCAGAACTATGAATGAAAATCACTTTCATGTAATTGAAGTGTTTCAATAGTTCAACCCATACATCTGCCTGGTGCGAGTACGGTGGTACAGTCCTCAGAAAGGAAACATGAATGTTCTGTAAAAGGACAGTGTCTTGGTTAGTCTCTAATATGTATATAGATAGAGTATATTATATAGATATTCAACGTAATAATACCGGTGGTGTGATCTTATTAAGGTAATCTTATTTGCAGATGAGCTTATTTATTTTTGTATCAATATGAAATTTTTAAATATTTAAAATATTTTTCTTCAACTCACTTTGTCTGAAAAGGCTGAGTCTCTGGAAGATATACCTATAACAGGTATATGATAAAATCCACTGGTATAAGAAACAGCGGCTGGCGACAAGTCTCCCGTAAGAGGATGAGACACCACCACCGCGTACACCTGTTCCGCTATCAAATTCGTGCACACCCTCAAAGCTGTTCTAATTGGGTTCGAGTCCATTTCGATGACAGTGTGTTTATAAGTCACACCTCTGTTCACATATTTGGAGTTCAAGTTCAGATTCTGAAAAAGTAATTGGACATTGGAATTAGCAATGAGTAATGAATCAATAAATAGCCTTACCCTATACGTACTTCAAGGAACGTTTAAATGAATTCTAATAATTGGATTTCACTTTGTATTCGTACTTAACATCCTTAAACCATACTGAATTAATTAAAATAAAAACCGAGGGAGTTTTTATTGAATTGAGATATATTTTAAAGAATTTGCGAAGTGATACCGAAGCGAATGAAATGAATGTTATTGAAAAGTATTATCGTAATGATTCTTTGCTAATTATTGTTACTTACGCTTAATGTTTCACGGAAATAATCTATGCTCTCGTTGTTGGAGAAAACTCCACCGATCCTAAACAAGGTGGGATTGTTGAATTGGCTCTCGGTGAGTCCATTGTACACCTGCTCGTTCAGTACAATCAGCACGAGGAATAATGCGACTCGATCGTGTTCCCTCATTATGGATTTCGATCTACGGTGTAAAGTTGATTTTCAAGAGCGTTCGTTTAACATTGGAAAAATAACAAACTGTACGATGATAAAATACGATAATTAAGAGAGCAAGAATTTTTGAAATTCTACTTGAAATATTTACATAAGTGGGTGAACAAATGGTACTTATGAAAGGATAATAAAAATACAATTGAAATTATATTCTTATTTTGAAAAATCGTTCGTGTATGAAAAATTTGTTTGAAACGTACCGATCGGTGAACAGTCACTGAACGTTCACGTAGTTTTGTAATATGTATAAATTACTCGACGAGGGCTCATTTGAGATCGTTCACGCCCTTATCTTTCGGTGCTTCATAAACGGAGCCAGCGTTAACGTCGACCGCGAAGGTGGATCTGAGAGACAGAAGTCAGAGATTCATTGATCCGTTCGGATGCTGCGCACAGACTCCGTCCCCACTATTACAATTTTAGGGTGTTTTCGTGATTTTTTCGACCAATATAAAATTCGTCCATATCCCTTTTAACTTCGATCCTTCGTTTACATAATTCCAATCGAACAAATCGATCAGTTGAAAATACCTTGAAAAGTATTCAAAGTACCTTCTACAGGAAGGTACACGCAATACATCTATAAACTACCGACTGAAATTAACATAATTCAAGTTCCAATTTAACTATTCTCTACAGGAATGATTAATCCATCCCCCAAGGACCTTCCGAAAGATCGTCCCAATTAATGGACACGCTCTTTGCATAATCCGATCTAATTGTCCTGCGACCGGGTTTAAGATTCTCCAGTCTGGCGAGGACACGCGATCCTCGCGTAGGATCATCCGTAATGCAGGGATTAGGGGGTGTACCCGATTAAAAAGTGGAGGTCGAGGTGAAAAAAAAAAAAAAAAAAGAAAAGTGGGTCGACCGCAGGACAATAAACCGTATAGGCATTGTTTCGAAGCCACGTGGTGGTGACTACCACGGGATGCCAGTGCGTCAGTTGTGGTTCTCCTATCGATCCTGTAAGTTTCCATTTGGTGGCGACCTCCTCTGCGTGCGCACCCTTCTCATCTCAGTTATTTACCAAGCACCCTACGATCGAGTCGGGAGAACCTTGGGGAACGTGTAAATGGTGAGAGGGAAGTCGATCGGCAGGTAACGAGAAATTCCGAAGGGGGTGGCCAGGTCGAGGGTGTTAGAAGGTTTTTGCCGCAAGGTATCAGGGTATAGGCGGGGGTCGAACCGTTAACGCGGTTGTGGTAAGGTCTTAGTTAGGCGGATAGACATCGTCGGATAAGAGCCGAGTGTATCATCTTCAAGGAGGAATAGAAGAAACAAGGAGGCGGGCGAGACCGGTGGTATACAATTCGTCGAAGAAAGCGAACGGAGAACGTGAAAGCAACGTAACTCCAATGTATTACGGTCCTACTTGTACAAACGAAGCAACGGAAATATGTCGTTACCACGAGAATGGAGCTTGCAGGATTCGATTGAGCGTGATGCTGTCGCCTGTGCGACAGCGTCGCAGGAGATGGTCGGCACGACCGTCATCGACGAGAATATGAATCAACAGAATCAGCTGGGCTCCCTATTGTCGATACACTCGGCGCCTGTCTTCGATCTGAGCAACGGCATGCCATCGCCGAAGAGGCCAGCATCGTTGGCCGTCCAGGCGACGGCAACCTCGACACCTATTGTGCCACCTCACCTTCAGAGCCCGGAGACGATCGAGGACGAGGACAACGATAATCTCCTAACGATATCGAGTCTCACCGCTAGGCCATTGATAGCAAAGTCTCGCGAGCTACGCTCGACGAAAAGTTCCGCGTCGAAGAAGAAGAAACCGAAGAGAAACGAGACGAAGAAGCCGAGGAACATCACCTACGTTCCTTTGGACGGTGGCTACGGATGGATCATCGTTTGCGGAGCATTTTTCGTACAGTTTTGGGTGGCCGGATTGGTGAAATCCTACGGAGTGTTGTACGTTGAGGTGATGGAAACGTTCAAGGACTCCTCGGCGTCGGTCGCTTCCTGGATACCGGCTATTTTGTCTTGTCTTTGTCTAGCGCTTGGTGAGTAGATATCGATTAACAATTCCCACGATGCACGGTTGATATTGAAAATGTTCCTATAATTGTTATGCAGCTCCAGTGACGAGTATGCTGTGCCAGAAATACAGCTGTCGAGCGGTCGTCTTCGTAGGAGGATTGTTCTGTGCTTTAGGACTGACCTTAAGTTATTTCGCCACGAGATTGATACATCTCTTTTTTACATTTGGAATTTTAACAGGTTCGTGGAAAGCCAATAATCTCATCCACACGTACATACACACACACACAGCTAGTTAACTTCCTCCGCTTCCGTTACGTAACACACATGCAGATGGCAATGCTGAAATATAAAAATACATATTTAACAAGGAAAGAAACGAGAGTTATTCAACAAATATTAACACATAACCATTTGAATTATATAAATGCAATTACAGGCATCGGTGGTGGATTGTCAACGACACCAGGTATCATCCTCGTCTCCCAGTATTTCGACAAGCATCGCGCCCTGGCGAACGGGATATGCGTGTCCGGTACAGCAGCGGGTAGCTTCGTATTTCCGCTTCTGATCGAGACTCTGGTGAAGAATTTCGGTTTCCACGGGACTATCCTCCTACTGGGTGGCTGCATGCTCCACGTGTGCGTGAGCGCTACCCTCTACCGACCGTTGGAGAACAATTACGCACCCGAGGATGTCGTTATGGCGGATAAATTAGAAAAGGTCGAGCCAACGGCAAAGGAATTAGAAACGGCGAAGCAACAGAAATTAGACGTAATATTCGCCGACTCGACTACCAAGCATAATCTGTTGAACGAATTGTTTCATCAGAACAATGTAGTGGCGGTGGAGCTGACCGACAGCGACGAAGAGAAGGACGTGATGGGGGAGGCTCTAAGGCTGAAACCGATATCGAAGATACGTAGCTCGAGTATACTTCACAGCGTCGAGGATCTGTCGACCGACTCCACGTGCGTGTACAAGGCGAGATCGTCGTTGAGATCGTTGAGATCGTCGGTAACCGCCGTATGTCCAGTTCCTCAGAACGAACCACAAGTGCCGGAGGAAAAGAAGACTGTCATGCAAAGGATAGCGCGATACATTGACCTGTCGCTATTGAAAAATCCTCAGTTTATCATGATGTGCTTCTCCGTCAGTCTCATGTCCACCGGAAGCCCGTACATGCTTTATTATCTGCCAGCCTATGTTCACGCGGCTGGTTACACGAAATCGGAAGCTGGATACTTAGTTGCCATTTCAGCGGCGCTTGATCTATGCGGGAGATTAGGACTTGGATGGCTTTCAGACTTGCAGCTGTTCGATCGACGGAAAGGATACATCGGAAGGTGAGATACATCTGAAAATAATACGTATGGATATACGTTAAGAACGATACGAATGAATATTTATGATTTATTTTTTATTTAATAGCGTCGTAGGTGCTGGTGTAGCAGTACTGGCAATACCAATGGCCCATTCGTTCTATGTACTGGCATGCTCCGTGGGTATGTACGGATTATGCCTGGGCTGTTGGTTTCTCTTGGTACCCGTCCTTCTCGCAGACCAATACGGAACTGATAAAATATCCTCTACTTACGGTCTTGTCAGGATGTTCCAGAGTGTCGGAGCTATTTCTATTCCGCCTTTAGCAGGTAATTACGATCATATCAATTTTACGCTATTCAATATATGTTAAATATATTAATCGTTTAATATACTCAAAGGTACTCGATACTCTGCCTAGCAGTCGTCGAGGTATTGTTTGATGTATATAATAAAAAAAAAGGATTATTGTCAGATGATTAGCGATGATTTAAATAATTCTTTCAGGCTACCTGCGTGATGTAACGGGAAGTTACAATGTATGTTTTCTCTGTATGGGAACGTGCATGGTCATGGGTGGTCTACCTTTGCTCCTGGTTTTTAACGAAGTAACCAAGTCATCGAAGATGACCGTTAATGCTGAGAACAGTAACTGTCAAGGAGAGACGACTGTGAAAGAATAAGATATTTTGCGAATGTGATTGAATGTGTAATAGAAAACTAATAAATCGCAACATTTTGTCGCTACAATTATTCCACTATGATGTATTGCTTGGTTCAATGTATTCGTAACGTTTTACGATAAATACCTCATTCGCGGCAGGTAAGGGTGATTTCCATAAATTTTTATAAATGCAAGTCTCTCTCTCTCTCTCTCTCTCTCTCTATCTCGTTTTATTGGTAAATAGAATTCTTCTCATTTACACCATTTCATAATGAAGTAAAAATAAACGATGTAGAGCAAAAATTGTTATACGTATACACCCTGTAAAGAGTTGCTTCTAAAAAAAAAAGAAAAAAGAAAGATTGATTTATAGTTGTTATTTGCCTTATGTACCGCATTAACATTATGTACATTGTATTTACATGTTACATTATGATTATTTGTAGAAAACGAAGAATTGCGGCAGGTCCTGCGACGAAAGAAACAGTCTTAGTAGGAAATACATATTTTTCATACAGATAAAATGTAACTGAACACAGCGATCTTTAATAAAAGTTATATTCTTTTCACTTACATAGTCTTACTTTTTCTATCAGAAGATAATAAAATGAAGTATACGTTCTTTTTGTATCACAAAACAGTTTGCAGTTTTTATTAGTTTATGCATCAAATTCTATAATACCATTTCAATGGTTCATGATGCGATTATTGATAGATATCTTAAACAAACTGTTTAATATCTATATAAAATGATTACATCAGAGCGAATTAATAATAAATGCTAGTACTTCAGATGATAGAAGATATATGAATACGTAGAAAAATTATGTAGGTTTCCAGGCAACAACTCTCATTTTGTTATTTAATTCCTGTAGTATTAAGGAGCATGTGAGCTGTTTCTCTGGTGATAAACCATTGATACCTTGCACTTCATCGTCATCATCTGCTATTCCGTTATTACATCCATTTTTACCTTTAGTCTTTGCTTTTCTTTTCTTCTTCTTATTTAATTGTCTGCAGTCTATGTCACTAGCAGCATCTGTCGCTTTTCTTATCTATGATAATTAAAATTCTTTATTCATTTCAATTGTCTAAATACATAGTAGTGCATTTACCTTAACAAATATCTTACTTTCGCACTTTTCTTTGACTGTTTATCATATTCTAATGAATCATAATAATTTGGTTTCTGTTTGGGTCGATTAGTTTGTCTAGTTTTCATTACTCCATTGTCAGGACTAGGAGGACTTTTAATCGAATTACGTCTTGCATTGAAAAACGAATGCCCGCACGGGCATGCTTTGCAGGCAACAGGTACCTTAATACATAAATTTATTAAATTTATATATTATATTTCGTTAAAGTTCAAATTATTATATGCCAAAAGTATAAGACAAGAACAATAACATATAATACAATAGTTAAAACGCAATTCTGAATTAAAAAATGATTCATTTCACATGAACTAGATTTAGTATTTAATATTAAATATAAATTAATATAAATTTTTATATTTGCATTTAATATTAAATACATAAAATATTAAAAGTAAGATCAAAATACATGTTTTTGTATACATACAAAATTACCTGCTGTTCACATTTTGGGCATACTTTACTAATCGTTTTAGTCTTAGCCATATTCCATTTATTTGAAAAAAGAATTAATAGAGATAAGGTTATTTACAATTTTTAAATATGTCTAAGAAAGTGTATTGTTAAACCATATCACAAAATAATGACATTACAGCACAGAAGTAGGTTTTGGGTCGGTGAAAATACATTTTCTGACTTTCACTGTAACGATAAACATTTTTTTGTATCCTTCAACATCACGATAATAAGTAATGGCAGTCGTAATTCGTCATAATTCGTAATGAACAAAAGGAACATAATACCAGTGACTACAGATACAAAAAGACAGGACTTGTGTCTTTTTGACCCTGAATTTTAGGGATCTCAGATACCCCCAAGTGACGTCAGTAGATACACCATCCCCTGAGCGCTCGTTTTGCTCCGCCATTTTCTTGACCGTGGACAGACACCAATTTCAATATTTTATAACTTTTTGACAATTTGGGTAAAATAAGGACCAGAGTGCCATTCTTTAGGGCACTCCTGAACACGTCCCTCAAATTTCTTTGCAATCTGTTCAGCAGGAACGAAAAATGGTGTGTTCCCATTTCTAAGGACTATCGGTTAAATTTTCAACGCGATAGAATAGTGCAGATGTCGCTCAAAAACAAAGACATGTCCAGTCTTGCTTGGTATTTAGTCTTTGTTTAACGAAAATCTGTTGGGTTATGTTAGAGAATAGATGCCTGCATTTAACAACAAATAATTAATGACATTAACGTCGTGTAGCATTTATAAAAAAACTCGAGAAAAGGTACTATAAATGTATAGAATCTGTGAACGTTATAAAAAATATAAGATCGTTAGCCTTTGTAACAAACGAATTTTTGTAAAATTTTTATTTTTTATTATAGGTTCAGTATACGATATTAGTTGCTGTAAGTATTATAAAAAGAAGAAAAATCATACATTGTTTATATATTTACAATATGTTATAAATTTTGATATAATAAAGCATTATGTAAAGGCAATGGGTAAAAAATGAATACTTTAAATAATTCTGTTATAATTTGCGATACACCTCAAAAATTACCTAAGAAGAAAGTTTCATTGGGAACAAGAAGGGAACAGAAGGGTGTGAAAAAGACTTTTTATGAAAGTCCTTTGAAACATATTCAATTAAGGTAATAGAAGGTAATAAGCAATTATAATTACATAAACAATGTTGAAATAATTTCTTATTTATAATAACAGTAGCAAACGATGGAAACAAATACAGGCACAACGAAAATTAATGAAAGATGCTAAACAAATTATCAATAATAAAAAGAATTCTTCCTTGTTAATAAAAGAAGCATCTTTCCAAGATAGCATAATTATTTTAAGTGATAATGAAAGTGAATCAAGCAATCAAAAGGATCAAAGTAACTGTACAAAGAAAAGAAAGAGAACAAAAACTCAGGAAATATTGATACAAGATGATCAAAATTCTCAATGTTCACATGATTCAAATAAGTCTATGTGTCAAAGTGAAACTGAAATAGAAAAATGTCCGAAAAGAAGAAAAAAAAATTCTGTATCATCTGATCCTAATGCAACTTGTCTTTTGTTATCAGATACAGAAGATTCTGAAATTGTATCTGTTGATTTAGATAATGAGAATATAGGTAAAGGAATTAATCTATTTAAGAATTATAATGAAATTACATTGATTTTGCGTTTTTACTACAATTTTAATTTATTTAGCACCAGCTTCAGGTTCTTTGAATCAGAGTTCAGATGATATTGTTGTAGTATGGTCATCTAAAAAATCATCTCCATTGTCTACAAATTATTCAGGTGGTGAAAAACCTTTGACTGAAGAAGAAAATAAAATTTTTATGGTAGATTGTTGTCCAAATCCGGAAAACCTTAGTTTGTTAGAGTGCAATCAAGAATCAACATCTAACGAATGCGAAGAAAATACTGAAGTAAAAACAGATAAAGGTACTGAAAATAATGAAGACACAAGCGATGAAGAACAGGATCCTAAATATCTACCATTCAGTAAAAAGGGACTAAGATTGCCTAAAGCTCATAATATAAGTAAAAATCTTAAAATAAAGAGACCAAAAAGAAAAAGTGCATTTCTACAATATAGAAGAATGATGTCAAGATTCTCTAATAAAAGAATGCCAGTTACATGCACGCAAACAGCGACTAAGTTAGTCGGTGATGAACCCTTTCAAATTATAACTGGTGTTAAAGTAACCAAATTTCAACCTCCTAGATTTGAACCACCTAGATTTGAACTACCTAACTTTGAACCACCTAGAGTTGAACCACCTAGAATTGAACCACCTAGAGTTGAACCATCTACAGATGAACCATTTGGACTTAACCCATCTAGAGACGAACCAGCTAGCTCGAATTCATCTGAAAAATTAAGAGACGAATCAGCTAGCTCGAATTCATCTAAAAAATTAAGGGAGATAATTATTGATGGCAACAATGTAGCTATGGCGTACGACGACCTTCATTTTTTAATGATTATACTTGATATTTGTATAATTAAATATAATGATGTAATTTTATCATCTTCTAGGTACAAAAATAATAGAATGTTTTGTGAAGAAGGAATAATGTTAGTTATGGATTATTTTCAACGTCGAGGTCATGATGTAAAGGTATTTATACCCCAATATAGAAGGTCACGGTCCAATCTATCACTAGAAAAATTATATAAAGAAGGGGTAGTAATTTTCACACCAAGTCGTAAAATCGGTGGCAGATCGATCGTTCCTTACGACGATAGGTAAAGATTTTTTATAATTGTATGGTGCTTGATTATTCTTCAAAATCATACGAATGTACTACCACTCGTTTTCAGGTTTATATTAGAATATGCCACAGTAAGCGGAGGTATTGTTATTTCTTCGGATCAATATAGAGATTTATATCGAGAAAAACCGGAATGGCGCGATACAATCGAAAATAGATTGTTGGCACCAACATTTGTTGGAAATTATGTTATGTTTCCTGAAGATCCATTAGGCCGAAATGGCCCTAATCTCGATGAATTTTTAAGACATTAAAGGTACTAAAGATAGTAAACCTAATGTACATATTACTGACTTAAACTACGTAAACATGTTTCCGTAATTTCTTTTATAAACAATATTTTCTTAAGCATCATACTCTATAAATGTATAAAAATGTACATATCTATATGTTTGGTACACAAGTACTTGGGAATATTTCCGGTAACAATTATTCCTAATAACATATAATTTATAATTGCGAAATATTGAAAAATATTTAACACCAGAAGGTTAATGATTAATAACATCTAAAAAATACGAAACTAATTGGTACATTACCTTTTCATTTGTCTTACATTAATAAAACAAGATGATTAAATTGAAAATTTCTGTTCCAAAATTACTGAAAGAATACATTTATATTTAACTTGTAAAAAATATTTAATAATTAAATAATAAATAATTATATGATCACAGCTTTTCTTTTTACAAATATATTTCCAGATCAGTAGAAATATTTGTAGGTTTATTTGTAATTATTGAAAAACTGAAGATCATTTTTTCCTTAAGAACTGAATTATCAATAAATATCTATTAAATTTACATGTTATTTATACTATCTTTACAAACGAATCAGTCATTTTTTAAGGATGTGGAATCCCATGTAGGTTTCCAACACCACTTCCGGGATTTACGAATATTATCCATATTTTCTTGTGCTGTTTCACGTGCCAAACGTTGCATCGGATTGCTATCATCCGAATTATATTTTGAATTTGACAATACTGTGTCATGTTGAAAAGCAGAGGTAACACCTACAAAAAAAACAATACTTTATGCATTTTTCTGTTACTTAACAATACAAATTTTTTTATAGAAACATCGATATAAAAAAGAAATAATAATTACTTGCTTTGGCAAACAACTTTTCTAACACATATTGATCATCCTCGGTCGAAGTAGAATGATCTGTTTCAGAATGTCCAAGACGTCGCCCAATTAAGTATGAAACACGTTCACCTTCGAACATAGCAGAAGCTACATGTTTTTCTGATCTTTTTCTACTTCGTTTCCGTTTATGATCCAATTTATTTGAATCACTAAGCAGGTTTTCTGCATTAATTTTATCTGAGGCATCATCTTTATTTTGTATTTCATTTTCTGTTGAAATATCTTGTGTATTATGCTCAATGCTGTTTTTATTTTGTTCAGTATCAGTTTCATTAATATTCTGATTTTCATTAGAATCTACATTTTCATGTTTTTCAGGAGGAACAAAGTCGATCTCATTCTTTTGCGTTTTTGAGCTACTTTCAGACGTTTGATTGTTGTTTTCTGAAACATTTGCAGTTTGCGCTACAGGTGTAGAATTTATGGTGTTCTGACTTATACTCTTACTAAGCGTGGCAGCTAATCGGCGCATCTTTTCAATTTTACTCGATGAAAATTTGCCACTTGCTGGTGTCAACCTTGATTCTCGAAACAATTGATCAGATTCACTAGAATGTCCGTCAATGGATTCGTTGAAATTAAAAAGTTCAACTAAATCAGAAGTTTTAAATAACCTACGTTGACGCGGATCTTCTAATACCTTGTTAGAAAGTAGCACTTTAAATATCTGCCGATGATATATCTAAAAGCAAAAATAAAAAAATATTTATATTGTTCATCTAGATGCTTTGTAGCATTTCAATAATTGATTCACCTTCTCTTCAATAGTACCGGCAGTAATGAGTCTATAAATAGTGACGTTTTTATTTTGACCAATTCTCCATGCACGTTCTTTTGCTTGGGCATCAGTTGCTGGATTCCAGTCTGGGTCATAAATAACCACTCGATTTGCCCCGGTCAAATTTATTCCTAATCCTCCGACACGTGTAGTCAACAAGAAAACGAAATACGAAGTATTCTGTATAAATGAAAGGGAGATTACAGATAGGATTTAGATATTAAAAATTGAATGGACAATTTAATGCACATACACTATTGAACAAACTAATTGTTTCTTGCCGTTGTGACATAGGAGTAGTACCATCCATTCTTAAATATGCATATTTTTCATGTTGCACCAGAGATTCTAGAACATGCATCATCTGCAAACGAAATTTTAGTATTCGTCATTTTTCGTACATTTATAACATTTTACAAATAATATCAAGAGTTATATACTTGTCTTCCTTGAGTAAAAAGTAATGCTCTGTGGCCCTGTTTCTTCCAAATTTTAAGAAGAGATTGAACGACTATCATTTTGCCTGAACGTTTCCAGTAGCCGAAATTCTCCAACGATTCGTCTGTCATGTTAATATCTTCGTCGGAATCCTAAATACAAGTGTAATTAAATATAATCACGTTGTAGTATTTTGATAATTATAATCAATATAAGCTTACAACTGGATTTGTATAAACAAATAAGTCAGGATGATTGCATATTTTTCTAAGTGCTGATAAGGCTATTAAGAGACGAGCCCTGTATCTTCCGGTTTCCGTATGTTTCTTTTCATGCAATACAAAGGAAACATCTTCGGAACATAAATATCTTTTATACAGCTTTTTTTGTTCTTCCGTTAGACTGCAGAATAATACCTAAAATATGAAGAATACGTTTGTATGAAAACTTAATGTAAATAGTAGGAAACAACGTAATGGTGCTATAATGCCGCAAACCTGCTCATTCTTTTCTGGTAAACTAACATGATGTTGAACATCCTGCTTCGTTCTTCTAAGCATGTATGGGGTAATAGCATCTTTAAGCATGGTAGCAACATGAAGTGCGGTAGCTTCTTGCAGAGGCGAAGCATTCGCGTATCCTCCTCGAGTTATAGGACCTGCACAGTGTTCTAGAAATGCAGGTAAAGTACCTAATTTTCCTGGTAGAATGAAATCAAAAAGGGACCAGAGTTCCTTCAAGGAGTTTTGCATTGGACTACCAGTTAATAACAGTCGATGCGGTGTCGAGAATTCTTTTACTGCTTTACTAACCTGCGGTAATAAAATCGCTATTATTATTTTTTGTTAAATTCATTACAAATAATAGAGTACCTTTGCTTGAGGATTCCTTATTTTATGACCTTCGTCAAGAATAACATAATGCCACTCAGTGGATACAAGTAATTCTTTATGTTTAAGCGTACTAGAATAAGAAGTAACCAGTACGCCACCACATTGCAAGGAATGTATTAAATATTCTAAATCACCTATAAAAATATTTGTTACTAGCAATGGAGAATTAATACGGTCATATTTTTTAATAATTTTATTTTTACCACTATAAGTTCCAGATTGATGTAAGACAACTACTCTTAGAACAGGCCACCATTCATGGAAATGCTTTACCCACTGCTCCATTAATGTGGCTGGGCAAATGACTATCGTTGGTCCCAGACCTCTAAATCTGTGAATAACAATTAGTTTTTACTGAAAAATATTGTACAAGTATATAAAATCCTGTAGATCGAAGGTCGTTTACCTTCCACCATCGGAAAGCAATTCACTGGAATCTAAACCTGCAAGAAATGCAATAACTTGAACTGTTTTTCCCAATCCCATTTCATCTCCTAGTAATCCTCCCAGACTACGACAATGGAGTTCCCAAAGCCATTGTACAGACACCCTTTGATACCTGTATAATTTTTTCCATATAGACTGTGGAACTTTAAATAGATTATCTATTTTATGTAGTGGTTTATTCTTTGAGAAACCACCTGATTCCACTCTATGTCTGTACATTTCTTCATCTCCATCATCTAGAACTAAAAATAAAATATTTCATTAATAAAATAATTTATCATTAATTTTAGTAAATTTCAAGTAAAATTTAATGAATACCTCTTCTTACATGACCAGATCTTGTATGAGATTTCTTCTTCTTGGATGAAGATACTTCATCTTCTACCAATTTTAAAAGTACTTAAAGTATCTTCTTGAAAAATACTTTAATAAACATTGAATTTTAGTTCTAATACATACCTGAATCAATCTGTTCATCACTTGGAACATATTCACTTCCAGAGTCATTTATGGACTCTTTATTGTCTGTACTTTCAACTGTTCTTTCATCAGTATCGTCTTTTGAAACACTGCAAAAATTTGATGTATTTTTTGAATGTTGATTTCCTTTAGTAACTTTGTTAATTTCAGTAGACTTTGTACTTTGTGTTTCACAATGGTTACTACCATCTTTGTGTAAATACTTAGTTGTTTTATGTTCTGAAACTACTTTTCTTTTAGCAGCTTTGGGGATTGATTTTTCTATAACTTTACCTTCTTCAGAAACAGTATTTGATAATTTTGAATTTTTAACAAGAATCTTTTGATCTTTGTTACCAGATATTTTAGGGTTTTTTTTTAAAAGCTGTCTCTGTTTGGCAAGTTCAGCCTGTTGGCGAAGATATTTTTCAAGGTCTAATAAATTAGAAGTCTTATCAGTTATCCTGAAAACAAAATTTCAAGTTCAGTTTTTATTACACTTATTAATTAATTGTTATATAATATACCTTTGAGAATCTGATAAATTAGACTGCTTTTCAATTGCTTCAAATGGTGTTATCTCTCCACTTAAAACTTGTTTCTTTAATTTCTTTTGTTTTGAACTATCTATAATACTTTTTTCATTATTTACATCAACATTTAACACTTCTGATTTCCTCTTTATTTGTATATTCGCTTTTACGATACTTTCAATTTCTCTGGATGCTTCAGATAGGATACTTTTCTCGCTTCTTATAGACAAAACCTATTAACATTTTATAAAAAGTAATAATAATAAAATGTGTCTATCTTACTACTGTAACTTAAATAACATATCATTTCTATTAAAAAGAAAGAAAATACAATATAAGGTAAACAAGTTCTAAAATCTAACCTTTTGCGATAAACTCTCATTAATTACTTCATTCACATGTGTATCATTTATCTTTTCCTTATCAGATTCCATATCTTGATCATTAGTTTCCATATTTGCAATAAGTAAATGTTTCACAGCAAACTAAAATACATAAAATTCGACAAAACAAGAAGGTAGGAATTGTAAACTACATTTTAATTTAATTCCGTTGCAATATTAAATTACTACGCTCATTAATAAAATATTTCCATATCAATTAACGTTTGTAGATACATCAATCGTGATTAACCATCATATCTTATTAATCATGACGCAATACAGCACGTGTATATACTCTTATCACATTCAACTGTGCTAAACACACTGGGAATTTAAATGTCATCTGATTGATTCAAAACATTGTCAGATGGTAGCACTAATGCTGTAGATAAGATACGGTGTACAATTTCAATTTTATATAATTGCATATTATACGAACATTCTTTTCTTTTAACATATACAAAATATATTAAAATTTGAACATAATTTATACATATATGTAACATTAATCAGGGCCGGCCCTGAGATTTCGGGGGTCCGAGGCGAGCTCCGAAAAAGAGCCTCTTCACATATATACGACATAAAAAAAGTACCTCAAATAAAATTTATAAAATTAAGATAAAGCTTGTATAACTAATTAGGTTTGCATTTATCTCGATTAATATTCAAGTAAACATTACTCTTCTTGTATTCTTAGACGCAAAATTGTCTTATAGGTGCCCAGGACCTTGGGCGGCCTTAGGCCCAGGGCCGGTCCTGACATTAATTCATATATAGGATAAATATTTGAAGGTGATTCAAATAGCAGAGAACAATTTACGTTTTTACTTTATTTTATAAAATCTTACCATAGGTGGCTAACATATGAGCCAGCTAATGAATAAAAGAAAAGAATTTAAATAACATTATTACAAATTTTCGTCTAAAAACAGTAAAATCCAGCTGCGAGGAATTGATTGAATGTTAAAATTTCTATCCCTTAAAAGCTCCTAAAAAATTTTAAATATACTAATAATATTAATTAAATCCAGATCCACCTAGGGATAGTACTTTCAAAATTGAAAGTATCTGGATGTCCTATATGCGATATGTTAGGAAAGCTTTTCGACCATTTAAAAGGTGTACGCGATTGTGATGTAGCTGGTCCCGAAATGGCTTCAAAATTTTCCAAGCCGTCCACATCGACGACCAAAATTTTGCTATCTATAACACCGTATGGTAAAGGGACGTCTTCTAAATCGCCGCGGTAAGTTAATTCCTGCAACGGATCTGTTTTCAAATGATTCTCCTTGACAGTGCAATCTTCTTGGCTGCACCCACGCATCAGGTTTTGAAATTGCTCTAACGTTGTTATATTTTCTTGTAAACGCGCTAAACGTGTCATCCAAGCGTTTAGATCCTTTTTGACAGGTCGTACGGTGTCGTTGATGCTTTGAAAATATGATACCCCACCACAGATTATGAAGCCTGTTTTCTTGAACTCTTCTGTGTAATTCATGGCTAGAGTCATCGTTGGTAATTGTTCTACTAATAATATTGTCGTTGAACGTGGCTCGAAAATGATCCATTGTAATGCAGAAGCACCCCCATTCTGATGAGACATACTGCTAAACCAAGATTGACTGCTCGTCGCTAATCTATTTGCCGTCATTAATTTCACAGTTAGCATTACCTGTAACGTTATCATTAATTATTTATTAAATTTTACACATTAATTATTAAGATAAGCGGATAACGATATAACTAATTATCATACATGATCTTTAGGGTGTAAGAAACTCCATTCACTCTGATTCGTTGCGAGTAAAGATGTTCCAGTAACAATCAGTTCGCGATTTTCCCCCTGCATTAAATAAAATTCATCTTTAGATGATAATGCACCCGGATATGAAGACATTACTATTGACCGACTGGGAATTAGTGCAGAAGTTTTTGTCGCCGGTAGTACATGATAGCCAAACGTGTATCTTTTTAAAAGCCTCAACATATCAGTGTACCTGTGAAATAAAAAGAAAATTTATTTTTATTATGTAAATTTACAGATCAACGCGGAGTTTATTTCATTCTGTATAATCAATGATTTATTAATGGGATAATTATACCCACACTTATTGCTTTCCTTGTAGCTTAAAAATGAAAGCTCATGTTAGTATGCATTCAATATTGTTAAATTAAATTATGGAATAGAAATATTAAAGGAAGCATTACTTACGGTGCTGCAGTGTTGTGACCCACCGCAATCAAAGGTTCCGAATGTTCTTTTGGAAACGATTTAAAAAAAATTGTAGAACTCGTAGGTAGACTGGAAATATTAAACACTTGTTGGAAACTAGATAAATCGGAAGCTAAAGCGAGCCATAAGAAATCTTCTGATTCGAGCGACACCGACACACGGCTTCGACGGACAGCGAATTTCCAGCCTGCTTCCATGCCATCCAATTGAGTGTAAAATAATCGTACCTAAAACGACATTGATTTATTTTATCATTTTCATCATTTTTGGGGTTTTCCTAAGACCTAGGTTTCTTCCACCCTTATTGTTAGTCAAAGGATATACAGTAAAACCTCGATAAGTTGTCACTCAAGGGACCGAGAAATTTTGACGACTTAAACGGAGTAAAAACCATGTAAATTTTAAAATGACGAGGAAAGGAAAATGCCGACTTATCCGGGTGACGACTTATAGAGGTTTTATTGTATTTTGATATAAGGGTCATTATAAGGGGAGAAACTCATGCTACAGTAATTCCCCCGAGATTGCGACTGCGTCTGTGATGTGATGTGAGTTGGCACTTTAGTAATTCGTAATATTGCAATATAACTTTTTAATTTCAACGATCTTTTGTCTGAAACTTTTTTAACATACTTTTGAGACCAAACACGATATAATTTACATTATACTTATCCTACTTTCATTAAAAAACGGGATGTTATTTGAAATTACAAAATATACTAGACGAACGGACACTATGATTGATATTGTACATAATGCCTCTCATATTATCCTTCCCTTTTACAACCCTCTTTTACTACAAAGACGAGCCGCGGCAACAGCCTAGTCATCGAATTTCGAGTCCTCTACTGTGATTGCAACCATTTCGATTCCGACCACAGTCGCAAAATCGGAGGAATTTGTAAAGAAAATCTGAGAGAGAGATTTCTTTTATCTTCCCACATAAAGGACATGGACAAACAAGAGGGATGGCAGGGCACCCTTTCTTTTACCCTTCCTTCTAACTGTATCCTACCATATGCCAAAAAGGATCGGTAGATTCCATAAGTTCGGCGCGTTCACGGATTATGGCAGTATTATCCCGAAGATACCGTGTCAACTTTTCACACTCGACAGGTTTCTTCTCGCATGCTGGTCTTATAGTGTTGTACCAATGATGATGAATTAATTGCCAGGTCAGACTACCTTCTAAAAGTCCTGCAGCGTATGCTTGTACCGTGTCTGGGTACTTTGATGATGTTTCGATTTCAATATAAGACCACCTGGAACATTTGGTGGGTCATTAATCATAATAATTCATTTAATTTTCTACTTTATCAATAGCGTTTGGATGTAACTATTTCTATTAGGATGAACCGTTAATCTCATTACACGTTGCATTAATAGAAGCCGCAGGTGTAACAATTTTCTTACCCATGTTCGAAAATTCCGGTTTTATAATAGGCTCGAGCCGCGTGCAATGGAACGGCGGTTAAATCATTGCCTTGGCCCCAAAAGTCAATACGGTATCCTCCTTTGCGGTTCCATGTTACAGTTGCTGCATACGTTCCATCTTGTTCAACACTGTTAAAAAATGAAAATACAAAATTAGGAAAAAATTGTTCAGAATCACCCCAGCAACCGTCTGTTTCTAGCTGTTACTGGAGTTATGAAACACCCTGTATACATGATCCAATTTTTTGACCATCCTGTAAATACATATGCAGTTCGACTTAAGACAGTTGAGTCTGGAGCGCGAACTTGAGATGACAGAAGTCGTGTAACACAATCCTTGCTCGCGACCAGTCTCATCAGGCTTGTTACAGCTAAACTGCTGATATTTCCGATCTTTCCAACTTGCAGCACGTGTTGCACACGCGAATGTATCAATCCCAGCAGGAAGAAGATTCCGAATGATTTACAATTTATATTTTGTTATAATAAAATTCCTGACATTTTGATGACTGATGCTCCTAATAATTATAGGAGATTCTCAAATGTAATTACAGGGAGGTATATCCTTGTAATTATTATTTTTATAGATACAATAAATTAATCAGCTTACTGTCCAAATTCGCCGAGGATTATCGCTCCAATTCCTAGCAAAGCTACGGCGAGTAGTATGTAAGTCGAAATGCGTGTTTGCAGCCAAGAGGCTCCTACTACCTTCAGCATGGCTCATCGGTAAGCAATACACCTTGGTTAAGAGAAAAGAAGAAAGCTGAAAAGCACGAATTTCGCGTTCTCAACCCATCGATTACAGAAGCCTGCTCTTCGGCCTCCTCAGATGTTTTTCAACAGCTGCCGATACGCGCTCGGTCCCGTGGGTCACTGAAAAAATTAAACAAATCATTAATATCTAATTTTGAATTTAAATCACATGCAGTTCAATAATTGAGAGAAAACGATAGAAAAATATTATTTTCAATAGTATTATTATTAATACTAATAATGAAAGGTACCAAATTAAAAGTTTGACATTTGAAATTTGAACATTAATTATTCCTATTCTTAATAATTAGAGCATTAATGCTCTAATCATCGGTAGTTAATTACCTACTCCTTTTCTTAAATTCAATAAATTTTGTTAAATATTCATCAGAAAGAAAAAAAAAATGTTGTTATTTCAATTTGCATAAAGCCTTCTATGTTCTACTTTGATTATAGCAAGATCATCGATATCGAAGGCGTAGTAAATAATGAAAGAAATCAAGGACAGAATCAATTGTGGCTGCATCGATGGAAAATCAAGTTCGATCGCGTATCAACTGGATAACACTTGTCCCTATGAAACGTTTCTTATGTTTCTCCATTAACTCGCCGCGCTATTTTCGTTTTTTTAATCGCTGCCTTTTTACAAACATCCTTCTCTATTGTCTACTGGCATAAAACAAGAGCCGAGGCGAAGGTTAAGGTCGAATCCCCGTGTTCGGTATTTGGCACTAGCGATTACAAGCGCGAGCGAATCGGTAAACTTATAAAACTACATAGCGCTACTATTAATATCGAATGTTACTTATGGACCTATGTATTCTTTCACGAACTTCAAACTATGAATACCAAAGATATTTTTAACACCCTAATTGCTATGGGGATCGTCGGCGTTACAAATTTAATCTTCAGTTAATTAATTCAGAAATGAAGAAAGCAAGAAAGAAAGTTTTGCAGATTTAGCAAATTAAAGGATTACATATTTTTATCAAAATTTCATATCTAAATAATGAAAAAATTTGTCCTTTAATTTGCTACCTTACATTATTGGTATAATATTCAAAATCTTCTTCCTTTTTCTATTACTGTACATGTCTGCTTCTACTGAGAAAATCAACACAGCTCGTTCTAAATGAAAAGAGATCACGATGATGTTATTAGAAACATGTGAATCGTAGGAGAAGGTTAAGGTCAGCATGATTGCGGTTTCTACAGTTGATATTTGCAATTAGATACGCTTAGTCCCTTCAGTTATCACCCGCCTGATGAGTTTCGTTTGTCGATGCAGTGTAACTCAACACTTGTTAAACACTCACCTACAAGTATTTAAAAAAAGATTGTTAACTGTGGTATTTAAATATTAGAAAATTACTTATATAATCTACTCATAAAACAATAGCTCTGTGATTACTATAAATGATTCTACAATTATTCTTATGATAGATAAAAAATAATTACACATATTTTAGTATTACCTAACAAATATTCTCCTAATCTTCCTTTTTAGACAATTTTTTATAAGGATTGGCATATTGTACCAGTTCATAGCGTTTTAACAATGTCACAACTTCTTTATCTTCACTGTATTATTTCTGTATATTTATACTACTGAATCGAATAACAGAAACACGATAAATTTCACTGATCGGTGATGATGTTTCTTCGATAAAGATTCACGGGAAGCAAGCCAAATCAAGCTTTTCAATTGCCACCAGAGTTTACGTTTAAAAGCTTCAGTGAAGCTATTCGCAGTATACTTAAAAATTATATGAATAACGTCTATTACTAAAACATGATTACGTAAACTCTCGTATCAGCGACACGTGGGATACTTTAGCAGTAAGTAAATTGATTTATCGCATTTCCACCTTGAACATTTTACTTGGAATTCATAAAGTAAAATTCCCTTTTTAAATGAAATTTTAAAAAGACAACAGAGAAATTAGAACAGGCGAAATATAGTCTGGCAATGATCCAAAAATAATTCACCCACACGTGGGATCACAGTATCTTTAATGATACTTAATAAAATTATTCTTGCCATAACATCCAATTTACCATATCGACGACTGACGAAGGCTTAAGATAAATAAGAGAAATACTTAAGCCTACGCGAAATGCGAAATCAATTCTCAAAACTTGTTCCCGGAATCTCAAAAGTATTTTTCATATAACCGGAAACAGTTTTCCTGAGAATGAGTAATCAAGGTGTGTCGCGGAAAGAAAAAATTTATACTACTCTAAATACATACTGTATCGTAAACTACAGAAAATTCTTTTCATTTATCTCTCACGCAAGAAAATTAATTTTTCTTTATATCGTATGATGAATAATTACAAACGATTAGTTATACATTCAAATGAAAATTAATCCTGCTACTTGCGCGCTTTCATTTCGTATCATTATAATTGTGTTTAATTACCATAATATTTTTCTCGTATCATAACTCGTGTTCGTTTAGAGATAGAAAAATTGACGTTGAAAGAAAAAAGAATTTCTTGATAAAAGAAAAATCACACTGTTTAGTGTTTATCTTTACGCTGGAATATTTCTTACAAACTCAGGAAATTGCACCTGTTACGTCTTTTACATTCTTTCTTTTTCGATAAATTTAGTACCATGTATAAAATTACAGTAATCTCATAATGGTTATCGTTAAGATAGAATTTCTTGTGGTAATTAAAAAACTGCATAGTCTTGCTTCCTGATAAACTCGTTTCTTGTATAAAACTTCAATGCTACTCTTTATTACAGTAATTTTATATATCGTTGCATCAAAGCTAGGAAGCTTATTTTTAATAAATCGATATGAAATTGTTTAATTGCTATGAATCAGTATTCCAAGAAAAGGTATCTCGTACTATTCCCTCTAACTTTATCATATCACGCTCCAATAACACTTGTATGCAACTATTTAATATTAATCAAAGTGATGCAAATCCTACATATCGTGACATGTTAATCCTTTCGAATCTAATTACTCCTTCACCTGCATATTTCTCATTTTCAAAAGAACCGCTAGAAACTCGCGACTGCATTGAATAACGCATCGATGACGAAAATTCAACGTATGCAGAAATAATGCGAATCGAACACGTGTTTCGACAGCGAAGAGGAAAGTTTATACAAAACTCTGACGAATTAATTCGCACTCGGAAGAGTTGGCGAAGCGCGAAACCGATAACAGCAGAGAAACTTCAACCACGAGGAGGAAAAAATAACATTGCTCATGGTATTGTGAAATATGTTTTAAAAAGAATAACCAGTGGAACGATTAAGAGAACCACGTGTTCAGATCCACTCTGCATATTATATATATAAATTTGAAGAAAGAAAGCAAAGGGATTTTACAAAGGCGGTTCATGAATCGTCGATCGTGTTCGTTTCGCGGAATACTTTAACGGGGCGTGCGCGCGCTCCTAGCGCGTGTTTCTATGAAAACGTACCACGTTTTCCTCGCTCCTATGCGTTACTCACCGTGGACAATAAAGTGTCTGAATTGAAGCGCGTCGTAGACGGGTAGAAGATCGGTCATTCGTACGGAGATTACATTCCTTTGATATACTTTTTTGTCGCAACTTTACGACGTGGACCAGTTGCTCCGACACTGAAGTCCAAGCGCGATCACTCGCTGATTCTCGACTGCCGCTCGAAGCGGAGCCGCAGCCCGTCCTCAGAATTTCGAGTAGTTGCACTTCCCTTACCACCTTGCTTCGCGCCAACCGGAGTCGACGTCCTTTATTGTGTCGTCAGCACTGCTGGGTCATGTCGCGGTGGCGCCCTGCACAATACACGCTTGATACATTCTCTTATCAAGTGGCTCGAGCTTCCTAGCCGGCAGCCCGTTTGAACTTCTTGCAGCTGTTGAACCGCGATGACGTTTCTGAATAAAACAGAGTATTGTTAGATGAATGGAAAAGAATTTTTCTGTTTTTCTAGCCTGATAGATACAGAGTTACCATTATGAGTTGAATTGGTATCTGTTGACCAAGAGTGATTTAAAAATAATTTACAGCTATTTTTGCAATTTCCACTTTTCCAAGTTCTTTCAATCTTGTTGGAGGCTGTTATCAGACTGGACTTCTTTTAATTTGTTTTATCGATGAAGTTATAGAAGCGCACGGATTACCTGTAAATCAAACATGCAATCAGATATTCTGTATTTGCTTAAATAATTTTCGAGGATGGAAACTATACACTGATAACATTATCAAAATTTTAAATAGATAATCTTCTAATTGTTTTGAGTAAACACTGATTTCAACTCATTAAGACTTTTATAATTGAACAAATAAAGATATAGCAGTTACTGAAATGACATTAAAATGATGTTTAAAATTGGATTATATCATGAATGATAAAAGAACCTGTAGAATTTTTACACGGAATGAGAAACTTTGTATTCTTCTAGTAAGTGTTTTAAGTAAATTTTCATTCCTAACACGAACTTCAATCACCTGTAGAATAAAATTAGTCTTCATTTCAATGTACTCTACGCCTCGAATATTTAAAATACAGTATTATGAATGCACGAAGTTGATGAGCCCTAATTGAAGCTAATCAAAAATTTTAATAGAATTATACCAACCAAATAATTAGCAATCGTCTTTTGAAACTATCATAAACGTACTACATTCGTACAATGAATTTTACATTTCCACATCAAGATATATAGACACCTTCCGGTGATGTAAGAATCCTGTATCATATTATGCATTAAGTTACCTCAGATCCATATTTTTGCATTTTCTTAAGACATTCCTAGATAATTTCAATGAGACAGATTATTGATTGATTGATATCCTTGCAAAATAATTCGTGTATCATACAGACATTCAAGAATGCTTTAGAGGCATGTATTTAAAAATATTTAACACATTAAACCCGTCCACAGCTATACGGAGAAGTCATCAACCTTTCATCATTCAAAAGCCATATTCGACCTTCGCCTCAAGGGACTCGATCTTCCGACATTCGCGTTTTTTATTCGCGTTTTTGATATCCAAGAAATATATGACGTTCTGTGAAATATGATAACAAGATAAGACGTATAGGGATACTCAATAAAACGCAGACTGCGTACAAATTTGTGGGATAACGCTTGTCGAAACAATTTAACGAGTAGATTACGCAATACGAGAAGCTAGACGCCTCTAGTTTATCGAGCGATTAAAATTTTCAATTAAGTTCAATCCCGTCTCGTCAGCATCCAGAAGTAACTGGCGCCTTTTCCATCATTCGAACGATATCTTCCATGGAAAATCTGAAAATAAATTTTCTTGTATTATTGCCTTCAATAGAACGTCGTGGAAAAACTTGCAGATAACTTGGCAATATTTCGCAATGACTCCCCACATTCGCAACGTTGCACAACTCGTCTGTCGCTAACTAAAATAATTAATAAGTATATGTAACATTTCTAAAACGAGAAGATGACTTCTTCAAATACCTTCATTTTTCATTTGTCAGCGAAGTCACCTAATACCACATAAGATTCAGTGAAATATTCTTCTTTTAATATCGAAATCTTTGGTATGCTTTTTGCAATAATTCTTCACTACTCTTTCAATACAATAAATATGTCATTCTTTTATCTTGCGGGGTTCATACATTGTCTAAGATAATTAGAGGACTAACACGTGTTTAATATTCACATTTATCATCCTGTTTAGACGTACGATAACGTTAATTAATTATCTTAACGTTATATACAGTGAGAGACAAAAGTGAGTAGACACTGTTCAAAATAGAATACCTCGGTTAAAACTGGACTAAATAACTTGAGGTTTATTGAGAAGCTATAAAAATTAATTCACTAAAATATGTATTTTCATCGTTTTAAAAAATTACAATTTCTTGAAATCGTGAAAGAAAATAGTGAATGGTAATTTTTCTACTTTTTTATGTGAGTCTATAATAAAAATTTAAAATATGTCCTTTGTAGATTCAGATAAGTGATGTGTATGCTGAAAATTTCATCGAGATCGGTCAACGCATTTAAAAGTTATATAAGTAATTAAAATTAAATATGAAATTAAATAAATAAATAAATAAATAAAATTTCCGAAAATCGCGACTTTTCATCTAAGAACGTGGCTAGTTCCGTTCTTGTCTCTCACTGTATTCTAAATTTCTTAAATGATCAAAAATTTTTCTCGATATGGTTTGTAATAAATGGTGTCTACATAACGTTGCTGTGAGAATTATCCCAAAGTCAAGGTCTTTTGAACAAAGTTGTCTACCAGAATCTACCTGATTGTCGGTATGCGTTTGTGAATTCGTGAGAGCAGTCTGACCATAGGGTTTCACACGATCGACCGCTGGCCATAAAAGGGACTGATGCATTCATTGATCCTAAGGGACGAAGGTTACTCAACTCTTCCCTTTATTCAAAAAGGACTAACCATAAGCCGCCGTCTATTACAGGTCCGTCTATACAAATCCTTCGTTCTAAGAAGAAGAATAAAAAAAAACAAGATTATATAGTACCCGCTAGGAATTCAAACTAGGAACTAATTATTATATTTTTAATTTCATTCTATAATCAATGAATTACCATATTTTTTCAATACCAGCCATTTTATTCGATGTGATGTAAAATTAATAGCATCAACAATGTTTTATTCCGATAAAAATCTTTCATCAGCAAGATTCATAAAGCCTATGGAAATAGGAAAATTACACAGTGGAGCAGTGAAACTATACAATAATGTTATTGTAAGAACAGAATTATGTCAATAATTGCTTTTAACATTGGAGTCACGTGAATTGCATTATTCATCCACGTTAAATAAAGCATTTGGCGAGAATTATTCTCGCAATAAGAGCTATGGAATTTCTTGATTACGACCGGGACAAGAAGCACGCGCCCCGTCTGGAATGCAATATGTGCCCTCTGGTATTCAATCATCAAGATATTTTCTCGAGGCTTCGGAATTTTTTTACCTACAGAGAAAATCTGTATGACGATGAATTTATATCATGACATTAAAGAAATGCATATAAAGAATCCTATAAAAATTAAAAGAAAAGACTGTAGCTAATTAATCATAAGTACATTGCTGCTGCAATTAAATTTTTAAGATACTGCATTCATTTTCTATACAACTACATATTGATGTCAAGTGATTCTGTTAATAAATGACCTTACCTACTTACTTGAGTTTTTAAATAATTTCATAACTCCCTTTAACATGATTTCCCGCTTATTGGGAATTGATGACTTCGATAATCTAGTCTTGAGTAAACGAGGATAATACAATTGTGGGAAGATGGATTTTACGGTAAAGATTAGGCTAGAAACATTAACACCCGTATTATATACTTTAATTACATACTAATTATTGAATTAAACATGATAAATAGTTCTATATGTGAAATGTAATACCTTTTTGATTGAAATAATGCTGTCTTTATCTGCTGAAAGTTTCTGGATGAACCCCATTTTGAAGGAAGACTTATGTCTGCGCATGCGCCGGCAATGCAAACCTTAAATGTTAAAATTCTACAAAATGAAGATGAATTTATGACTTCTACATATATTTTTCAATTTTTCAAAATATCTTACGAATTATAAAATACCTTCAAACCCCATTCAACACCTTTTTTTAAATGAAAAATAGAATTTGCGAAGGTGGCACTGCTTCGCATGCGCGCCGCATTGATTCGGCGGCAAAACTTCCTCGTACAAAGTCTTCGTCCTTTCGGATCACTGAGATCCGTTTAGTTGAAATTAAAAGGTTGACAGTGGAGCATCAATAAAAATGTTTGCAAAACTACAATTATATTAACCCAGAAACTATACTAAATCATATTATCTTATAAAAGAATACGAAACAAGAAATAAACAATTTTTAAGCTAGGTGTATCGTTACGCGCGAATTTTAAAATGCTTTTTAGAATATACTTACTAATTTTACTTGAACTCTTAAGAAATGGATTCTGTGTATCTTGGCACAATCACCAAAGCAAAGAAGAGACAACAGAAGAAAGTAATGTTCATACTGTTCCCCTTGGTTCAGGAGCCACTTTTCATTGGAGGTATTTAAAAGTAAAATTTGAATTTTATTGCTGCTCCTTTTTATATTAGACTGTAATTAAATGGGCAATATTTAGGGTTGATTTTATGAGCGAAATGGTAATCGCTGAAGTCCATTACAAGGGCTCTGACAATACCTGGTTTGCCATTGGTTTCTCAAGTTATGGAGAATTAAAACCGGCTGATTATTGTGTCCTGTGGGTCGATTGGCATCGTCAAATTCAGTTACAGGTATTTACAATATTAATTTCTTCTTTACACATTTTTTACTCCACATTTTATGTTTTGTAACTTCAGGATGCGTGGGCAGATGAAGAAGGAAAATTGTACTTAGACTCACAACAGGATTGCGAGGACTTTGCATGGAGAAGAAGAGGAAATATAACAAAGTTCACCTTTTCTAGAAAATTTGATACTTGTGATGAAAATGACTACATCATGGAGGTACATCAAATTAGCAGATTATTTAATCATTGTTTAGTTAAGTAGTTAAGAATCCTTGATTACTTTTAGAGAGGTACCACACATTTGGTATGGCTGAAAGGTATGGGGCCATTATCTTCTTTAGCTGGATTGCAAGTATCAGATGCAGAAGCTTCTGGTATGTCCAGAACCGAATTGATCCGAGTACACAATAAGAAGCCAACATTTCCATCAAATGCATGGCATTTTGAAATACTAGCTGATCATGTAAAAGTACCAAATAAAGAGACAACTTATTGGTGCCGTGTTCAGAAATTGCCAGCTGTTTTGGCTCAAAAGTAAGTCATTTCATTAAACCATATTTGTTATAGTTAAGAAATTTGAATTGTTTGTTCATAGGCATCATATTCTTCAGTTTGGACCAGTTATTCAATCAGGCAATGAACATCTAGTTCATCATATGGAAGTGTTCCACTGTGCTGGACCTGTAAATCTTGAAATCCCTTTGTATAATGGTCCCTGTGATGGCAGTGACAGACCAGAGAAAACTCAAGTGCGTTATCCTGAATGTAATAATACTCTTACTTGAATCATAATTAAAATTTCCTTTTAGATATGTAAGAAAGTTCTAGCAGCATGGGCAATGGGAGCAGACGCTTTCGTTTATCCAGAGGAAGCTGGTCTCTCAATTGGTGGTCATGATTTTAATTTCTACGTTATGCTGGAGGTCCATTACAACAATCCGGAGCTTCAGGATGGGCATACAGATTCCTCAGGGATCCGTTTTATCCTTACAAACAGTCTAAGAAAATACGACGCTGGTGTGATTGAACTGGGATTAGAGTATACAGATAAAATGGCAATACCACCGCAACAAGTACTAAATCATTGCGAAATAAAAATACAAAGAATAGAAGAATTATGATGAAACTTCAATTTAAAATTATTACTCTTGTAGGAAGCTTTTACTTTATCAGGGCATTGTATACAGGAGTGTACAGGTGTTGGTCTTCCTCAACAGGGTATCCATATCTTTGGTTCTCAACTCCACACACACTTAACAGGAGTAAAAGTTATAACTCGTCACATCAGGGATGGAGAAGAGTTGCCTCCTTTGAATTACGATAATCATTATTCCACACATTTTCAGGAAATTCGACTATTACCTAAACCTGTCACTATCCTTCCTGTAAGAATCTAATATTTCATTTATCTTATTTATGATTCATCATGAATTTTCTTATAAATTATAGGGTGATTCGTTGATAACAACTTGTACATACAATACAATGGATAGAAAGAATATTACCCTTGGTGGATTTGCCATATCTGATGAAATGTGTGTAAATTATATACATTACTATCCGAATGCCCGGTTGGAGGTTTGCAAAAGTGCAATAAGCGATGATGCTTTGAGAACGTATTTCCGGTACATGAAGGAGTGGGAAAGTCAGCCGACCAGTGTTGATGAAGGAATTTCCTCAAATTATAAAAGCATCGAGTGGACCAAAGTTCGTGTCCAAGCACTTCATGATCTCTATGAGGCTGCTCCATTAGGTTTGTAATATTTTAATCTATTATTGTCCTAACACTTTGCTAATTAAATTGTAATTAATTAGGAATGCAATGCAATGGCTCGGATGGATCACGACTTCCTGGACTATGGGACAACATAGCAGCAACACCCATTAAACTACCCATGGCTCCACCAGCTCGAAATTGTCCAAATTCTTTCTCGAAGCAAGAAATAAATTCCATGTGAATTCTTAAGCCAAGGTATAAATCTTCAGCATTATATTTAATATCTGAAAATTAAAGAATGATAAAACAAAAATTATGAAAATGTAATATACTAGATTACCATTAGTTTCCATTAAATTTAACAAATATTGTTAGCAAACACCTTTATAATTTATCTGTTCTTTATTTCCAGTATATTCTTTCAAGATTGTACCATTTATATTTTCATCATGCTTAAAAGAATATAGTTCTGTAAAATAAAACAACAATTCTAATTACAATACAATGTGCTTGAAGGTAAAATACTTTGCATTAAAGTAGAAGAAAAAGAGAAAAAAAAAAAAGAAAACTGAAAGACTTAAAATATACCTCGGGACGACGATAAATACTTTCGATGTAAAAGTTTATAAACCTCCAGTATATTTATGCACTTTAAGGGTTTCTTTTTTTTTTTTTGGCAGTACATCGTCTTGCTGCGTGTAAGCTATGTTTAGTCGAACATCTGTTAACAAATACTTGCTCTATGAAAATCGTTAACTGTGTAATACAGAATAATAAAAATAATAATAGTTATGCTAGTAATAATATTAATCGCAATAGCGGAAACTTTGTCTTTACACGTTTCACAAATGTACAAAAGAGGAACGCGTCTTAACGCTAAATGCGATATAAAAATTAAAGTTATCCAATATTTACGATATAATACACATGAGCTGGTTACAAATACACACATACACATTCACACGCGCACGCTGAAACACCACGCATACGATAGTTGCCTTCGTTTAATGCACGAAGATCACTTCCGAGGAAGTACCTTAGCGTGATTTTGTATTTTCCCTAATTTTCAATATTCATGAACGATTTCTTTTTTTTTTTCTTTTTGTTCCTTTATCGAACACTCGTCAGGCTTGTCTTTTAATCTTGATTACAAACGTCCTAGCATATAATGCAGAATTCTATCGAGTATTAAATTTGTACTGCCAAACGTGCTTTTTATTATCTCAACCCTTTGAAGCGTACGAGTGTAGAGCACAATACCGATTCATAGAAAGCGATCCTGTTAAACATACGATGAATACAAACTCGTTATACAGTATAATAATAGAAAAATACAGTAATATTGCAATACAGTATAGATATTTAGACACTGATAATGATTATAAAATAAAATGCTTCAAAGGGTCAACTATTGAAGGTATGAGAGAGAATCATTCTCTTTGGTGCTTTATTAAGCTGTATTTAGACTTCAAGAAAATTATTGAGGGACTAAAGTAGAAAATATAATAAATGTTTACCTAAATGGTAATAGGGGGAATGTGTAATAAAACAGTGATTCACTTAATTACCTTTTTCTTTTTAGGTAAAATAATTTTGTTTAAAATTTCCAATGCACTTTTAATTATAAAATGAAATATTTATACATGCAAATTGTACGTTGATTTTAAAAATAAGTATTTCAATTACTGAAGATACTTTTAATTATTAAAATGAAAGCGAACGCAAGTCTAATCACAGCTTAAAAATCAAAAACTTGGTCTTGCTTATTTACTCCGCGATATTCGTTACAAAAATTCGAGAGCATTTCCATCAAAGTATTCATATAAAGAATAGAATAGTTTATAATTGGCGAATAAACGTGACCTCCTTAAAAACCATACAATATTGAGTAGCAAATGGAGTATAGCTAATATATTTGATATTATTAGTAAAGCATCGTTTCGCACATTGTTAAGGAACGTGCTTCCTGAAATATTTAGGAACGTGATTCTTTCGAATACGTGGGCATTCTTCATGGACATACAATGGGTATGTTACGTTATCGTGTAAAAAAATTTAGATACTCTGCTAGGAACACGCCCCCATTGGAAAAAATATTTCTTTTCTAAAGCGTGGATGCGTTAACGACCAAACTTCCTTTGTTCATGTCTTTCTCTCTCTCTCTTTTTCATGGGAGAAATCTTTTTTTTTCAACGCATGCTTTTGTGAAAATTTTTCCAAGATCGTAGCTAGGACTTCATGGGAATATAAATATAAAATATATATTAAGGAGCTCGAAGTTTGAACGATACGTGTACTTCGAGTCCACTTTTGCTACGTTAGTTCGTATGCATACCAAATATAAAAGGAATTTCGTCGATCATAGTTTCGTCAAAGCCTGCGTTCTACTTATGCGTCTAAATCAGCGTTGTATAAACGATACGTCGGAAAACTAATAAAATATATTATAAAAAATCGTTAATTTTACAGTCCCAGCGTGAGTTGCTGTGAGTTTAATACCAAACCCATGAAAAGCAACTAACGCTACGATGTATCAACAATAACCTCTCGACTAGAGTGACTGATTGTTTTGTTGCATATGCATCTGCAAGAAACAGTAAAGTATACCGGCTTGTGCCATCACATCCACGGTACCCGCGGCTAACGGATCCCGACTCTTCGCGTCGGATCGCGAATTCGTTCCAGGACGTAGCAGCGTCGGTCCGAACACTGTCGCTAAATTGTGCAACGACATTTTATTCTGAGCCTCGTGTTTGTTAACTCGTATCAAGTGAGTAAGCAGAAAGTCAATAACCGCTTTGTTTACGGCTGGCAAACTTTCGTAGACTCTTCGCAATGCAGCACCTTTTGATAACTCGCCTGTTTGGAAAGCTTCTAAGAATGCAGGATAAAGAGCATCGGTGAAGAGAGCTTCAGGCATTTCTCGAAGATACAACTTGAGGACACCTGTTACGGAATGAACGTCAACCTACATGGAAAGAAAAAGGAAATAATTTAAATTGATCATTTTCTTCTATCTTTCTGTAAACTACCTCTTTAAGTAATTGTTCTGCTTCGTACGAATTGCTTTCAAACGATTTGCGCAACTTCGTCAAGTCAGAAGCCGAGCCGGAAACACGATATAAACCCACTTCTCCAACTCCTCTCCTCTCTACTTCCCTGACACACGCTGTTATAATGAAAGGAACGTCACGTTTCTCACGCCTAAATATAAAATACATATTCAATTGTTTATAAACTTGAAATACGGATTATGCAAATGTCGCAAGACTTACTTGCACACTTGTTGAATCTTAGCTCCAAATAAACCTTGAGGTTTAGCTGATGGTACCCGTCTTAATGTTACTTCACTGGGAACGAAACGAAGAGCCACGTCTAAAGTAGCTGGTCCTAGATTTAATGATCTCTCTACTTGATCCGACTGGAGCCACGATCTGCTCAATCTTTGTATACATTTACCTCTCAATACGGAACGCGTTCCACATTCCTCGTATAATAAAATTCGAACATTTTGACTTCCCTCAAGTTCAACAACAAATGTTTCCCCTTTAATAAAGAAAAGGAAAGTTACAATAAAAAATACACATATGATTATTTCTTGTGTAACTGAAATTTTACCCCATGTTGGAGCCTGACCCCTGGCAACTCGACTTCTTGCTCGTTTGAAATAGTGTCCGTAACTATCAACCTCTACAATAATATAAAGATCTCCAACTCTGTCTAAACCTGGCGGTGTTAAACCAAGTAGAGTCAAGTGGAGATCACCTAATAACAAACTTTCGTCACGCCCTGATCTTAATAAATAGCTACCCATATCTGTTTGAAGATAAGTACGACATGCTGTAACCCAAGCTTGTAATTCGTACATTGATAAAGGTAGTGGTCCAGGTGGTTGACCGCCCTGAAAATATAAAAATAAACTGGTTAACAATTTAATCCTACCTTTCATTGGTAATCGAACAATTTTCGTTAAGATATTTTTACTTGCATCCTCGTGTTGAATTTAATTAAAAGTGTATTATTAAATATCTTTACATTATTTATTTATTCAAGATATTTGAATTACGCACCTTTGACTTATCTAGGTACATATGGGAACGCATTACCTGTTGCAATGCCTCCACCGCTTCAACCCATTGAGAACGTTCAAATTCACTGGATAAAAAGAACGTGTACGAATTTTGTACTCGATGCTGACTTTTATGTGCAACGCGTAATACTAAATTTGGAGATGCTAATACTAGCTGAGCTTCGAGCTCGGCAAGTTTCTTCCTGTTCTTTTCGGAACCTCTACTACCAAGACGAATTCGTTTCTCATCGTTTCGCTCTTCCCATAAAATTTGATCGCGTACAGTGCATGCTTGTGATCTAAGTACAGAAATATTGAAAAGTACAAATAAAATCTGTATATTATAAATTAACACTAACAAAGTAAATATAGTTTGTCGTCTACCTCAAAGCTACAACATTAGCTGGACTAGTCTCTCGTGGTTCAACACCATCCTCTGTCACTACCGCTTCCGCAACCGGTACATACCATTTTAATTCGAATGTAAATTTGTCTCTACCAGAAGCTTTATATTTTGCGCAGGCAATTACGTCATTAAATAGAAAAAGATGTCTCAACTTTCTATGACCATCAGATAATTCCACTACAAATGAATTTTTCACTAATCTTCGTTGCGCTCTATCATGACTCTAAAAGAAAAAACAGCACACTGCTTTTTTGCACATCTTTATACCGATAATAACGTTAAATAATATTACTGTTTCTTACCGGAAACATTGATTTCGTTTGGATAATATTGAATTCGTCTAGGAAATTTCTAGTCATAGCAAGAGCTTCTGATAGTGGTGCATGATCTGCATGATTCACTGGTGTGTGCTTAAGAAGATCCTATAATCAATTGAGACAGAATTATCAGCGCGAACTAAGATAAGATAAAAGCTTACTAAGTACATTTCCACATCGTTTTCACAATCTATCACATTTGTTTATCGAAGAAATGTACGTGCATCTGTATTTATATACAGGGTGTCTCATAGCTCCTGTAACACCCTAAATGAAGGGCTGCTGGAGTGATACTGAACAACTTTTTCCTTTACCAAAATGATGGTTGAAGCTTCGTTTTTGAATTATTAACGAAAAACGCTGGCCAATGAGAGCGCGCGTTCCACGCGCGCTCAACCAATGGAGTGTTGGCTTTCAACCGCGCTCGATCCTGGTCGTGAACAAACGCATTGGCACAGCGTGGGTATCGAGGAAAACGTGCGACTAATTTGAAATTGTTCTTAATTTAAGACGATGTAATATTTATTATACGCTTGCTTCGATACCCACGCTGTGCCAATGCATTTGTTCACGATCACGATCGAGCGCGGTTAAAAGCCAACGCTCCATTGGTTGACCGCCTGTGGAACGTGCGCTCTCATTGGCCAGCGTTTTTCGTTAATAATTCAAAAACGAAGTTTCAAGCAACATTTTGGTGAAGGAAAAAGTTGTTAAAAATTACCCCAGCAACTTCTCATTTCCGGGTGTTATGCGAGTTCTGGGACACCCTGTATATATATAAATTTGAATAATATAATGTAACCAGATATTTACATGCAATACTAAGGCGTTTTTTTGAACTCGAGCTACTGGTTTATGTAGAAGATCTTCAAGAGATAAACCTGGGCCTTTGGGAAATCCTCTAAGTCTTATATCCCTTGTAATTTCGCCGAACTGAGTAGAATGTGCTGAACACCTTCGCACAGTATCGGTAGCGCGTGCATAATTATGCAAAAAGGCTCCGTATAATCCTATATTGCTGGCCATTACCTTTAATGTTACAATTAATGATAAGTCAATAAAAAAAGATCAATTATATTTCCTGTTAAATCTTATTCTCTCTATTTCTCACTTTGAACTGCTCTCCTATGTTGGTCTTGCCATCCCACTTTTCCAGTTTCCTCCTAAGACCATCCAAAAATGTTTGATGTAACGCATGCAATTCTGGAATTTTGTAAAACATTGTGCCAAATTCATCTTCCGAAATAACGGGTTGCGACGTCGTTAATGTAGCTCTGATAGCTTTCATGTACTGAAAAGAAATGTAGATTTTTAGAAACGGCACCGATATTTATGTATTGTATTTAAATCAAGAGACAAACTACATACTTGTAACATTACGTTTAAACATTCAACATATATAGTCTCACTTTCTACTACCGAGTTTACAATACATTTAATCATAGACGTTCTATCATCCTCACGGTCTTTACTTTTCTCTTGTCGGCGTGGTGTAGTTGGCGTCGGCGATTCTAAACTACCTTCGCTTAAACTTAAAGGTTCTGCATCGCTACTACCGGTTTCGTTATCGGTACTAAGCGCGCGTAGTAAAATCGTTGGCGCAGGGCTAGCCCCTTCTTCGTCCTCGCTGTCCATTGCTGCCCGATGTCTAGAAATAATTGTTAATTAACTTTATCTATCTACATAATAAAATATCGTAAGATACTCGACACAAATAACTTACTGTATAAAATAGTCGATGTTGACATAGTTGCTCTGATTCCCTGGTGAATCTGGAAGGGAAGGTGGTCTCCTTGGTGGTACCCTGCTGCCATTATTATTTCCAACAGGTGGTACACGTGCATCAATATATACATATTCTCCTGTTTGATCTAAAGCTACAGAATCATAATAAGGTTCCTCCTCGGATGCTTCTGCATCACCATCTTCTCCATCTTCATTAATCGCATTCTCCAAATCTGTTTAGTAGATACACGCATAAAAGATATTGAATGTAATTAAAAAATTAATATGTAACAAATGTAACACCTTTCTCATCCTCTTCTTTGAGGGATTCTTCATTTTTATCTTTCTTTGAACTTCCCGTTACTTCAATCACAGTGACATAATTACTTGGCACATCTGGGTCACTGTTTCTTCTAAGTTCAGGCACTTTATCAGGACTTTTTGGTATTTCACTTTTGGGTCTTTTGCTTGTACTAAGAGTAGAACTCAGCTCAGAAACACACTTGTCTTGAAATTTACTTATATCCTCGCGGACAGGAAGAGGCGGAGCTGATGGTTCCACGTGTTGAACATGAGATAAGTTTGTAGAATCAGACAAATTATTATCCGATTGGCAACTGTGTTGATTGTGAGATTCTGAACGTTGCTGCTTTTCAGGCGTGGTTGCAATGTTACTATTCGCCAATTGCTTGTGACGTTCAACATCGGCTAATAATCTTTCCAAATATTCCACATAGAATTCTTCTTTTTCAAGTTCTTCTCTCAAAGCTGTTACCTATGAAAATAACAATATCTTAATTAATTTACAATTTATATTTCTTTTATAATGATTGTCCACACCAGCACATTATGAAACAAATAATCTAAATACATCTTTTTAGCTCGTGATAAAATTCAGATAAGCAAGCAATGATTCACTAAGGGTGAACCAAAACAGGAAATTTAGCAACAAGAATTAAAATTCATAGTATGACATTTATTTAAAAATACTTAACGATTTTATTTCCTTTCTACATTAAAATGTACATTTATTCAAATTGACTTTTAATCAATGCAATTACAACAAATATACCACATCCCAAATATCAACCACACTCAAATATGAATTAAATTAATGTCCCAGTTGAGGAAGATGACTCATAGAATAAGTTCCCATTAGGAATCAGCAATGAGGAAAGTTTATATAATAAGAACTTAATTTATTGCACAAATTTCTAAAGATTTCAATGCTTTCGTTCATCTATTTTTAAAATATGCAAACTTTCTACAATGATGTGTCTAATTCAAAATACTCAGAAGCATATCCTGAGTTTCATTATCTGTTACTTGTGATACTAAATAAAGAATACATCAATCCTTCATTACGATGGGTTCTCCAAAACTGTTGAAAGCAATCCTTTGTTAGAACAATTAAGAAGATGAGAATAAAACTTTGATGTGGGTTTTTACCTTCTGTTTATGCTTGACTAGGTTGGCCCTGACGTCTTCCTCCCAAGCCGCCGGCAAGGCGCTGTCCGGGAATCTTTGTACCCAGACACGCTGAAAATCCCCGAAAACGCTCATTACTCCACTCCACGACGTTGAAAGGAAATACTCCTCGGGGATGGTGATGATTTCAAGCAGGATTCAGGCCGCTGTGTACATTGCACGGGCGCGGCGATCGCGGTTCTCACCCGAATACGTCTGATTACGATCTCGTTTCGAGGCAGAGATTCAACTGAAATAAACGTGTCACCGTAACGAGGCATAAGTCATTAGTTTTAGCCGCGAACGATTTTCCTTCCTTGTTACAACGCGCAACTTTCAGCCAAGAATCAACGAAACGGGCGTCATACGGCCGCTGTCATCTTGTCGACATCTCCTGCGTAGCTCACGATCCGATCCCCATGCCCTCTCCTATCATTTTGACGCTTCTGCTATACTCTATTCGCAGACAGTGGCCTCTCGCAGGAGCAGGTGCGCTTCATGGATAATGCTTTTTACTACGCGCTTACACCGGATTGAAATTTACATCTCTTACGAAATAAAAACTTTATTTTCTATTTTCCTTTTCATGAAATCATTTATATTCATCCCTGTAAAACAACGAATGGCATATCATTAAAAAGGAACTTTGATTTCAATAATAACATGTGGATGATACAAGAATGATCTATAATCTATAGACGCAGTTTATAGTTCCCAATTATTATCATATAAAATTTAAATAATATATAATAATTAGAATTAACTGATTTTTTACTAAAATTCTTATGTTTTAAATATAATAGGAACTGTTTGCGTATGATTTATAATAAGATGTAATCTCAGGGATCTATTTAAGAATACAATTGTTATTGATAATCATTATAATAATTATTATGCTTGATAAGTACCATTACTCTGCAATTATTTCAATTCTTGTTCTGTACAGTCCATACATACTAACATTGTCAAAATAATAAGACGCTCCAGTGTGCGTATTTTAAACTAAAAAGTAGCGGAAGACTCAAAACAATATTTCTTTACGATGATTAATTAATTATATTTATTAAACCATGTATTTAAATATGAAATGAATACGATACTTACTTTATAATAGACATTTATGTATGTTTTATTTGTACAAAATTATTAATTATTACATTTTTTTTAATATCATACTTTTGTCAGCTACTGTACGGGTATAGCTGTCAATCTCGACGACAACACAATTTAGAGGTTATGTTACTTTTAAAAAATTAATGGATTTTTAGTAATTTTTCCATTTATTTACAAAAATGTCGACTGTAAACGAGAAACAAGAAGGTTCTTTAGTACCTGAGTTATTAAAACATATGAAATCAGGTTCTAAAAGTGGAATATCATCATGTCTAGAACGACTTAAAAATGAACCGAATTGCTATAAGCAATTTACAAGAGATGCAGGACTAGGCATTTTAGTAAATTTACTTCGTTTTCATAATTTAAGAATATTGAACATGACTCTGAGTATTCTGGCAAATGCATGTATCAATTCAGATGCAAGAGAAAAGGTATCAATGTATTTACTTCTATATTTTTTTAAAAATAATCAATCTTGTGTCATACAGATATAGTAATCTGTCTACAATTTTTCATTTATTCTTAGCAGCATTTTGCTAATTACTTTATATTACAGGTCAAAGGATCTAAAATAGCAACTCGTGTAGTCTCTATAATTAAACATATCAAGCTAGAAAATGCTCTACACTGCCGTGCGTGTAGATTAATTGGAAATTTGTCAGAATGTAATTGGCATGCCAAATCACTGTGCGAAGCTGGCGTAGTTCAAGCTTTAGTCACTCTTTTAAAATTGGATACAAATATGCAAACCTATTTAATGGGTGTTAGAGCTATAAGGTATTGGAATATAATTATGTATTATAATATAATAACTTCGTAATGTTAATCAGTACTTTTGATTTATTTGCATATTATTCTTGTAGGAATATTTGGAGTATGCACGAAGGTAGTAGAGAAGAAATCATTGAATCTGGAGTAATATTTAGAATCACAGGTTTATTAGTGTTGGCAAAAGAAAAGTTGGAAAGAAATCCTAAATATTTGGAATTGATTGAAACCTGTTTAAAAGCTATGTGTGCTTTTCTGGTTACAGTGGATCCTTGTGTTAGGGAACAAATGAGAGGAGAAAAAGATGTACAAGGGTACAAATGCATTGTACAATGTTGCGATATGAATAATAAAATGGCGATTAAGTGTCTATACAATCTCTGTCAAGTGGCAGAATGTCGTCCTATTCTGGGAAATTTTGGTGCTGTTGAAAGTCTTATTGCTCTTGTAAGAGATCATTCAGAACTGTCTAAAGAAACACTAGTCAGTTTATGCCTGTTTTGTAGAGAAGCTGTAAATAGAGCAAAAATTAGAATAGGATCTGGTTTAGAATTAATGTTATCTTTATTAAAAGATCCTGACAATGAAAAGTACCACCCAATGTTATTACATGCACTAACACAATTTGTTTACGATGATCTAAGTATTGCAATAATGGTGAAAAATGGTTTACTTGACATTTTAGTTACCAGGTTGAAAAAAATGGTAATTGAAACAATAGACGAAGAGGAGATTAATGTTTCAAGAAAAAGAAGTAATGATTCTCCTCCAAGTAAACAGTCAGAGTTCAAGTTTAACAAGACTAGTGCAGGACGGTACGTTTATAATATTTTTTACCATATTGTAAAAAGGATATGTAATTAATCATTTTACTTTTAACGAACAGGTTTAGTTTAGATTACTATCGCGATGATTGGAGTCCAGGCAGTGCTTCCAGTGTTTCTTTTTCACCTCCTAGTACACCACCATTACCATTTTATGACTCAATAGAAAATGATGAAAACACCGAAGATAACTACAGTCCCGTTTGTAGTGATATCGAGCTTATGGATAACGAAGATGGTAAACAAAATTTCATAATTTACAATAATTTTCATAAAACAATTATATATAAATACATATTGTTTATTTTCAGAGCCACAAGAAGAGGTAGAATCGCTAAAGAGCTGTAAATCGATAACTATAAATATAGAAGTATCCCAAGATTTGGATAAAGGAAACAAATCAAACGATTGTGATTATACAAACGACTGGACGTTAGTGCTACTAAGTCGACTGAGTCATTCAAATGACCCGATCGACAAATTAGCAGATCCTACGATCATTGAAGCTCTGTCAACTTATATTAAGTGTGCCAAAAATCAAAGAGCATCTAGAATTTTAACCAGAATTACAAGGTAAGCAAAAAAAATTTATTTTGCAATTAAAACTTACATGAATAAATGTAAATATTTTTTTTCTTTTCATACAGGAATGGAGCATATTTAATTCCATTATTAAAACAGGGTTTTGTTTTTGAAGCTCAGACACTGTACGGTTCAGAACATTATACAAGACAATTATGTGCGCTAGCAGAAACCGGCGGAGCAATAGGTGAACTTACATCTATATTGCTACGCGGAGAAGAAGCACATAAATTAGTTATCGCAGTATCGATACCATTCCTAATTAGATCACGGTACATTCTAAAATCTTTACTAAATAATTACGGTGGTTTACGATTAATATTTCACGTCCTTTCCGATCAACAACACAGTCTTTATGAGAATGCTATTTGGTCGATCTGTCAATTAGCGAGCACCTTAGAAATTCAACCTGACATAGTAGAAAAGTGTCAAATTACAGACACTACTTCGACCGATTTTCCACGAGTGTACGACAATCATCCGAAACCTGCGACAGTTACATTCGAATTGGACGACGGTACAACTGTCGATGCCTGCAGACAAACTCTGTGTCAGAAATCCGACGCTTTCTCTGCTATGCTCGAGGGAAACTTTTCTGAATCAGGGAAGAAACGTGTTAAGCTACGAAACACGTCAAAGGAAAGCCTCAACACATTATTACTTGCTGCAAATGGAGCAACTTTTGAAAATAGAACCATAGAATCTTTACTGGACGCTGTGCTATTAGCTGATAAATTTTTAATGGCTGATATATCAGAAATCTTAACGGAGAGTTCCATATCTAGATTGAATTACAAAAATTTTAGCAGAGCTTGGAACTGGGCCCGATTAAATTCTTGCCATGAATTAAAGTCCTGTTGCGTGAAGAGCTTTCTTACTGCTTCTATGACTAAGTCTGAAAGAGTTCAAGCATTTCATGGTTTTTCTACCACTGGAAGTTTTCATGAATTTTTGGACGAAGTAAGAGAGATCATTAATAACGTTCTGTGCCAACGTTAATGATATATATATATATATATATATATATAATTGTGATATTTAATAGCGACGATGCAAACAAGAGTATTCTCATTCCCTACGTAGAAAGCAATCAATGAGATTTTTATATTGTATATTTTATTCAACCTGTATCCTGATCGTGCTTACTGTGAATATATTTTAAGGCATGGGATTCGTGTATATTAATAATTATACATTTTATGATCGTCTTTTAATTCGATACACTAATTGTACATATGAAATAGTTAAAGTATATAAAATTTAAATGTATACAGATAAAACGTATAAATGCTTCATGATGAAACAAAAAGAAAACAATCAAAAGTATTACAACATTTACCATTTCATGTATTCTTTTATGGTCTTTTCACATGAATTCGTCACTTACATTGGGTATTATCTTCGCGTTAATTTCAATTTTATGGATTCCGAGGGAACAGAAATCAAGTGTAAAATTAATTTCACTTCATCTTTGTTGATGCAATCTATTTTGAACGATTTGATCAGCTGCAATGTTCCATAGAAAAATGTATAAATTATTTAATTCTTCATATTTCTTGAGTCAAATTATGCATATACCTCTGCTAAAGCAAGCGATATCTGTATTTCTGCAAGTTTTCGACCAATGCAGCTTCTTGCACCTAAAGCAAATGGTAAACTTGCATGGGGGTGTATCACACCTTTGTATGTACCACTTTCTGTCCTAATCCACCTTTCTGGAAGAAACTCGTTTGGTTGTGGAAAATTTTTGCTATCTCTACCACTCGAATAAAGTGATAGCACCACCAATTCCTATGATATACAAATTATGAATTAATTAAATTTTTTATTTAATAATACGGTTCTTTTTCAAAGAGTGTAACAACGAATTCATTTACCCCTTTTGGTACAAAGTAATTACCAATCACACTATCTTCTGGTATGTATCTGGAAATAAATGGAGCTGTTGGATATAATCTAAGAGCCTCTTTAATAACTCCTTTTAACAGAGAATCATGCAGCAATTCTTTTTCTGGAAGATCCTTTAAATGTTCGAATAATTGTTCTTGCACATCGGGATATTTGCATAACAGTAACAATATCCACTGTAAAGTAGTCGCTGTCTAAACAATAAGCATAGTACATGTTATTTTTTAAATGCAATTAATTTAATTTTATCATCGTTTAATTAAAATTAAATCGCACCGTATCCCCAGCTGCTAAAATAAAATCGATAACAATGCAGATTGCATCCTCTTCTTGGATTCCTTCGTCTAACATTTTTTTAAACAATCCATTACCGCCTAATCGAGTCATTTCCGGTACCAGAATTCGTACGATTTCAAAAGCCGTGTCAGCAGACTCAGCGAATTTCGTCCACACTGGTAATCGTAAAGCCATTGCTAATTTAGCCGGCATCGTAGATAACTTAGCTGAATATTCAAATATTTTGTACAATGTCTTCGCCAGCTTTTCTTCATTTCGCGATAACTGTTCTTTACAAGAGTGCCAGGAGGAACCCATTAAGGTAGCCAACATTGCTATTGAATAAAAATTGCGTTGTATAGGGTTATCGAAATTGAGTGTCACATCTTGAAATTGAAATAAAACGCAAAGTATCTGATTTTTGTACTGTGACACTCGATTTAGATAACCCTACATATCTTAACTATAATTTAACTTTACCCTCTATAGACCATTGATAAAGCTGAACTTGTATATCCTCTATAATAGTATTTCTCTCAATTTGTTTTTCCCAGTTCTGTCGAAACTTCTTAGCTACCTCGTAACACGGTTCCGCCATTAGACTCGTCGAATTTCGCGCCAACATTACTTTATTCAGTATTTTACGAAAGTGCACCCATTCTTCTCCATCCCTGCGCGATTCGAAATTGGAAAACAAAAAATGTAGGTTATAATTTTTCATTAAATCATCGAATCTCCTTCAAACGGCGACGTACGCTCAAAGATACCATACATAAACAGTAAACCGCGGCGACGTTTTCGAATCTCGTTGTAAAGGGTCCATGCTTCCGGTAGGAAGTGTCTCGGCGCCGAGCCTTCCAGTCGAAATATCCTAAGATATTCGTGGGGCGAATTGACGAACACCGCCGTTACTGGTCCTAAACATTCTCTGTAAACGGGTCCTAGTTCCTTGTGCCTTTTGTCGACATATTCGTGCTGTCTTTTCGGGCCGCCAAAAAATAGAAACGAGAAAATAGTCCCGAACACTGGAAAACCCCATGGCTCTGGTGCTTCCTGTAAGACATTTTCCGTCGCTGTTGTGGCAGCGGTGGCATAGTTTCTGTCGTTTCTGTCGCGCAATTTTTCTGCTATCTCTATTTTCGATTTGGCCGCGCCATCTGCAGATTTCGAGATATCGGACAGATCATCGATTCTCGAAGAGTGCGACGCGCCTGCGTATCCGCAATCTGGTATACGACGCTTCACCGGAACTACACTCACTGATTTAACAGTTTTCAAAACGTTTCGTGTACAATTCATCTTGCAATTGAAGAATGGCTCTTCCTTATTAACCCGTATAAGAATTATTTCACATTGAACACACGATATGCTATTCGGTTTAAATTTGAAACTCTAATTTGCAGACGAATCGTTTTTCCTCCAGATGACGGACGTGACTTTATTGGAGACAAAATGATCCGGTACCTTGATAGGAGCTCCTGTTTTCTTTCCCTGCTGTCATGCTAGATAACACTTATTGAAGTCCGCTCCAACGATAACACTGGTGACAGATCAACATAGATGCTTTGTTCTTTTTCTAATTATACTTTTAATCGACATCTTTTCAACGTGTACTTTTATTGAAAACTTTCAGGGTACTGTTCGTACATCTGGATAAATCTGTTGCGGTTTCCGGCTGTAACCGGAAACAGCCACGGTAACGGAAGTATTGAATTATAAGAATGGCGGAATTCGAAGAAAATATTCAAGTTACACACTGATTGCAGAACACTGGTTCACACGTGAAGAAGATCGAATACCGTTTACTATGCCGTTATCTAGAAGCCGTTTACCCCTCCGCTCCAGGTTTCCACTTTCTTCCATGAGAATTCTTTCGCCTCGTCATTCACACTACTCTTGTTTTTTAACGATTACACTGACGTCGCTATAATTACGCGCAATTAATGTAAATCACCGTTCGTGGTAATTATTCTTAAATGATACGCCTGGCACGTACCGAACAGATTACAGTTTCACGTTGTTAATATTTAAATTCAGTGTAACAATTATCAATGTATATGTATTGCTAATATAAATAACTAAATTATCGTTACGTTTCGGTATCGATAACGGTTCCGATAAGAAACGATAATTTTCTTAATGCGCACGCATTTAACTTTCATAAATATTGATAAGTATTAGCAATTGAACTAAGTCTTCTAATGGCATGCAATTAAAGACACTGATATGCTATTTTAAATACAGTGGATCCAAAAAGTATTTGTACACCGTTTAAAACAGAGTACCTCGTTTAAAATTGGACCAAATGACGAGGTTTCTCAGGAAGCTATACAAATTAATTTACTAAGATATGTGCTTTTGTCGTTTTAAACAATTATAATTTGTTGAAATCGTGAAAGAATCGCTACTTTTCTATAATTTGCATAGCTTCTCGAGAAACCTCAAGTAATTTGGTTCAATTTTAAACGAGGTACTCTGTTTTAAATGGTGTACAAATACTTTTTGAACCCACTGTATGTTATATTGCAATTACTTATGCGTGAAACAAGTTTGCACTTATATAGCATCATTTTTTATCAACTGCAACGGTGATGTTCACTTACGCTCTTCATTTTCACTGTACTATAAATGTTTTCGAATGTTATTTTTATAAACAGCGAATGTTTATTGTTCAATACTAATAATGCTTTTTAAAATTATTCACTGTTATCTAGAAACAGAGACGGCGACCACTGTACACTGTTTAACAGTTTCGAAGATATTTAAATGAACTGCTGAAACTTCTTACTCGAAGTGGGGACCACGTTTCAGATTCCAGGAACTAAGGATCACGAACTGTATAAATTTCAATCGAAATATAAAGACAATTTGTACGTAATTATAGATACTGTATCTGAAATTATTATTATATTTATTTATGTTTACAAAAGACGTACACGGTAACAGGTAAATAAGATTTTCTATTAAATACGTATTAAGTCACTTTTCGTTAATCAGTGATTAGTAATACAATGCTTCCTGTTTATAGAACATGGAAGAGCGATTTGATGGTATCACCAGTTAGTCTAACACTTCTGGACAGGCCACTTTATCCACAAAATCACGATGTACCTAGAAACATGAACAAATGTTATTTACATAGATAAAGGGGAAAGATATTCTACATGAATAAAATCAATCGACTTTAGACAAAGCGATAGAGATTATAAATAATGCAACCTTTAGACGAAATATCGCTTTAAATTATTACCATAGTAATGTTTGTCGATAGAAACACGGATACTTAACAAAACATAGAGTACTTACGTATGTAGATGATACGAACCATAATGAATGAAACACATCAAGTTATACAAGGTAATTCTTTGTACACTTTATAGCAAAAAGTGAAGAGAAACGTTTAAAAGTTTGTCTAGCACTGACATAGGTAATATCTAATTGATCATTAGAAAACACTATCATTAAACAATATTAAGTCTCTGATTTTGATTTAATTACAGAGCAGAAAAAGGAGTATTGGTGAGCTGCATATATTATTGAATGCATATTAATCTATCTAATCTCCGCCTGAAGACACGTATGATTAAAGGTAATACGTTTATCAGAAGAGCAAGGTTTTTCATGCAGAAAGAAATCGGCAGATCCAAGTTGAAAGAATCGCGAAATGAAGTACAACCGATGAATAGAAAGGAACTTGTTTAGCAGAGAATGCAAGCACTTTTGTCTTCTCAGATCGGTGGAGCACTGTCTGGTCAACGACCGTGAAAAAATTCGCGTGTTTAACGATACGACAGCACGCTGGTTAAATTAACCGACTGTATTGTGCTAGTCGAATCTGACGATTCCTTGATATTTACGTATTCACGAAGCGTGACCTGTTTAAACGTGAATACGAATAAACGCGAAGTAAATTGAAATTTTTAAAAATGCAACTCACCGGACGATACCGAGAGCACGTTTCAATGTGTGGATACGTAAAATCAGGAAGGATATATTATTACATTCAAGTTAGCAAGATAATCAAACAATAGTTTTATGAATTAATTAAAAATTGGTATTATTATTATATTACATATTATTACAAGATAGAATCTTGCAAAAATTTGACGATAATAATGTTTTTGTTTTAGCTATAGAAGATTAAAATTCCGAATGATAATAATAATATATAATCGAATACAACTGATGAAGAACGACTCAGAAGCTATTATCACTGGAATTATGTAAGTTGGATATTAATATTATGTTCATCTCCGTCAAGAAATAATTTCAAGCCATTTCATTTCCGACTATCAGTTTTATTTTAAGAATTTACTTGTTATCAGAAATGTAATTATTATTATTAGTAACAGTAATTATTATTAGTAATTATTAACGGTAATTATTATTAAAATAGTAACAGTAATTATTATTAACAATTATTAATAGTAATTATTAAAAATTAATCTCCTTAAAATGTTATGTATTTAAAATGGTCGTTTGGATGTATGTACATATATTAATAATTTACTATTCATTGCTCAATGATTATTATCTTTTTGTCTAAAAGAGGCTTTTGAAATACGTTTTTATCATACGTCGGGTCTGAAGATCACGGCTTCCAGAGCACTCTGCCGCTAAATCCAGAAAAAGGTACTTGGGTATAGGAACACGAATCATTGCATACCTGAATTTTTAGTGAGTTCTTGGCTCTCGTCCCTTTATTTCGCTACGATGAATACCGATGTTGAGTCCTGTTTAAAAGACTGGAACGACCTAGCAAAAGATTACAAGGAATTAGAAGTAAGATAATTTTTTGTTAATCCTAAATACTAATCTTGTCAATGTTTAACACGTTGAACGATTTTTGTCGAGGTTAAGTGTATATTTTATTTATCTCTCCTTGAAACCGGTATTCGAGAAGCTTTCTGTTTCATTCAGTACTGAATTCAGACAGCTTTCCTTAACTGTATTTTCAAACATACAGTTCAACTTTGATTTATGAAGAATTTCATTATTCTCTACACGATTGTTCATTGTTTAATCAATGTTTTGTAAACAAAGAACCTTTGCATATTATACAAGTATTTTTTAATTGTATTAACAGATATTGAACAGGGAGTACCTCGCAAAATTAGAAGAAGTAAGCGAACTACAAGCGAAATGTTTAAATGGAATCTCACATCAGAGGTACAGAATGGGTGTAATATCAAAGTCCCTGAAACAGTAAGTAACCAATTTTTAATTCTAAATACATGTATTTTTAAGTAAAATAATATACTAGTCTGCATTAGGTTACATGCAAGTGAAACAAGAAAAGGTTTAGACAAAGAAATGGCAAGAAGAGAAGAGCAGTTACATGAAATTGAACAAACTTTGCCAAAAAAGAATGGCACATACCTTCAAATTATTTTAGGAAGCGTTAATGTGTCCATTTTAAATAAAAGTGATAAGTAAATAGAAAACATTAATAATTTTAATTAAAACGAAATGACATTAAAAGATATATATTTAAATTATTTGTCTCTTAGGTTCAAGTACAAAGATGAATACGAAAAGTTCAAGTTAATTCTCTCTGTAATTGGTTTTATTTTATCTGTATTAAATTTACTCACTAATATCAGGTAACCCATTATTGATTTTGTATTAAAACTAAAATTCATCTGTAAGAAGCTAATGTGATTATGTATTGTTGTAGAACATTGGAACTTAGTTTCATGTTTCTTCTAGTTTGGTATTATTGTACATTGACAATAAGAGAAAGTATATTGAAGGTAAATGGTTCAAAAATCAAAGGTTGGTGGAGATTTCATCATTTTCTATCGACCGTAGTATCTGGTGTTTTATTAGTATGGCCTAACACAGGACCATGGTATGCATTTAGGCAACAGTTCATGTGGTTTAATGTGTATATCAGTAAGTACTTTGTTAAATATATTGTATAATTTACCATACCTTGTTTCTAAGAATTAAAAGATTAATTTTAATTTACAGGTGTGGTACAATATTTACAATTCTGTTATCAACGCGGTGTTTTGTACCGTTTGAAAGCGCTAGGCGAAAGACATAATATGGACATTACCATAGAAGGTTTCCATTCATGGATGTGGCGTGGATTATCGTTTTTGTTGCCGTTCCTTTTTGCTGGATATGTATTTCAATTGTATAATGCATATGTATTATACACATTAATATCCCATCCAGAAGCAACTTGGCATGTTCCAGTCCTTAGTGCCATGTTTTTAGTACTATTCTTAGGCAACATAATAACAACTATCATGGTAATTCCTCAAAAATTAAGACAACGCGTAAGAGATCATTTTCCTGGAGTATTTACATCTAAACCTGAACAAAAGAAAGAGGTAAATGGAGAGAAGAATGTAAAGGCTCAAAAATGTGAGTAAACAAATTATAACGTTTAATAAGGTGATTATGAGAAAGAACAAATAATTTGTAAGTGCGAAAAACAAAACAAAAAAAATCACCAAAAAAATTAAGAGTAGTTTAAAAACACAAGTAGTATAGACACATCAGTTCTGGATCCAGGAATGCACAGCATACCAAAAAAAAGGTGAAACGTGAAATCTTTCCCAAACATATTGACTCCAAGCACAAGACTAATTAATGTATATTATCTTGTTGTAATAGAGGGACAACTCCTCAAAAGTATTTCTTTTATACTCGTTTTCATATTTAAAAGAGCACATGCAACTCCGTTCATACTAACCAATGTTTTATTTAAATAAGTGTCAATGCATAGTAAAATTGCCATTATGCTGTTTTTTTTTAAATTTAAATAACAAAGTTGAAATATAGTTATATTCCATTATTTCATAGGTTAAATGTATACATAATTGAAAAATATTGTGAATGTTATTTAAAAATAGTAATTTTGTGCAGAAATTCATTAAACAACTTTTTTTCTACCTTCAAGCTTTTCAGTTTTATATTCATTGTCTTTGTTAGTCTTTATTAGTGCAAACCTAACCTATACCAAATCTAATTTCGTGGCTTGAAAATAGTGATGTTTAAACAAATGTAATTACTCTAAAACAGTTATATTTCACATATATTATATTTAAACTGTAATGGCACAGCGAGAAACATCATGACGGCTGATATTTCGAACGAAGAGCTACGTAAAGAGATCGCCGCTATCCTTGAGGATGCAGACCTTACAGTTATGACTGTTAAGAAAATAAGGCTACAAATTGAAGAAAAATTCGACATAGATCTTACTTCAAGGAGACTGGAAGTGGACAAATTAGTCATGGAGTGCTTACGAGGAAAGCAAGATGAAGCTAAGAAGACTTCTAGCGAAGAATCCAAGGATGGTGAAGAAGAAGAGGAAGAGGGATTTGAAGAAGAAGAGGAAGAGGTCTACGAAGAAGAAGAGGAAGAGGGATACGAAGAAGAAAAGAAACCGCTCAAAAGAAGTACTGCAAAGAAAGCAGTAAATAAATGTAAAAGAAGATCTTCCGATGAAGAAGAAAGTGCAAGTGATAATGATGCTAGTGACGAAGAATATAGTTCAAGGAAACCAAAGAAGACAGGTAAACCTAGAAAGATTTCGAACGACGAGCTATTCGACGAGATCACCGATATCCTTAAGGATGCAGACCTTACAACTATGTCTGCTAAGAAATTAAGGCTACAAATTGAAGAAAAATTCGACATGGATTTTTCTAATAGGAAAGTAGAACTGGACAAAATAGCCATGGCGTACTTACGAGAAAGGCAAGATTGAGCTAAGAAGAAGAAGAAGACTGCTAGCGAAGAATCTGAGGATGGTGAAGAAGAAGAAAAGAAGCCCTGCAAAGAAAGCAGTAAATAAACCTAAAAAAGGATCTTCAAAAGTTGTGAAGAAGGTTTGTACTATCATCAAAGAGAGGAACCTTTATGATTCGTCGCAATTTGCGACAATGAATTAATAAAAGTAATTGGAGTAAAACGTTTCAGAACTTTCGGTATGATGAAGTACCTCAAAAGTTATTTTGTAGATTAAATCATCTATGAGCCATGATCTCTGACTGGTTATAAACATTGTATAACATATTCCAAGGATGCAAAGTGCATCCTTTCCACGCGATGCATACATAAATACAGTTCGAAATGTGGCAAACAATTAAAATGGCCAATAGTCAATAAGCTGGTTTTAAGTCAATGTAATAAGAATTAAGGTTCAATCGTTTGCCTGATGGTACTTCTAAACAGCAGCAAGAAAGTCAAAGTAACGTAAAGAGGTCTTTGAAATCATTTTAAAAGTGGCGTTTTTTTATTTTTTACTGTTTATTTTATTACGTAAAAGAAAAAAGTAAATACAGTGCGATGAAAATAAGAAGAAAGACGGTACAAAAGAAAAATCAACATCCTGTACCTCTTCTGTATAATAGTTACATTATACAATATACTGAAATTATTACTAAGTGAAATATAATTATATTATCGTGTAATTACTGATTATTCTCGTAATATAGGTTTCTTGGTGTAAAAAAATTCACCTAACTTTTAAGATTTAATGGTAAAAGAAGAAGTGAATGTATTTTAGCGAAGGTACGATGTATGCATATTAAACAAACAGAAAAAGTCACAGTATGTGCAGCACTGCACAATATTTGAACTGTAATACACAACCGAGCGTACATACTTATATTCTGTATATATACCATTATGATAATTTAATTAGAGTAACATATACCGACGCGCACATCTGTACATTCTGTATTCGCTGTACTGCTAATAATTATTTGTAATTGTAATGCATGAAACCCTTATAATTTATACAATATAAATATTTTTCTGTTCTCATTGTATTTATTAAATTATATGTGTAAATAAAAAACCGATACCAGTCGCCTGATATTAAAGAAAATAACATTTACAAAAAGAGTGGACATGCCCTCTTCTTCTCTCTTCTACTACACCTCGTATTCACAACTGAAAAGACACAATTTTGGCTCCCTGTGATTCCATTTTTTAGACCGAAAAGTTGTTAAAATAGTTATTTGATGAAGTTGTACTTTAAAAAATGCGCCATAGATTAAAATTTTTTTAATTCGATCCTGGCGACATCTATACGAAAACGGCTGAAACTACTCAATACGTTACCGGCGTTACTAGGACCACTAGCGCCACCTATCGGGTAACCTCGGAAACTATTCGACAAGTAGTTTCCGAGCTTTCCGGGTAGATGGCGCTAGCGCTCCCGTTTCAAAAAATCTTGGTCGATAACTTGTTGAGTAGTTTGAGCCATTTTTGTATAGATGGCGCTAAGATCGAATTTTAAAAATTTTAATTTTAGGCGGTTTTTTTTAAATACAAAATAAGTAAATTCATACAGTAGATTCATAAAAGGAAATCAATTAATTTTTAAATTTCATGTAAGTAAAGTTTATAAGTATAAATGTTCGATTATTTTGCTATATATATTGGCAACTCTACTGTGTTTCAAATAATCAAATACCGGTAACCATGCTAAAATAAAAATAATCGCAGTACTGGAAGATATACGTGCAATATCCCAATCAATACAGTATTATGTGATACAAAATATTGTAAGGGAGTGGAATACAACAAAGCATTGCATGAGTGATCTATCCTTACGTATCTATCGTTTGTGGTCTAAATGACAATGCAACTTCCATTAGTCACTTGTACGTAATATACTTACAACAACGAATGTAAAAATTCAGTACAAGTGCTTCCATGTTTATCCTTCAGAATAGTTACATTACTGGATACACTTCAGACGCAATAGATAGTGTTAAACCTTCTCGTGCGCACTCCCTGCTATTGATATTCGATAATTCAACGTTAAGGATAACACGTTACGTTTCTTTTTATAAATAAAATGCCTGTGAAAGTATCTTGGCCGCTTGTAGTAGGTATTATCCATCCAAATATTGGAGGATGGGCTGGATCGTACTTGACTCAAAAAAATATTAAACCTTGGTACGAGGTAATTAAATTTATCAATTTTTCAAAGTATTCGAATTTAGCGGGTAACAATTTTGGGTATGGTGCCTAATAATTTTAGTTGACAAGTTTAATTTGCTGTTTAAACTTTTCTAACTTTTTAATAGTCGTTAAAAAAACCTTCATGGACTCCACCAAATTGGGTATTTGGTCCAATATGGACAACTGTTTATTGTACAATAGGATATTCTTCATATTTAGTATGGAAAGATGGTGGTGGTTTTAGAGAAGCAATAATACCACTTTCTATTTATGGAACTAATTTAATACTAAATTGGTCATGGACACCACTGTTCTTTGGATTACACAACATAAAATGGGTACCTGTACTAGGATAAAGCATGCTATTCTATTTTGAGTAATAATTCTAATCATTTTTTTTAATATTATAGGCTTTATATGAAATCACATTATTATGGGGAAGCACTGTAGCAATGGGTATTGCATTTTACAATGTAAATCAAATTGCTGGCTGTTTAGTCATTCCATACTTAATATGGAATTCATTTGCCACAGCATTGAACTATGTCATTTATAGGGATAACGAACGAAACGTAGAAAGTGTTGCAGGTGGAAAAAAGGAATAACACGTAATGATACTTTTGTAGCAAAAAAATAAAAACATTGATATATATATCAATCAATGAAAATAATACTTTATACTTTAATCTGGTTGCAATTATTATACCACCATCATTTAAGAAATCAGCTTTGCACTGAATGCTCAATGCTGTTAGTATACACATGTTTATTGTTTGATATGAAATAAAGGTTAGTCAATCAACCATACGTACATCACAATGTATATATATATTATATATATAACATAATATATATATTATATATATCATTAATAAACCATATAAAGAAACTTGTAAAGAACCACTTTCGTACTCTTTCACGGCGTAATCTACCCTATTCTCTGTAGATCTAACAAACCTTACTATATATGTTATCTTCTCTTTTTCTACAATGTCATCTTTGTAGCGTGATCGCAATGATCAATGAATAAACAGTTTTTATACGGAATAGGGCAGAATATCTTACAGAAAGGAAGTATCGAATATGGTATGGTTTTGGGCGGGTTGCTGTACTTCGCTGCGATTTTTCACAACCGCTATGTAGGATCAGTTGCGTAAATGTAACCTTGTTGTTGAAGTACGTACAAGCGTTTTTCAACAGCATCTTTGTCTGAAATGAAAAGAAAATCATAGTACTCTGAAACAAAAAAGTAGCAATTTAAAAAAATTGAAATTACATTTAATAAGGAGAGCTCTATCCTGACTGTGACTGACATGCTGCGATAATGAATGCAATAATATCTGTGCCGAGTGATATCGTTGAAAACATTCAGCAGGATTGCCGAACAATTCATCAAGTGCTGCCGACTGACACTGTTGGAAAAATTTCACGCATTAATATATGTTTGTTTAATATAATCGCATTACATATAATTTACCATTTGTATGGCATGATTATAGAGAATTTTGTCCGCGGTGGCTCCCGTTTGATGAAGAAGCCCAGCGCTATTGAGCTGTTTACATTCTGTGAGGCACGTTCTAAATTTTTCATTCATTGTATTCACAACTGAAATATGTTAGCGATGATAATTTAATAACACAGAGTTTTATATATAATAATTAGAAACGAAAATAGAATTTTTACCTTCTTTAACACTGGCGGTGGGCTGTAATCTACCAGCCTTCAATTGTTGCGTCGCCAAACTTAATCCAGAACTGAGCCACTGAAGAGCTCTAACAAGTAGAATTACTTGTTCAGCCCTTCTTCTCGTTGCGGCGTTACTTGCCTGTTCGATGCCACCCAAAGGTGCGCCCAAAGGTCCGGCTCGCGTTCTGGCTACCTCGCATACACACTCGCACAATGCGACAACAAAATTTAACTTCGCTAATATTTCGTTGTGTTCTCGTTCCAAAAGCGTCTCTTCCGGGAGTTCAGGTGCGATGAACGTCAACGGGCGTTCGTCCATTATTGTAGGATTTACTTCCGGTAGAAGATTTTGGAAACTACCTGCCTCTGTGAATTTAATCGAGGATAAAATTATCGTTCGGAAATGATAAAAGTTTGAAAATGATGGAAAGATAATGTACCTGATATTTCAGGAAGAGTAACAGCTCTTGTACCAAAAGGAATAACAGGTGAATGCCTTAACGTGTTATTATTATCCTGAAACGCTCTCGATGTTGGAGAACCTAACACCGCTAGTGGCCCTGTTAATAACGGCGATGATGCACTATTATTGCCGGTTGAACGTCTTAAAGGTGACGTCCCGCTAGAGGTATGCGAATGCCTTGCAACAGGACTAACTTGCCATGTATTTGGCGGTGGTGGTGTCTCGCTTAATCTAAAAATTATTACAATTGAATAGAACTATAATTGATTCGTAGGAAATAAGCTCGCATACCTTCTACTGGGTGGTGTACCAATGACAAACTGAACACTAGGTGGACTAAGGGAACCAATATCAGGGGCATGACTTCTATGAGTATCCACGCTGCGTTTCATACTGATAGGCTGTGAACGAGGAACAACGCTACCTCCAGATCTCGTGTTAGTAGAGGGAGACGATGGCTGTGTGATGCTTCTTTGAGATGGTACAGGGATTGGTTCCGAAATAGGAAGAAAACATGGTCGCGGTGGACTTACCGCTTCTCTACTCGTTTGTTTAATGTACCTGATTAATTAGGAAATAAAATTAACGTCGCGAATATAATTAAGAATTAATCCTGTGAAAGTATTTACTTACTTTACTTGTTGCGTATTAGGATTATTGTCTGTGTCACTGCTGAGATCGCTTGGCACAAGGACAAAGTCATCCTCAGGACTAGAACACGGACTTGTTGTTTCTGGTTCTGATCTTGCAACAACTGCAGCACGTTCCTGAATAACTAACGTTCCCGGAGAAGCGGGAAGTTCAGCTGGAACTGGACTTGGGCTTTCTCTAGTGCCCTGTAGGAAAGGATGCCCAAAGAATTCATCAAAAGGCATGCGATCTCTGGCGTTTCTTCTCAAAAGTCCCATTAAAAGATCAGATAATTCAGGGGAAGTTCCAGCTGGGATTCTGAAATGAAAGTAATTAAAATAAATACAGAACGATTAATCTGTATTACCAATTGGCATTAAGTCATTGACACTAGGCAACGTACTTAGGTCCTAAATTGGCATTTTTCTCATAAAAGAGTTTTAAAGCATGCGGTGTATGAGCTTGAAATGGAGCTTTCCCAGTAAGACACTGAAAGACTATTGTTCCTAAAGACCACAGATCAGCTTTTGCATCGTACTGAAGTGACATTATAACTTCAGGCGCCATGTACATCGGTGATCCACATAATGTCGCAGCCATCACACCATCTTGTAAGAACCTAGCAAAACCAAAATCCGCTGAAACACAGAAAAACGTTCACTTTTACTTGTACTTTGAATATAAACAGTTCAGAACTTCTTCAAAAAACAAAATATATTTATTTCTTCTCGAAATTTTAAATAGATTAGAAAGAAAAATTTATCACCGCTGAACACCTACCAATTTTTAATGTTATTTGATGTGGCTGTGGGCAAGCTTTACCACAATTATGACTCAGTAGAATGTTTTGCGGTTTAAGATCTCTATGAATTACACCTTTGGCGTGCAATGCTTTCATCGCGCCTGCTAACTGCTTCAAAAACACCCTTATAGTATCTTCAGAAAGCGTACCTTTCGCTAATAAAAGTAATGTAAAAGAAAATAATAAGATGAGTTCAAATGACCTTTAACTTTTGCCAATGTTCCAATTAGATATTTCCTTTGTAGAAAACGTACCACTTAAATAGTCAGCTAAGTCCCCTCCATTACAATATTCCATAACCAGGAAGACATTATGATTAGATTCCTAAATAATAAATTGACAAACATATTAAAATACAAATATTACCATAGAATTTTTATATTAAGCATTTATAAGAAGCATTATATTAGTTCACTAACCTTGCAATCCAATAATGCAACAACATTTTCATGATGTAATTCTGTTAGTTCCTAAAATAATAATGTTTTAGTCAGCAATCAAAATCATTAAACGGCTGTTATTAAAACAAGGAAGAAAAATATTACAAATGTATCATCGATGATGTAAATTAATCATAAATGATTCTTTATTAGACAGATAATGATTATTTTCATAATTTATGAAATATAAAAACATTACAATATTTTAGCCAAATTACACACAACAAAAATCATACTACGTTGTCTAAATAAAAAAAGAAATCTTCATATTAAAAACCAAGTAAAAACAATGAATATGTTACACTTGCTGTTTCTCTTCAATTGCAAATACAGAGGTAAAAAATCTATTACATTAACAAACCTTTAATATCTTGATTTCTTTTCCAAGTAAATTCTGTGATTTTGCCAAACTTTTTTTCGTGATACTTTTGATTGCCACTATGAAATTTGGTTTCTATAAAAAAAAAATACGTGTGCATTAATAATATGATTAATGAAAATTCATTGATTCATCGTTGATTCATAACGATCCGATTTTTGATCGAGAAAAACAGACTCACTTTACGATGTCTACCTCTGAAGACTACAGCGAATGCGCCGTGGCCTATCAGGTCTTTCGTGTTGTACTCGTAATCGCCGACGATTTCCATTCTTGATTTTTCACCGATCGAGATGGTTTCACCGATTTTTACCAAGCAAGGTCAAAAGTTTACAAACATAGCATGAGAAGCGAGGAAGATGCATTGCCTGCGGAGAGATCGATAAACGTGGGTTGTAAGAAAAATTGCGGCTCGTAGTATTTTCCACTGCGATCCTTCTTATACTACGACAATGTCTTTAACAATAAGAACAATGTTGGTCTACATTTTGTCCACCTTCGTGAATTCACATTGATCATTAAGTCGTATCACTACATTGATGGCAGAGTATACTTGAAAATACAAAAACACGACAGAGTACACACCGCTTTACACACTTGCCGTCGCAAAATGTCAGATGATCGCGCACAGAGGTCGTGTTAATGTTCATAGGTGCGTAATTACAATGAGGAAGGCCCGTGACTTATCTAAGTTTATTTCATTCTAATCTAAATCTGTACAACATACATATATGCTGAAATAGCTCGATGATATCTACGTACATTTAGGTCTCCTATTATTCCGTAAATTTGATTACAATGAATACTTATGTATTCACGGTACAATGGCTTCTCGATCGATTTCAAAATTTAATGATTAGGAAATCAGAAGTAAAATAAATATGTTAATCTTCGGTCGATGACGCATTTGTTGTCTCCGCTAAATTTCGTAACATTACATTTTCTATCATTATTATTAAAATGCTACACAGTACAATTACATTTAATGCCAATTTATAATTTGAAAATTATATTTAGTATTAATGAAGTAAAGATTATTAAATAAAATGGAAGATTATATATAAGTTTAATTTGTATCATATAGAATCAATGGTGATAAAATTTAAATTTCACGCTTTGGACTGTTATTTTGGTAACCTTGCGCCCTCTATAACGTAGGATTTATAAATCGAACTTTGTATTTATATAAAGAGAATTTGTATCGCATGTATCTTTTGTAATAAATGTTATTTTTACATATCGCAGTTATTAATATTTTAGGAAGCTTTTGTATTTACTACGCGTCAAAATAATTATAGCAAATATGAATACATAACTTTGTACATACTGAGCACAGTCAGTATGATAATCGTGCCTGTAATCACCACTGCTCTTGGTGAAAGGAATTAGAATTAAAAACATTGATTTATTATTTTATGTAATAAAGAAAATAAAATTTCGGTGCTCTTTAATACCCTTACGCGTGTCATATATTATACAAAATATACAACATATATGAATATCGCTCATAAATACTTATATATACATTACGAAAATATAAAACCTTTCTACATTACATAGATATTTTGTATCATATATACAGTATTTTATTGGAATGACTTGCGTGTTTCATTTCATGAAACTTGTTTTAGGTATCCCCAGATGGTGTTTATAATTTTGCTGAAAAATCAGAAAATAATGTTTTTTATTAATAAGAATAGTTATAAATAGATGTATGTAAATAAAAGTTAAAAATTGAATAAATAGTATGTAATTTTAATTTACATTTAAAGATATGATGTAAAACATAAATGCTGAAGTTCTATGAATTTAACTACACTCTTATATGTATAATTGATAAAAGAATTAGCATACTGTACAGGCATTACTTATTTCAGATTTGGTGGACAATTCCTGTTTCTGTGAGAGTGCTTTATCTCTTTCATCCCATAGCGTAAGTCCGTCGCAAGCACAAATTTTTTTCGTATTTTGAAACAAACCAGACGAACGAGCAATAATACCGCAAGCCAGTCTAAACAATATTCATAATGGTAAATACTGTGAATCATTGTTACTACAAATACAATATATTACAAACTTTACCTATTTCCACTGTTTCCATCTATCTTAGACGTTGGACTATCACTTCTACCCAAATCATCTGCTTTTTCTGTTATAACTAGAGATCTTCCAATAATATCAGATATTTTTATGAGCTTGTCTACTTTTCTAAAAGTAGCTCTACCTGATTCATCTACTGCTATATTTCCAAGATCTCCAACATGCTGTAATTAATGAAAATATTCTGTTTTATACATAATAATAGATGTTGTGCCTTGACCATATTGATGTAAGTTTTCATACTTACTCTATTAAGTTCATTATCCTCAGGTCCTCCATGCACTGTACTGTTTGGATTAAAGTGTTCTCCGACACTGAAAATGCAATACAGAATAAGAAAATAAAAAAAATATGTATGTATATACGTATACTTACTTATCACAACCACTGGAGATATCACCACATTCGTGTACATGTATTCCATGTTCACCAGGTGTTAAGCCATCAACTGTTCCATCTATAATGCATCCATCAGGTGTTTGAGCAAACCTTACTACTCCCATTATCTTGTTTCCTATGCTATAACCTGAATTTCCTCCTAACATTGCAACAGCACCCGAATTATCTGCAATAATTAAGTAGTAGAATATCATCATATTTTGTAATATTAAGTAAATCTGTGTATTACCTCCATATCCCTTTAAAACAGCCTTCTTTCCAGATTGTTCAATTTTTTTTTGAATTACAGAATACGGTAAGTCAGTCTCAACTACAATATTTCCTTTTTCTAACGATATATCAATATTTTTAATTCCTTTTACATCCTTTAAACTATTACGAACAGTATCAACGCATTTTTCACAAGTCATGTTAACTGCAAATTCGATCTGAAATCATGATAAACATAATGTTACAATTATAGTAAGATTTTTTATTTATTTTTGCGATTTACCTTTGCTGAAGTCATATTGATAATCCTTTATAATATTTTTGAACTCATAAAAAGAATTAATTTTTCGGTGTCGTGAATTAAAATGAATCAGTGACTAGAGATCCAAAAAGACTGGACTGGACATGCCAACGCTTTCGAGGGATCTTGAATTTGTGCCTCGAGAACGATCGCCATCTGCTCTATTTCTGCATAAAAAAAATGTCTAATGCAGTCTAATGCAAGTTGACGATAACAACAGATTGGTTTGATATATCATCGATATCAGATAGAGACTTTATTATGAAGCATCTGATGTCGTCACACGTTAATTATAAAATAATTGTTTGACAAACTTGTATTTTAAAAAGGCCGCCATAAATTAATTATAAAATTCGATTCCAGCGCCATCTATACAAAAATGGCTGAAACTACTCGACAACTTATCGACTGATCTTTCGGAGTTGTTTTGGTACATTTCAGAGGAACGCTGTAATTTCTTGTATTAAAATGTTAACAACGTATATATATAAAATTTATGTAAAAAATTATGTGTAAATTATTAAAAGAAAAGAGTGGACACACCTAAATGAAAGATGAAGAAAGAAAGAACGGCTGATAATAGCCGACCTTATAAATTATAAGTATTTTCAAGAACTTTATGATGTAAACAAAGATAATTATTTATAGTTGAAGTTCTGAAAATAAAATTTTATGTGGTTCTACTAGTTTTCTTCTATATCATGTTGTTAAGGATATGTAAAAAAGCTTAATATTTTATCATTCATATTCATTTTTAAATTGGCATGTAAGGTTATGTTTACAAAATTTTGTAATTTCATTTTTTGTTACTTAACGTTACTAAATACAAGTTTCCTTAAATAATGAAAGAATGAAATTTTTTATTATATTCATGAATTATATTAGATATTAATTAACATATTCTTCTTATTATACGGCTCATCAAATACTGAGCCTTACAGGTATAAGTTTCCAAAGGAAAAGCATTATTGTAAGTAAATTAACTGGCTGTAATCAATACTTTTATAGCAATTCCTTCATGAGTGTGTATTTTTTGTATAGGGATTTGTAGAATTGACAATAGTTCCATTAAGGGATACATTAAGGCTTGTGAAACTTAACGCAAAGCAGTGTAGAATTTATAGAGTATGTTTAAATGATACTTATGAAGCACCATTTCAATACTTTGACCCATTTTTGGACATTTGCCAAGGAGATGGAAAACAGTAAGTACTTACATGCAAATGGTATATAATGTTATTGTGAACCTGATATAATAAAACACGTTATACTTTTATAGGAGATCATTAGAATTTTTTTCAAATATGCACCTAGCAGCTGCACAGAGGGTTGATCCAGACAATAATGCAGGGGAATTAGTAGTACAAATTCCACCAGATGCAGCACATCTAGTTGCTGAAGGTAGAAGTTTAAGAATTAGCATTGAATTCTCCTTAGAACAACCTCAAGGTGGAGTACACTTTGTTGTACCAAATTGTGAAGGAACATTAGCTGAGGTAAGTTCATTTTATATGTAGGTATTTATTGAATTTAACTGCATAAAAATGTAATTATATTTTATTTTAGAGAGGTGCACACATGTACACGTATAGCTATGAAAATTCTTCGAGATTATGGTTTCCATGCGTTGATAGTTTTGCTGAACCATGCACTTGGAAATTAGAATTCACTGTTGATGATTCTATGACAGCTATATCTTGTGGTGATCTTGTAGAAGTTGTATATACACCAGATATGCGCAGAAAAACGTTTCATTATGTTCTTAATACACCCGCATGTTCACCAAATATTGCACTTGCAGTAGGGTAAGCTAATTGATAACTTCATTTATGTTTATACTGGGCAAAAAAAAGTTTCTTGTGCTTGTATTAATTTAAATGAACACTCTTTTATTTTACAGACCATTTGAAATATTTGTGGACCCATATATGCATGAAGTAACACATTTTTGTCTGCCACAATTGTTACCGTCCCTCAAGGTTTCTGCAAAATATATGCACGAGGCATTTGAATTTTATGAAGAAACCTTGTCAAATAGATATCCTTATTCTTGCTATAAGCAAGTGTTTGTAGATGAATTAGATGAAGATATAAATGCATATGCTACTATGAGTATCTTAAAGTAAGCAAAGTTATTGAATAACATCTGTATTAAATGTTTAAGTAGTTACCCGAATGAAATATTTATTCATTTATAGTACAAATTTATTACATTCTACTGCAATTATTGACCAAGTTTATATTACGAAAAAGGCTATGGCACAAGCTGTGGCAGAACAATTTTTTGGGTGTTTTATATCTATGCAAAATTGGTCTGACACGTGGTTACCTAAAGGTATTTCGACATATCTAACTGGTTTATATGCGAAAAAATGTTTTGGAAATAATGAATATAGAGAATGGGTGCAATCGGTAAAAAAACTTTATCCTGTTTTTACATGTTACTTAATTTTGTATAAATCTTATCTTGTTCATAATTTTAGGAATTACAAGAAGTTGTAAGATACGAAGAACAATTTGGAGGCATCATATTAGATCCTTCGCAACCCCCAGCACCATTACCTATTGCAGCAAATACACCAGCACCAACCCCTAGAGCTCCAGATCCTGGTTTTTATTTTCCAATAAGAAATTTACATACCATGTCCCCAAAGTACATTGAAGTACTTCGTAAAAAAGCGCATTTAGTGATTAGAATGTTAGAACATCGAATTGGGCAAGAATTACTCCTACAGGTACTTATTACTACTATACTTTTTCGCATACACTAAAGTAAATATGTGCCTTCTATTTATTTTGTAGGTTTTCAATAAACAGCTTTCACTTGCAGCTAATGCTGCTCAACAAAAAATTGATTCTGGACTATGGTCTCACATGTTAATTAGTACAAATGTATTTACAAAAGCAATCTTTACAGTAACAGGTAAAGATATGGCAGTTTTTATAGACCAGTGGGTCAGAACAGGTGGACATGCAAAATTTAGTTTAAGTTTTGTATTTAATAGGAAAAGGTAATTATTTAAAGATGTTATCTAACCCAGATCACTAATTAATCTGTAATATATTATGCAGAAATACTGTGGAATTAGAAATTCGACAAGATACTACAAACCAAAGAGGAATTAGAAAATATGTTGGTCCACTTCTAGTTAATATTCAAGAATTAGATGGTACTTTCAAACATACTTTACAAATTGAAGGTACTGTAGCAAAAGCAGACATAACGTGTCATAGTAAAAGTCGTCGAAACAAAAAGAAAAAGATCCCATTATGTACTGGGGAAGAAGTAGACATGGATCTATCTGCTATGGAGTAAATATTGTTTTTTTCACACGTTTTAATTTGAAAATATTTAAATATGAAAATACATTTATTGTATAAACTTTTATTTCATTTATAGTGATTCTCCTGTACTGTGGATAAGATTAGATCCTGATATGACACTTATGCGTGCTGTTCAAATTGAACAACCCGATTATCAATGGCAATATCAGTTAAGACACGAAAGAGATGTCACCGCACAATTAGAAGCTATTGAAGCTTTACAGAATCATGCAACACCTGCTACACGGTTGGCATTGACCGATACCATAGAAAATGAACATTGCTATTACAAAGTTAGATTACGAGCTGCACACTGTTTAACCAAGGTTACATACATTTCAGATATTTTCACTTATTTACATGTATGTAAGTTATTAATAATAAATGTATTGTACAGGTTGCTAATGCAATGGTTGCGACATGGGCCGGTCCACCTGCAATGTTAGCCATATTTAGAAAACTGTTTGGATCAGCTTCGTGCAGACGAATAATCAAACAAAACAATTTTTCAAATTTCCAGCATTATTTTTTACAGAAGGTTAAAATACTACTTCATAAAATAAAGGAAATATTATTTCGTGTTACATATTTTGTATACATTGTTTTATCATTTCAGACTATACCTGTAGCAATGGCAGGTTTACGTAATGCTCATGGTATATGTCCACCAGAAGTTTTAGCTTTTTTAATGGATTTATTTAAGTACAATGATAACAGTAAAAATAGATATTCAGATAATTATTACAGAGCAGCATTGATTGAAGCTCTTGGATCTACTGTTACACCTGTAATTAGTATACAACAAGGGTATGTTAAGCATTAAAAGAAAAAAATGATATTTTGTTTGATGATTTATAATTCTACATTATTTTCAGAACTTCTATTACCGCTGAATCATTATCAATTGACACTAAAGCTATATTGGAAGAAGTTACTAGAAATTTAAATTTAGAAAAATTGTTACCGTGTTACAAATACACAGTTAGCGTTGCTTGCCTAAAGGTCATACGAATTTTACAAAAATTCGGCCATCTTCCAAGTAACCCTCATCTTTTCAGAGCATATGCGGCCTATGGGCAGTTTATCGGTACTTATAATATTATCTGAGATATGTGTTAACGATGTCTGAAATATTCTCGAATTCTTACTATAATTCATTTAGATGTTAGAATTGCGGCATTGGAAGCATTAGTCGATTTTACAAGAGTGGATGGTAAATGGGAAGATTTAGAATTTTTACTCGATATGATAGAAATGGATCCTCATCCTGGAGTTCGACATAGATTAGTGAGACTTATGGTTGAAAATCCACCGTTTGAAAAAGGACATAAGCATCGTTTGGATCGCCCTGAATTCGTTGATCGTATATGGAATTTAATTAAGTATGTCTGATTTTAATCGGTGTGTAATTTAATTCTCCTTATAGAAGCATTTAATGTAAGTTTACTGTTTTAGCGGTATGCTTTCCCATGATCCTAAAATACGATGCGACTTAGTCGATTTATACTATACTTTGTATGGTTCGAAACGACCAGTTTGTCTCCCTATTCCTGAACTTGCTGCTATTACTAAACCAAAAAAAGTAGGACCACCAAGCCCGGAACAAGATGTAAGTTAGAACTATAAAAGTCTTATTTGAAATAATTATAAAATGGAAGATTTATATTCCAGGTGAAACCAAATTTATTACATATAAAACATGAACCACCAGTAATAGAAATTGAAAGTACAAATGTTCCAAATAAAAGGAAACCTTCTCCCAGTAGAGATATTCCTGGCCCCTCGAATTCAGTAGATTATGGTCCAGAAGTGAAACGGCAAAAGCAGGTAATTAATACACATTATTAAGTTGTAATTAAACTATATGTACAAAATATCAGTTTCTTTTAACTTTATATTAAATAGGACGAACGAGCAAATTCCATAGTTAGCGAAGGAAAAGTGAAATCAGAATATTACAGCGATAATTCAGCATCATTGCCTGGTATTATGGGAACTGCAGGACCAGTAGGTTTTGAACCAGGAATGTTTAAAAAGGAAATAGACGAACATAAACAGAAAAGTGATTCTGTCAACAAGGTAATTCAGAATATAAAAATTATTTTCCAGCAATATTTGCGCCTGTATATAAATATTAATGTTCATATTTTTCAGAATAAGAAAAAGAAAAAGGACAAGAAGAAACACAAGCACAAGCATAAACATAAACATGATCATAAACATGGTAAAGATAAAGAGAAAAAAGATAAGGATAAAGATAAAGATAAAGTTAAAGAAAAAGAAAAGGAGAAAGAAAAAGATAAAAGTAAAGATTCTTCTTCCAATCTGAAAATTAAGGAAGAAACTTTAAGCTCAGCAAGTTCCAGTCTTAGTCCAGATGGGACAACAGCAACTAATGAATTTATTTTTCCATAAAAGAAGCACTCAATGATTTATTATAGTCTTAAAAGACTACTACTGTTCATATCTTATATAACTTTTATATAATTTAACATCTACATTCTAATACATAGTGAGCTAGAGCGTTGATCATCAATAAATGTAAATACACATTTTTTTTAAATCTATTAAGGTAAAACATATTTTCTTTTATTTTGTTAAATAATAAAACTAATAGCTTTTACGATACGTTTTATTATTAACTATTTTTGTATAAAAATCACTAATAAATTAAGGAATGTAAATATTGATAAGAAAACTACGGTATGACCTTACGTATTTTGTAAATATGAAAATTATATTTTAAAATATATAACATATAATTTTATCTTCTGTAACATTATTTTACCTTCATATTTTACCTTAATAATGGACTAACACGTACTAATTTTTTGTAAGTACGGTAGAACTTATAAACGTTACGTCGACAGTAGAGACGCGCTCATATTTAAATACTTCCTGCGCATTAAATAGGATGGCGTCTGTGGTGTTGCGGCAATTTCGAAGGGAATAGTGAGTTTTGAAAATTTTGACAACGACCTCGAGAATGGCAGATAATCAACAAAGTCGATTTGAAAAATCTCTTGGTCTGTTAACGACTCGTTTTGTCACTTTATTGCAGAAAGCGAAGGACGGTGTTCTCGATTTAAAAGTCGTAAGTGCTTTCATAAAAGCTCGGATATAAAAAGTTAACCTACTTGCTAGGTTAAGTTATCGCGGGCGTACACGCCATTTCTAGCTTGCGGGAATTTTAAAATAAGTATGACTGAAATCAATATTCCAAATTCTTCGCTGATATATTTTCTTAAAGAGATTACCTCCATCTTGAAAATTATTTTAATTTGACGTTATATGATTGATATGTTATAAAATTTGATATCTCAACGTGTAATCCTACATAACCTACAAAATAGGACGATAACTTAATTGTTTTTGATAACGTATGATAGTAAATTTTTTTTATATTTTAGGCTGCCGATATTTTAGAAGTACGACAAAAAAGACGTATTTATGACATTACCAATGTTCTGGAAGGTATTGGACTCATAGAAAAGAAAAGCAAAAATAGTATCCAATGGAAGTATGTTTTCCTTGTATATAAAAACTTTTATATCTCTCCTACACTGTTTATTTAAATCTTAAAATTCATCTTTGTATTTCTTTTAATAATATGAATTTTATTTTTGTGATATTTTAAATGAATCATTAGAGGGGCAGGCCCAGGATGTAACACTCAAGAAGTTGGTGAAAAATTAACTGATTTAAAAGATGAGATTAGAAAATTAGAAGATCACGAGCAATTATTAGATATGCATACCCAATGGATTCAACAAAGTATAAAAAATATAGAAAATGATTTAATTAATAGGAAATATGCATACATTACGTATGAAGATGTTAAAGAAAATTTTCCTGATGACTTTGTATTAGGAATTCAGGCTCCTCCCGATACAGAATTAAGTGTACCACATGTAATGCAGGTATTACATTCTTTTAAAAGAGTTTATATTTATATTGTACTTCAAATATATGTTATTATATGTTTTTACCATTAGACTCCTGAAGATGAAGACAAAGAAATAAATTATGAAATGTTTCTGAAAAGTACTTCAGGAGAAATTAAGGTATATATGATTCAACCAGAATTAGCTAAAACATATGATAATAAAATATTAGAAATGAGATTACAAGAGGAAACGAAGGGTATAAAAAGAGTAAAAGAAGAAGAAGAAAAGAAAGAAGAAAGTAATGTTAAACCAAAGAGAAGAGTTGGAAGGTAAAATTGAGTTTTTAAATAAAAAGAGATGTTTGCTCTATTCGCATCAAAAATAATAAGACTATATTTTTGACCTGCACAGAGCATAGAGTAATTGATCTTAATTGGGGATAAATAGATATCAAGGAAAAATCTATTTTTTTGGAGTAGATCATACAGTATAATTACATCTCAAATTTTCTGCACATTATATAAATTGACCAAAGTTGAATATTAGTATTTTATAAAATAATCATTAAATTTCAGGCCTCCAAAGGGAGCAAGTAAACCTGATCCTGTTATATCTGACGAAGATGAGGAAGATGATGCAGAGTTAATAGAAGCAAAAATAGTACTTCGTGATGTCAGCACGTCAGGTATGCAATACAAATTCTTAGAATGTTAATATGATAAATAATATTTTATTAACCTTACATGTTATAATTTTAGATATTGCTCAAAAAGACTTAGAGTTACTTGACCAATTTTATTCTGACAGTAAGTATGAGTATTACTAATGAAATCTATAGAGTTGCGCTTACATTTAATTTTCCTTACAGTTTACGGTCCATTAGTAAGATTAAGTCCACCACCCAGTGAAAAAGATTATCACTTCAACCTCAGTGAAAATGAAGGAATTTGTGACTTGTTCGATATTACAGCAAAATGAGTAATAAGCTGTATAGTATAAACAATTGGGTGGTTTACAATTCAGACTGTGCCAACAATGTGTAAAATTGCAAAAAATCTATTGACAATTTCTAAAAGGTTGTTCTGTGTATATAATTTTAAAGAATGGATGTGGATAATAATCATTGAATACATACAGTATTTTTTTATTATTAGAAATAGAAAAATAACACAGAATTATAGGAGAAATGTTTATAACAGTAAATTTTGTTGACTAAAAATTTTAATAGGCTCTTGCAATTTGTAGTACACGATTTATTTCAATCAATTTGTTTGCAAATATTATCTTTCGATGCACGCAAAATGAAATAAAAATGAATTGTTTATTTATAACAATTGCACATAGAGAGACTAATAAGAAGTCAAATATTTTTATGAGTAATGTATTATAAAAAAAAATTAGCATCGTTTAGTTAAACTATATAATCTTTTATAAATGGGTTTGAACAGAATTTGTTTGAAACATAAAATGTAGATCCTGTATAACTGTGGGAATTTGATCTTTTACAATTTATATAACATCGCAAAAATTTATAGGAAATGATCCAAGTACATATAATGTATGTACTTTTAATTTTTTTATAACATGTTTTCCGTGTTATATATGTTACATGTTATATGTTTGTTGCTACAGTGAAGATCATTTAATTAAGTTTGTGAATATTACAATTATTTAAATACAATGAAATTGAATAAAGAAAAGAAACAGAAGCAAACATACCAAGAAAATATACTTTATGAATTTAAGTACTGTTGTTATACGCTGCACAGTTACAAAAGAAAAATTATTTAATTAATGAACGTTTTGTTTCAAACCTTTTTACATCCTGTATAACCTACACCAATTATATTCATTCACCTACACTTTATTCCCGATTCACTGACATTAAATATTACGGTCTGGTTTCTTTGTGTAACATTCTACTGTCAACATGGTCATTTTCTACTCGACGAAAAGACAATGTCTAGTTACTTGCATTATATGTATATCGAACTCAAAAAACTGTCGTAGAAATGCGCGAAATTATCAAGGTCAGATAAGAATGGATCAACTAGTTTCGTCACCTCGTGGTAGTTTAGCGTGTGCTGTCTATAAGTTTCGCCTTCAGCCATTGCCAGTATACGCGTGTTTCCGTAGTAGTGAATCATTTCCAGATGTGTCAACCTTACGTGACTGTTGTTTCTTACATATCCGCGGTGCAGCGAGTTTCCTCGCGTCACGTTCAAACAAACCGCGGTAACATAATCGACAGTTCGTCTCTTTACAAAAAAAAGGTATGATGTATAAAAAAAATGTAAAAATAAAATTAAAGAATCATTAATTATTTTTTGAAAGTGTCATACTACTCTGCGTTGGTAACTGTCATTTACGATATCTTATCAACGTTTTTTAAATTTGCACAACGATTCGAGAAGGATCAAAGTCAATGACAATTTTTTATCGACAAAGGTTTGAGTATACATATTTCATCTTTATATACATAGAAAAAAAGCAACTTCTCTATTTCTGAAACATCGATTGCGCGCTCTCTGTCTGTTGTTTGGCGCGCAGCATCGGTCGTTCTGAAACAATTTGTCACGTGCCACGAGGAAAGAAAAGATGAAGCTTAGAAAATGTTTCCGAATAAAGTAATACGAATATAAATTATATAATGATATAGTACACGCGTACATGCAATACCATTCTATATAATAGCACTAATTTCGATGTTTCAATCAGTCATAAAGTTTGTTTAATTCATTTATACTCTGACTAATAAATTCTCTGATTATTTGTAATTACACTTTCATTTTTAATATTACCCTTTATTAATAATTAATTTATTTTATATTTCAGTGATAATAGTAAAGATGCGTGTTATTTTTGTAAAATTTCGCGAGGTAACGCAAAAATATCCTATTGTAAGAGGGATGGCCTCATACACTATTATATGGCCTACAGGATCTTTAATACAACAAAAAATTATAGGAAACGACGAATTAAATTACATGCAAGCATTGAGATTTAGCTTGTATGGTGGTTTTTTTGTGGCACCAACACTATATTGTTGGCTAAGATGTTCTTCATATTTTTGGCCAAAGTCAGATCTGAAGTCTGCAATTACCAAAGTATACTAAAATTATTTGAAATGATTACAATACATAAAAAAAGAATATTAACATTTATTATTTCATTTTGTAGGCTTTAGTAGAACAAGTTACATACGGTCCTGCTGCAATGTGCTGTTTTTTCTTTGGTATAAACCTCCTTGAAATGAAACCAGTTGCAGAATGTATTGAAGAAGTGAAACACAAATTTTGGCCCACTTATAAGGTAGATGTATAGCAAATGTAAAATATCATTGCAAACGTAGATAACAAAACAAATAATAATTTATTTTCAGGTTGGTGTTTGTGTGTGGCCCATTTTACAAACAATTAATTTTGTTTTGATCCCAGAACATAATCGTGTAGTTTATGTAAGTTTTTGCAGTTTAATTTGGACATCTTTTCTTGCCCACATGAAAGCACTGGAGGCTAAGAAAAATCATGTGGATAAAATAATTAATAATGTACAAATTGCTGAGAATACTCATACTCTTAAGCCTGTTAGTGAAACACAAAGTGAAAATAAAAAAGTGTCCAATATATGATGAAAGTTTATAAGAAACTTTTGTTAGCTAAATTAATTAATTTATAAATATATGTACAAAAAATTGACTACATTACACATAGCAGGACTAATCACAGTATTTGTGATATAGTTTAGAATAAATTTAAAAGTTTAAATATGAAGCTATATATGTGTGAGGTATACATCTGTATTATAGTAAATAGAATGTGAAAATTGTGACTACATAATCGCGAAAGTATGTAAAAAATATTCTTGTTGCTAAGTTTGTAAACCATATTTATTGTGATTTTATTGTTGACAATAATTTATATTTATTGTTAATAAAGGTAAATTATTATTAATCGTTGTTATCTACTTTTCATTTAAATCTTCACAGTTTGTATAATTATTACTATTCATTAATAAATTGTTAATTAGATACTTGTTTTTATATCGATTGTGTATACTAAATTCAATATGGCTGCGCGGTACGTCCAAAGTTCAAATCATTATGAGTTGTCAAATGTAAATCAATTTCTTAAATAAGAATATTTGAGTAAATTATGTTATTTTCATATACATGTTTAAATATATGTGTTATAAAATGTGAAATGTAATCCAGCTACATAAAAATAATCATGTATAATGAGATGAGGTTATGAATACAAAATTTATACGTATTAATTATAGTGACTTGAAATTTTAACAGATCATTTCTTTTTGTTCATTAGTTTCCTAATACTGAGATATGACTCGTTCTTCGGTATCAGCACAATGTGATTTACTTGCATCTTACATGGATGGAGTTCATGTTAAGATTGCAGAGGCTTACAAACCTCCAAGGAAAGTATGTTTACCAGCTGCGTATAATAACAAACTACCGGACGTATCAAAATTAACTTACGATTTTAATTTGGAACGCTCGGTACTTGAAAAGGTTATTGGTATAATTTATATTTAAACACTTGTTCGAGTATTAATTTGCATATTATTTTTAATTCAATTTCATTTGTAGATGACAGAATGGCGTAATATTAGGCAAGCAAATAATGTAGCAAAGAATGCACGATTGGATGAGAAGAGGAAGAAAGAAAAGGAATCTTCACCTCCTCCGCCACCACCATTGCCTGATACTACAAATCATTTACCTGTAAATGCGCCTGTGCCTAAAGCAACAATTCTTACTCCACAGCCTTTATCACCACCAGCTAACGATTTCCAAGATCATGTGAAAACAAACGGTCTTAATTTTGCTGATTTTGATAATGATACAAGCAGTCCATTTGATAATATGGAATTAAAAACAATTAATGATATGGAAGAACTAGCTCAGGTTTGGTAGTACATCTTATAGTTATAATAACTGGATACTAGATGGGAGTTTTAACATGCCTTTTGAATTTATTTTTAGGTATTACAGCCTACATCTCAATGGATACCACCAGCAAAACTAGAAAGTATACTGAATGACTTAACTATTAACAATCAGTCAGAAACTCATATAGAGGAAAAAAATGATAATGTTAAAAGTGAAATAAACGGTCAGGAAGAAGCAAACGAACAAGAAAATGCTAAACACCGGAGTGTATCTACAATTGTGCAAGAACTTCAAAAAGATTTAGAAAGACCAGCTGTGGAGGTAATAACATTGTATGTTCTTTGAAATAAAGTTCTCCTAATTTAAATTTTAAATTGATTATATATGTGACAGGATTGGAAACCATGGCCAAATCTTGAAGGCCCTGATACTAGTTCTCAGGAAACGTTAAAGCATAAAGAGCCCGTAATAAAAAATCAAGTTTTTGTAAATTTACTACTGGACTTAACAGAGGAAGATAAAAAATTAGCTCGTCATTTAAGTGATATGGGATTTCCGTTATCAAGAGCCGCTCGCGCGATACGCGATTTAGGTGGTCAGGATAATAAAAAGATTGTTGAATATTTGCTGGCTGTACAGTCTTTAGAGGAAACGGGAATTTCTGGGGAGGATGCTGAAAAGGCCCTTGCTCTTACCGAGTACAACCAAGAAAAAGCCAAAGCTTATTATGAAAATTTATGTACTCTACGAGATTTAGGTTTCTCGGAAGAAGAAGCATCTGCTGCACTTTTAAAATGTAACATCGATCGTGATAGAGCTTTAGATTTTCTCATTGCTTAAACGCAGAACCTTATAAAAAATAATGGACAAAAATGATTTGAATGAATTTTCTACTGTACAAAAACTATGATTTTAGTTAATGTAAAATTAAAATATCTTAGATTTGCTAAGATATGTTCAAAGTGTTATGAAGAATATCAAAGTTTAACATAATTCGAAAACATTAAATTCTTTTATTTTTATATTCCTATTTACACAATTATTTACTAAATAAGGTACTATTAATTTATACAATACCAGTTATGACTAATCGTCATATTGGAATGTTTAGAAAATTCAGATGCACATCTGTAAAATTGAAATAAATTTTTGATATTATGTACGAACACATAGACAATATTTATCTTACCTTTTACAACAGCATAGTGCAACTGTTGTTATGGACTCCGTACAATAACTTATACCAACAATAACCCAAGCTTCTGTAAAGATTGGTTGCTGGCATGGAGAGTTAACACAAATACTAGTTGGTCCGTTTATTAGCAAGTTATAAAAACCATAATTTATCGAATACATTGGAAAATCAAGTTGATAACAATTACTTATGGCAACTGGTTCATACTGAACATTTATATTTATAGGTGATGTAGATATGTTAAGCGTATGTTTATACCTAAAATTTCGTGATATCTAAGTGACTAACAATATTATACAATTATCAAAACCGTTACGCTATAAAAAGGAATGGTAGCTACCTTTCAGTATAAATTTTTCTCAAAGCCAATTCCCACAGAGAAACAACTGTATTTTCGTACAGATTGTTAACTTTTAAAAGTTGGCGTGGTAATTCAATCATAAAATTGGTATCCCTCCCAGTTATAGTATTTATTTTTATGTTCAATTTTATATTTGTATGTAATACATTGCTTCCACAATATGTTTTAAAGCATCTGTGATTATATATATATATATGTTTATAAATACAGTAATAAACTTTATCTTATGAGAAATTAAAATGAATCCTTCTTTAATTTTAATTCCTATCCTACCTTCAAACATAAACTTACCCATATCCTAAAACAGTTCGTTGGTCATACATAAATGAGTCTTGAACTTGAGAAGTTAATTGATAAAGAAGCGGATATGACAAATAATTCAAGCAGACATTTCCATCGAATCTAATGCAAGGAGATGATACAAATCCGTTTAATGGTAAATACCTTAGCCTATATAAAAATTATTCTTTGTCAATTAGAAGTAATCGGTAATATCAATTAAAGTCATAAATTGTATATATCTGATATAATGACCTGTTAGAACATACAGAAATTACTGATAGTTTTGGTGATAAGGTAAGTCTATTAGGTAGTTCCTTCAAGTGATTATTGTCTGCATTTAATTCTTTTAACTTAGGCAAGGAACCTATCCATTCTGGCAATACAACAAATTTATTACCAGCGATAGATAAAATTTCCAAGTTATGCATTTTGTTCATTTCTACAAAAACAATATCAAGAATCAATTTAAATGTAAGGGTGAATATAATTCTTATGAACTTACCAGTTGGTAATCTATCTATGCAATTTTCATTTAATAATAGAGATTTCAAGTTAATTAAACATCCTATACAGGAAGGTAGTTTTTCCAATTTATTAGAGCTTAAATCAAGGACTGTTAACTGATTCATTTGGCATAGTTCTGAAGGAATTTCTTTGATCATGTTTCCATATAGATATATATTTGTAACATTAAAGAGTTCTATAATCCATGGAGGTAATGTAGTGAGTTTATTCCATTTCAAATATATTTCTTGAATGTGGCTCCCATAGATCCTTATCGCATCAGGGAACTCCATCAGACCTCTACAGTTCCAATGCAATATTACCTTGTTTTTGATTTCGTTCACCATTTCTGCAGAATCTGGGTCCATTTTTAAACAAGTTTAATCAAAATTGTTTTCATATATAAAACTGAAGAAGTAGATTCTGAATTTCTGAGGTTGGCAATCAACCTTCAAGGTATGCTCAAAATAACTTGGCCTGCTTGAAAGATTTGTATTAATAACCTATTATACAGCAATATTATTTTGTATTGTACTTTCTAGTAGTTGTTTTATGTATTTACAGTACATTTTCAACTTTTACAACACACATATATTTGTAGACAGGTATTGAAAAAAAGGATACAACTTTAAATGATATTCATAAACAGTTACCTTTTAACTGTTTACATTAAGATACATATTTGTAACATTAAGCAGATTGTTATGCAGCTAAGATATGGGCAATTAAAACTTTTAATCATTTAACGATGTCTTTCATTCATGTTATTAAAAGAAATAACTGACTCTAATATGTTGCATCATGTACATACTTACTATTTTTCTAATAACGACGAAATAAGATAAACCTTACATGTACGATTATATGCTTTTTCATACATTTTGTTTAATTATATTTTACGAGATACGCAGTTAAGTAAATCTGTTATCAACACAATTAACAACGTATATAATCATCATTAACGTGACAGTATAATGTAAGATATACTTTTATTATTTGATGTATTAAAATAGACTTGTATTTATTTATTTTTTATTTATATATCTTACCGATATGTTGTGGTTTTTAATAATCAATAGACGTAAGTTGGATGGTGACATTATGTATACAAAAATCAGCTGATGTCAAGTTACATCTATGGCTACGGTTTATTATAGTATAGTACGCTGCATGCGCACTGAAGTTCGATTATTATATATATTGTTTTTATAATTTATTAAAAATCAAACAGTTATTGAATGTTATATATGCAATAACAAAAGCTACAACTTTTATAGTTTGTTTTTTGATTTTTAAAGTCTTAAGGAATATCCAAGGTACATGAAGTGAAACAAGTTTGTTAAACAATTATTATAATAATTATTTTAATAAATCATTTAGAATAAGCACAAGGCCGTAAAATTATTAAAATAATTGTTTGACAAACATGTATTTAAAAAGACCGCCTAAAATTAAAATTTTTTAAATTCGATTCTTGCGCCATCTCTGTAAAAATGGCTCAAACTACTCAACAGGTTACCAACCGAGATTCTTAAAGACGGGAACACTAGCGCCATCTATCGGGAAACCGCGCAAACTAGTCGGCAAGTAGCTTCCGAGCTTTCCTGATAGGTGGTGCTGGTGTTCCCTCCTCAAGAATCTCAGTTGGTAACCTGTTGAGTAGTTTGAGACGTTTTTGTAGAGATGGCGCTAGGATCGAATTAAAAAAATTTTAATTTTACGCGGTCTTTTTAAATACATGATTATCAAACAAATACTTTAATAATTTTACGGTTTTGTGCTTATTCTAATTAATTTCTAGAGCTTATTATCTGAAAGCAGAGTGTAAAGGCAGGACTCAGTCAATGATTGCAAGGTTTAGCTGTGACAATGAAGAAAGAGGCAATAGATACTGGAAAAATAAAGAGGATAACGTCTGTAGAATGTGTGGACAAGGACAGGAAACAATAGAACACTTATTATAAGAATATAGGGAAGTGGGAAGGGATAAAAAGCCGAAAGGCATGAAATAAAGTTATCTATCTAATTAATTTCTAAAAAACCGAATTGAAGGGTGTCAAAATCGTATCTTTTGATGTCTATGCGTGCCCCTGTGTACCGTCATTTTTAGTAAATGCCAGAAATGATCTTTCTTATTTCACCGATAATGAGCGTAAAAACTAATTATTTTTATAGTTCTCCTTATTAATACTAGACGGCATTACAGTATAAAATAAGCGCTCCCTTGTGTTGACAATGTCGCCCCTTACTGTGCTCAAACTCTAACCTTATTTTAAACGCAAAGAAACGTTTTTTACATAATGAGGTCATTTTGAACATGTTTTCCTAAAAATTCTTTTATTTCGTGATGTACAATTTGTAATTATTAACATCTGAAAGTGTTTGGTTAATCAGAGGTGCATTGTTTCGTAGGAAATTACATTTTAATTGAACAGGGTTGTGTTGTTTTGATTGCGTGCAGAAGGAAAACCAAACGGTTTCAATAAAATATTATAAGAAGAAGATATTATTTGCCATTGTGTTGATATTTAAAACATAGAACAATGTTTAAGCGTAAATTTGATCAAATAGAAGACAGTAATATTAATAAACCAATAGCGAAAAATTCGTTGGACTCAGACGAAGAAGATGATGATGCTAATGAAGATAATTATAATGTAATGAGCGATAATGAATTCGAAGGTATGTAAAAAATATATAATATGATGATATGATGAGTACGTAACATGATTTTAAATGTTTGCAATTTAATAACCAGGTGTTGAAGATGGGCCAACTGCTCCAGAAGCAACTGTTGGCTTTACGGCATTTAATATGAAAGAAGAATTAGAAGAAGGGCATTTTGATAAACAGGGCCATTACCTTTGGAACAAAGAAAAAGAAATTAGAGATAATTGGTTAGATAACATTGATTGGATGCAGGTTTGTAAACCTGAACGATAGAATGATTATATTCTAATCGTGTCGTTTTGATTTATCCTGATGTTAAATAATTAAAAACAGTAGATGCATATTTATATTTATATCCTTTTTCTTGAGAACTTTTGCATATTGAAATATCAGAATACGTTTTCATACAGCAAACAAATAGAATTATCTGTAAGCCTGCCTTATTTACTCGATGATGCAAAACATTATTAAGGGGTACTCTTGATAGATCAAACCGACTGCTACACCAAGTGTAAAGAAGGCAAGTGAAAGCAATGAAAAACAGGGACTGGCAGATAGCGATAGCGATGATGATGATAATGACGATGATGATGACGATGGTCCAGATATTATGTTTAATCCGCTTCAGATTTACAAACAGATATTGGAGTTTTTACAACCAGGAGAAACAGTTTCCAAGGCTTTATGTAGGCTCGGTAAGTATTTCAATTGATAGAGTTTAATTTAAAAGAATGTATTCCATATAACCATGTTTTACAGGCAAAGGAAAGAAGAGATTAACTACTGCAGAAAGATGGAAAAGAAAACAAGAGAAGAAACCAATTGAAGATGACGAAAATTCTATCAATATAACAAAATTAACAGAACTGGCGAATGAATTGCTAACACGAACCGGAAATATGGATATATATCAAGAAAGTTATGAACAAATTAGGAAAAAAGTAATACATTTCAGCCAGACTAAAATAAATAAAATAAATTAATAAGATAATTAAAAGATATATTTTTACAGGTTGAAATGGGTGAGAAACATGCTCATCCTTCGAAACAGGAAGCAGAATTAGATATGTATGCTGATGACTTTGATGTCAAAGAGAAAGCGAAACTAGATGAAACTGAAAGTAATTATTTCTTTCATACCTTTATTATATTCGTATGTAATCACATGTATCACGTAATGTCTTCTTTTTCTATTGCTTTCTAGGTACTGTTAAAGAAACAGAAAACTCTGAAAAAGATGTAGACAAGGTGGACGAAGTAATGTGGGAATTCAAATGGTCGCAAAACGAAACTGCGGAAATTTATGGTCCGCATACGACCGAACAGATGTACGCGTGGGCGAAAGAGGGATACTTTAAGAACGGAGCTTGGGTTCGAAGAACGGGTCAAAACAGTCAGTTTTACAATGCTGCCAGAGTGGACTTTGAATTATATCTGTGATGTTTCGCTCTAATACGATGAGAGAGCTAGGACTGTCAACTTTGAAATGTAAATTGCTGAATTAGCATTTTCTTTTATTTGAATGCAATCGGAAACAACGTATAATCCTAACAGTAATTAAAGGTTAATATCCTGTTAAACATGTACAATACTGTTACAACGTTTAACGAACAAACATTTTGGTATTTGAAACGATAACGCAATAAATGTCAGAACTAACAATCTTTTTTCTTTCTATTTAAATCGGAGTATCGTCAGTAGTAATACTGAATAACAACTCATTCCACACGCGTCAAATGTATAAAACAAACATTTGTCCGTTCTTAATACATACCGCACAAATAAATGTATTTACGGAATATACTTTATTGTTTTTCTCTCTATATATTTATCTTCATTTTGTACGAAGGTTAAGATGTAAATTTTAAAGACCTCTATCTTGGACGATATATTTCAGACGTTTTTATGGCCGCCTTACTAAAGACCATCCGGTATAGTACTTAAATGAAGGAGAAAAGGCAAACTTACACTTTAGGAACTTCCTGTGCATATTCAATAGGGGCAAGGCTGATAGAATTTATGGTCCTCCCGACGTGGTATTTTTAAATAGAATTTCATCCCTAAAGTAAATCCATTTGAACCGTGCATAAAAACCAGGGCTACCCTTGTTTATTCAGCAGAGTGTAACTCGATGCCCCTTCATTTTCTACAAAATCAAAATAAGAAAACGTCTCTTTTTGTAAGAACACAAAAACATATAAGGTTCCAAAAGGAGCACAGTGAAATGATTTTGTAGGACACAGGGATGAGGGTAGCTAAACAGTCTACAACGTACACTAGCGAAGCAGGATAAAATAAATGGCACGTCACGTCTTTCATCTACGGACAAACAGCGCGTGTGTTACTGAATATACAATATAACTTTATTAGATATCTTAAACATTTTTATTAGCAATGTATGAAATTTCTATACGATTACTTAAAATATTTCGCGTGTACGTAAGTAAATCGTACATACATATGTACCCGTGAGTATGCATGTATACGTATACTACTATGCTAATAGTAGTACGTATACTTCTTACTTTTTATATTATTATTGGTAAATATAAATTCGTATCTCCGCTTCGAAAGGATATAGCAGGACGAGATGGTCCTTGAAACCGATTTTATTGAGCTATGCACCATTTAATAGTTTATAAAAAAAAGTTTGAACCCTGTACCTCAACCGGGAGGGTAGTTAGAGAGTGAAATCGAAAAAACGTTTTTTGCTATATTTCTCTATTTATTGGTATTCAAAAAATCTGAAAAAATTCTAGAATATTCTAGACATGTTTTTTTATGATTGTGAATCATAAAAATGTGCATCCTTAACTACCGGGAGGGTAGTTAGAGGGTAAAATCGAAAAAAACGGTTTTTGCCATATTTTCCCTATTTATTGGTATTCAAAAAATCTGAAAAAATTCTAGAATATTCCAGACATGTTATTTTATGATTGTGAATTTTTTCAGATTTTTTGAATACCAATAAATAGAGAAAATATGGCAAAAACCGTTTTTTCGATTTTACCCTCTAACTACCCTCCCGGTTGAGGTACAGGGTTGAAACTTTTTTTTTTATAAGCTATTAAATGGTGCATAACTCAATAAAATCGGTTTCAAGGGCACTTTTGACCATCTTATCCTGCTATAACCCATTCGACGAAACTTCGAGCGGAGTTTCGAAACGATGGGGTACAAGACAAGGGTCCTTCGTTTCTTATAGCTGAAAAATTTCATCGAACCCTTTTGGTCGTACGTTTGAAAATCGAAAAGATCTAAACACGATCGCGATACATTGTAGAAAATACGAATGCAATTGCACGTGTGCAATGTACCTTTATATTATACCGAACATCGTACAAATGACACGGATCCTATCCGGGCCGCGTGTCTTATCCTCTCCGTTCTGAGATAGGAAAAAATTAGAAAAAAAAAAAAAGAAAAAATACGCTATAGTAATCTATTTCGTTCACTCGAACATTGCCAATTCCATGCTTCTGCGACTTCACGGAATTTCGCCAATCAACGAGATCGCCAACGGGTAACCTCAACTTCTATCTCTATTTAAAAATAAGACAAAATAAAATAAAGAAGAAGAAATAACAAGGCGAAGCGAGAGCGACTGTACATAAAGAACACGCGAAACTATTTACAGGACAAATTGACAATGGAATTGTACAGGTGATACGTTCACGACGAAACAAGGTTACATTTGATCTTTCGTTTTGATTTTAAATCGCTATACAATCAGGAGAACGTACAGGAAACAATCAGATAAGGGCGAAGATAAGGTATTCAACAGTTGAAACATAGTGGATCCGTTTGCAAGCCGGTTTCATAAACGCACGCAAAATACGTAAGGTAAATTAAGGTGCGCATAGTAGCCCTTTACGAATGGTACAATCGGTAATATTGAAAAATGTGAAAACAAGGTATTATTCGCGATATTGTCTTAATTCTAGTCTTAATTAATCTACTAGAGTACTAAGTTGGTTAAAGGTCAGATACACGAGCACGTGGATGAGTTAGCACGGGTGTCCTGGTGATTGAGAAAGCGCCTCTAAAATTCGGTAATCCGTTAATTAATAGATTCTTATAATCCTGATAAATTATTCTAATGGTATTTAAGGATTAACGTAATAAATTAGGCTTAGTCTAACTCCCATTCGTGTTTTTTTTTATGATTAGAAAAATTATCAAGAAATGAAAACAATCGACTAATGCAAAGTTTTGTAAAATTACATTGCTTTGATTTCACAATGAAACTTGGCTCGGTTCTGTTTGAAATTCGCCAGCATATCGTCTGCATTGCAAATCTGAATTGCAGACTTTTCCAAAGGCAACTTATCAACGGTAAACTACAATACTAGGAAACTTTTTCAAACTTGCGCATAGCAGTTTCTTGTTTTTTCTCGTTCGGGAATTACAAGGAGAACCGAGCGCGATTGCTTTCGATTGCTTTCGATTGCTTTCATATAAATTTCAGATACTATTACGAGGAATTGTCAGCGAGGAACTTTTCTCAAGCACGAGGTATCACCGTGCTATCGGTACTCTTTATCAGAGACATTAGCATCGACGAGAACTCGAGCGGAACTCGAGCCCGACACTCGAACGGATCGAGCCACGACGTCGTACTAAACGCTACGCGTGTCTACATAGTTTGTCACAAGAGCAATGAAATTCAGTATTTCGAATGATTTAGAGTGTAAAAAAGACAATGAAATTAATTGATAATTAATTAAATAGGAGAAGTATCAGTATGTGTTATTATACGTCTACTGCAGTTAGCTGAGGCTGCCAACACGTTGAGCCATGGGCCATTACACGTTCCTGAATAATTAAAAGAAAACAATAGAAAAACATTATTTTAAGTAATACTGTTATGGCACACATAATGTAAAATGGTAAATAGAAAGAGCTTAAATACGTCCTGTAACAAATGGCCATTTTCACTGTGGCGTTAAACGTATTAAGGGAAGTCTGACCATAGATGATTTCTTTCACTGCCACAGCGACAGTTATAATTTTGAATAATAATCTCGTTGAACGCCATGGGGGTCACCGGTGACCGACACCAGAAGTGACACGTGCCTGAATAATTAAAAGAAAGCAATAGAAAAACATTATTTTAAAATGATAGTAAAATGGTAAATAGAAAGCTTAAAATTTGAAATTTTAAAATTAACTATTTCTATTCTTAATAATTAGAGCTTAAATACATCCTATAACAAATGGCCATTTTCACTGTGACATTCAACGTGTTAAGGGATGTCTGACCATACATGATTTCTATCACTGCTACACCCACAGTTATAATTTTGAATAATAATCTTCCAAGGATGAGCTCCTCAACAAAGTACCATTTTACGGAAATTCGGAATTTCGTTGCACTGTGGTGACAGACTACGCGGATATTCGATTTACGAATCTGAAGATCGTCATTGTATTCTCGTATCGTTGTTATGAAACCGGCGGAGACATTATCGTAGACAGAGAGACAGGGATGACAAACACCAAAACACAACGGACACTAAAGACGGACGTTTACGCGCACGAGGAACGTGATGCGCATTCGACATTGCGCGCTTTTTCTTTTTCATTTTTTTTTTTTCTTTTCTCTCGTTTTTTCTTTTCTCTATGTACATACAAAAATAGCCGTCGATGGGGCGTGCCTCTCGAGCGCATCGAGGATGCCCGGACGCTAAACCGGAAAAAGAGGGATGCAGCGACGAAGAAGGGAAGAGGAAACGGACAGGGAGAAGCTGGTGCGCCTGTTTCTCGCGCGATCCGGCCTTACCGCCGCTCCACCCCAGCCACCCTCTTTTTCATCTTCCTCTTCTTCGTTCTTCAGACCGAGATCCGTGTAGCATGACTAACTACCATGACTAACGAGCCGGGCGAAATGCCACCGTGGAATCTTGGCTAACCGACCGGCAAGGTGGGACCAATGAAACCATTCCAACTCTAATATTTTCCTCTGTCAGTAGGCTGGTCCGATTCTAATATTTCTTCCCTCTTTTTTTTTTTGAATTAACCTTCGATCTCTATTTTTCTATTTAAGACTCCGAGAATTCCCTATTTTCCTTAGGGAACTCTGATTTGATCACGTGTGTACAGATTTTTTCGAAAGATAAGATTAATTTTATGTGGAATTTTAATTGGTTTATTTATTTATTTAAATACTAATAAAAATGTATGTACTCGGAGGTGACCCGAAATCAGAGCAGTCTAAAATCACCGATATTGACTGTGGATAAAATTGAACTGTTACAGAAATAAACAAACAATCTTCCTGTATATTTAAACGCGATCTTTCGAAAGCATCGTTACGTATAAATCTGATTTCGCGTTAGATTTAGAACGTGGAAAATTAAAGGAAAAATCGGGGTGTAACCGGGATTGCCGGTAAAAGTTTGCAATCTGTTCGTGACAAGAGATCGGTCGCGGGTTCACGGTGATATCGGAACTCGGAAAGTTCGTCCGACGAACGGCCAGAAGGTCCGGAAGAATTGATGGCGAAGCATCTGGGTCAGTGGGAGCAGATCGCGAAAAACTACGGCACGGTTGTTTTCACCCTCGATCGGCTGCTCCGGGGGAAATTAATTTTTCACAACTGTCTGCTCCCTGGCAGACTCGTCGAGGGACAACGGTTCCGAAAGAAATACCGAATCCAACCTGACTGATCTCCTCCCGATCACGTTCTTACAGGTGGTACAAATGTTTCAACCCTAGTTTGGCCACTTTAATCCTTCCTGACGGTTATTGGAGCGTTTTTCGATCAGGGGGATCGTTCGAATTTCAAACCCGGAATTCGAGACCTACATTTCACTGGAACACCTTGGTTCTCTTAGATTTTTCAATTTATAAATAGAACTTTGATTTGAAAGAAAATTGATGGCTCTTCATTGTTATTACAGTGGCTGATCAAATTATTAGAGCCACTCGTATAAATTGATGATTTTACATAAATATTATTAATTCTTAAATGAAAACCTAGTTAACACTTTGAGCCCCACGTCACTCATACATATATGGGTGACGCTTGAATTTCAATAGGAATCTATTACTCATACTATTAGAAATTCTTTGACTTATTTAATTCGAAATACTTGTATTAGATACTTGAAATTGTGGATAAAAATATAATGAAATATTTTAAAGATGATGTACATAAGATTTGTGAAGACAAAAGTAGGTAACACTTGATGGAATTTTCAATGCGTGCCAGTCAAAGTGTTAAACACAGTTTTTGTTATTTTTTTATGATGCATTGATACTTGTAAAATTATGATACACAGTTTAAAAAAGTGAGTTTTTGCGGACCTCAACTCCATCGAAAATTTGTGGAAATATTTATTATTAGTAATAAATGTGAATTGATTGAACGTTTGATAGAAGTATTGGCCAGGAATAAAGCAATCAAAATAAATTGCTTAAAATGCATCGAAAGTATGCCGGAAAGAATTGAGAAAACATTTAAATGTATTTATTTATTTTTATAAAGTATTCTTTTGTATATTAATAAAATTGTGGCTCTATTTCTCCAAAAACACGAAAAACCCATTTTTCATACCGTGGCTCTAATAATTTGATCACTGTAAGTCGACTTTCAAGGAGGTATGAATAATCTAACGTTGACTACAAATAAGTAAGGATGACCTGGTACCCGAAAATTTGGGTCACGCTCGGTTCCGGAAACTTTCGGGTACCCGCGCGCACCCGAATAAATAACTTGATAAACATCCTGCAGATCGGGTATCGATCTTCGAGCGAGGGGTGCGGGTAATTGAAAGCCTATTTAACCGGTCGAGGGGTAATATTTCGGGAAAGGTGTTCGATGAAATTATTATTCGTAGCTCGAAACCGACGATTCTCGATCGTCTCGAATCGCTGGTCGGAGGTTTACCGTGGCGAATCGAATATTTAACTTTCGAACTTTCCCCGGGAGGAGGGCACCGCGTCGGGAGACTTTAATCAGCGGGAATTCGATATTCCATTAAAATTTCTAGACGCGTTGCGTTTCGAGGAGCCGCTCCACGACGGCGAAACTTACACACTGAGGCGAGTTTTCCGTGCTTCGTACCCGCGAGTTCGTGTAATGATTCCTCGTTTCGTTGACGCGTGACATTCGCAGACGACGTAGCCATAAGTAAGGGAGAATTTCAGTAGGCGAATTCGGGGGTACGATCGCTTCCGGTGATGTTTCGTGATGGATACGTAACGCATCTTATTCTTGACGCGTATCGAGTATATTTCGTTTCTTTTCTCAGTTTTCGTATTCAAAACGTAACATCTTTTCTTCAAACTTAACATCATAAATTAATAAATAAATATATATATATGTATATTTATATATATATATATACAGTGAGTGTAAAAAGTGTTTGGATAAAGTTTAATATAGAATACCTGATTTAAAATTGGACCAAATGATTGGAGGTTCTTTGAGAAGTTATATAAATTAATTTACTAAGATATGTGCTTTTGTTGTTTTAAAAAATTACAATTTGTTGAAATCGTTAAAAAATCACGACTTTTTATCTAAGAACATAATAATGATTAAATAATATTCTAATTCTTTTTAAACAAATTATTCCAATTTAATTTAATTTCAATATTAATATTTTAAATTTAAATTTCAAAAACACATGTTTAGATGAAAAGTCTTACACATTTTTAGATGAAATTTTAATTACTTGTAATTTCTAAGTGCATTGACCGATCTCGATGAAATTTTCATTATAGGCTCACATAAAAAAGATGAAAAATTATCCTCCACTATTTCACGCTTTCAACAAATTATAATTTTTTAAACCGACAAAAGCACATATCTTAGTATAATTACTATAAATTCTCAAGAAACCTCAAGTGATTTAGTCGAATTTTAAACGAGGTATTCTTTCTTAAACGGTGTCCAAACACCTTTTACGCTCACTGTACATGTACGCTTACGTTTGTATAAACGCGTAATCTCGTCCTTAAATATACTCAGTGTCTAAGTGTGTCCCTAAGAGTAAAGGTCGCGCCTATTATTGCTTCAATTTACAACGATCCTGAAGACGGTTCTCTTCTGTCGACGTCGACAAGCAGACAAAGTAAAAACAGAAGAAAAGAAGAGGGACCGTCTAATTACGAATCCTAACGTGTCTTTTGCTCCCTTCAGGTGTGTACCAATGTGTCCGGCGTGTTTAACAAGAGAGAAAAAAAAGAAAAAGGTAGAAACGCGTGAACCACGTATTTTCCATTCCCTCCTTTCAGCTCGTTTCTCGTAGAAATCATTGCTCGAGGTAGCCAAAGCGTTTCGCAAAAATCTTCAAGATCCTTCAGCCTACCTAAACGCGGACTTTCCCGAAGTAGAAACGAAAAGGAAAGAGGAGATACCTGGACAAAGACGCGATAATTGTAGGTGTACTGGGAGAGACAGATGGAGAGGGATGTTAGAAATTGAGGGATAGAGGGAAATGGGAAGAGTAATCTTGGGATGCTGGCAGTGTAGGAGGATTTAAACGGACTAACGAGACGCTGCTTTGATTTGATTTGTCACTACGTTTAAACGCGAAATGAACACCGCCCGCCTTGAAACACGGCGCGCAGCATTTGCACTGAACCAACGGAATCCGACGCAATCCGTGAAAATAAATACGTTCCTCGAGCCTGGCCGGCTAGAACCGGCAACGGTTTACGCGCCGTACCCTGAATTTACATTCCGAATCAGATTGCGTTCCCTCAGCGAAAATGCATTCTGCTTCTCCAGCGTCGCAACTATCTCGGAAGACATTTCATTTTCAACTCTGTCCACCGGTTGATCCTGGCTTCCTCCGCCATTCACCGCGTGGACGATAACCACTGTTCTGTGTACCGTCACGATTCGAATCTACGAATCTAAAACTGTTCAAAGCCAGTGATTCTAGCAGACCGTACAATGGACGACGGTTCGTCGATACTTTCGGTAACCGAAGGATTACCGTACCACGTGTCGGCGTTAGAAGATCCCGAACCCTATCGAGGGTACGGGCATCTATTGGGAAAGAATCTTGATGGAAAATTGAGTTCGACGGTTCAAACGAACACGACGTGAGGCTTCTGCGGAAGCGGTGGCTCGTACTCGTAATCGTACTCGTAGTCGTAACCGTAGTCCAGACGGTTCGATCTGGGCGCAGTCGGTGTCTGCATTCGATAAAGCGACAGCACTTCCGGTTGTTCGTCGCGGAGATCGGTCACGTCGGCCACCGCGTACACACCCTCTTCCGTTTGCCTGGCATACGGTTCCGTGGCTCCTTCCCGTCGATTGGTCCTAACGTGCCTAGGTGTTTCGTAAATGTTCGTGTCTTGCGACTGAGGGCTACGTTGTCCGGCCTTTCCTCGAGGTGTGTCGTAAGACGTGTCCTCGTTCCTGGCCAACAGTCTTCTGCTGTACGACTCGGCGTTCTTGTCCAGCTCGTCGTTGTTCCTTCCCACGTAGACGAGAAACTCCGGTCGGTTGGGCGCGGCGTACGCCAGACGTTTCTTCCTCTTTGATCGTGTCAGATGAGCTATCACCGCCAGGATGGTCGCCGTCGCGGCTAGACAACCGGCAGCCGACAACGACAGATAGAGTGGGCTCAGTCGGCAACGCAAAGAACCCTCCGACAGAGCGATCAACGCTTTGCCGGAGAATTCCTCGTCGGTACAGATAATATCGCGGCTATCTAACTCCAGTCTCGACTCGTTCCGTCGTTCTTCCGCCCTGATAACGTTCCACAGCCAATGCACCGAGCAATTGCAGACCAGGGGATTGCCGCCTACGCGAAGGGACGACAAACCGTCAACTGGGAATTGGGTGGGTTGCAGGGTCGACAGGCTGCAACGACGCAGCGAGACCCATTTCAGATATCTCGCGCTGTAAAGAACCCTGGCTGGTAGCTCCTTTAACCCTCGATTACCGTCCAACGAGATTCGTTCAAGATTCACATTGTCGGCGAACGCTCTGGCGTGAACGCTAACGATCGTACAGTCGTTTAACTCGAGGCTCCTTAGCTCGAACAGATTACGGAATCCTACGGGGCCCAGGTTGCCGAGAGGATTCCGACTTAGGATCAGGTTCGATAGAACGTTTAGCCTTGCCAACGCGGACGTGGGCACGGAGGTCAGGTTGTTGCCGGACAGGTCCAGGTGCAGCAGGTCCGGTAGACGATCGAACGCGTCGTCAGCGATATTCCTGATAACGTTGTTCGCGAGATCTAACGAGACTAACGACGGCAATGACGGCAACGAATCCCTGTCCAACTCCTGTATCAGATTGTCCGAGAGATCAACCTTCTCCAGACTGGGCGCCAACGCCAAGTTCGCGGTTGGTATTTCCAATAGCGAGTTCCTCTTCAAGATCAACGTACGAATCTTGTGTAGGTTCTTCAACAGTCCTTCCGGCAAGCTAGTGATCGAGTTGTCGCAGAGATTTAGTATCTCCAATTCGCTGGTACTCTTGAATGCTTGCTCGTCCATATCGGAAATATTATTGCTCGATAGATTCAACTCCTTCAACGAGTCCAATCCTTGCAACGAATTCTTTGCTAATGCCCTCACGGCGTTATTGCTTACGTTCAACGTGATCAGCCCCTTTTGGAAGACGAAATTGTCCGAACCGAGAGTGTGAATTGCGTTCGAGGTTAGATCAAGTGTCTCCAGGTTACCGTAGAACCCGAACGATAGGTGAATATTCCCGACACGATTGTTCGACAGATCCAAGTGTTTGATTTCCGGATTCAGCTGGATCGGAACGACCTCGAGTCCCGCGTAAGCGCAGGACGCTCGCAAACTCTCGTCGTCGCAACGACATTGGGTCGGGCAAAGACCGTTTGCCATCACTGACATCGCGACGGCCATCGCTATCGCGATTGGCAACGTCGTCGTCGACGGTCCACGTGATGCCATTCCATATGAACCCCTCCTCGACTGGAACTGCCCTGTAACAGCATACAGATACCATTTAATACTGCTCCTTACATGTACCTGCTTCCTACAATTTTACAGACTACGCTGGTGGAATTAATTCTGGACAATTTGAATAAAAATATTCTTTATTCTGCTATGATAAATTGATACTTAATATTTTCACATGATTTCGTTTGTAAATGTTTGAAAATTTTTATTTAAAAGAATCTAAACTGAATGTGTTGAAATTGTATATTAAATTTATTGTATATTAAAAGTATAATATACGCCCTAAAATTAGAAAACAATTTGAATACGAAATTTTAGTAAAAATTTAAAAGTGTCCAGAATTAATTCCACTAATGCACATCAGCTTTCTGGTATATTTTAAAAACATAAAGTCTAACATGATTTCAAAGTTTTTCAAGTTACCCTTTTCAATTTCCAACAACCCAATAATTTGAACTTTAACCATCGGGTACGTCTCGTTAAATTTTTACCCATCCGTTTCGATCTCACCGTCTATAGACACATCTATCAATAATATCAAGCTAATCCGACAACGAATTGTTTATTTGACGTCCAATTCGTGATTTATCGAACGATTGCGCAGATGCGACGAATTCTCTGGTTATAAATAAAAGTGATAAATAGAGGATTTCGTGTAACTGATGGTACACTCGCAATCGAAACGATAATAAAATGAAAATGATAGGAAATTATAATTGGGAGTCTCTCCATGGTCCGCCGTGCTATGGTTCACTCGAACGTCCATCAAAGCATTTTCCTGAACTATCGGAAACAAACCACGTTATATACATACGTGTTATCTAGCACCTTTTATAAAATGCACCGAACAACATGTCATTGGTCCAATGCCAGAAGGCCGTGACACGTTACAGTAGACGACAGGAGGCGAAGCAAACCCAACCCCTAAGTCCGCAAAAGTTTCAAGTTACCCGACCACTCAACTTTTCTATAGCCACCGCTGTTTCCTATAATACTTTTCTACTTTTCCTCCACGCGTACGGATAAAGGCGTTTTCCTGCTTATGTTTCAACCATACTCGGTTAACTTCAACCACCCCCAAGCTATAGGAAGCGGTGCCGTTCGGTCGAGCGGCCGCTTTAATATTGAATAGAAACCTATAACCTTTAATGGTCGCGTATAAGTTGGACACTTAAAATAACTTTTTCTTTTTTCCCTCCTCCACCATTGGCCGAGACTACGGACGGCATCGGGAACCTTCTTCCCTCCGATCGGCCAACGATCGTTGTAATTATGTAAACGATACGTACCTGGCGTAAGGTAACCGGACGAAACAGTTTCGCGAAATAAAAACGTCGACCGGCAAAGGAAGCTTTGTAAAGCTATCTAAACCCGCGAAAGCGTAACCACCCTTCACGTTCCAACGGTTTTGCTGCACAAACTCCGATGCAGCCATCGGGGTTTATTTACGGACACCTGACGCCGTTCAATTCTGCGTTCAAATTTTGCCACCGAGCCAGAGGATGCATCCGGCAGCCAACACTGCACTTTCTGTGTCAAACTTTCTTACCCTTTTTGGTTTTTTCTCTCCGCGGGAGAGGAAGGAACAACGATATAATCGGGGGAATAGTTTGAAAAACGAATCGTGCGCGGCTTGTTGCCGCACTCGAAAATTAACAGGCCGATAAAAAGCTTTATTCCAACGTGGTATTTGTTGCAACGGCACACTGGGAATTCGCTCGAGTTCGTTCGATCGAGCGTGCCTTTTTTTTTTACGTCGTCTCGCAGGAATGAAATAATTTCAATTTCGTAACCAGTCTTCTGGCGGTGGTGCACGAACTGCAGAAATTACTTTATGGCGGGGGCCATAAAGGGCCCGCACGAAGGTCGTGCAACCTGGTAGTATACAGAGCTCTGGACAGAGCTTTACGGAGACGAAAAATAATTTCACATTAATATGTTTTGAATGACTAAGGCGATTCAGCCCTTTTTCATTAGTACTTTTTCGCTGAACAACCTAATCACTGCCGGTTTTAGCAATATTGGCGCCCATTAAAACATATATATAAGTATAGGTAGAAAAACGCGTCAGGGAAGATGTAGACATAAATGCCGCAGCATATATAGCATATATGTAATATTACATATGAGATGTAGATAGAGAGAAGAGACTATACTAAGGATACCGGGCTGAGGCGCCCCCTATAGATCTAGCGCCCTCGACGATTACCCCCTCCCCAACGCCGGTACTAAACCTAACCTAACCTAACCTAACCAAACCTTTTTCTATTTAATCAAAACTAAAAGAAAGCTCCCGCTGTTGATCGAACGGGTTAAAGGTTGTACCGTGTAATCCGCGCAGGAGCCTAGCTTTCGTGCGGGCCCTTTATGGCCCAACCATAAACTCCCATAAAGTAATTTGTGCAATTCGAGGCCCATCCTTCTAGCAAGCGTTCCAGAACCATTGGACGTTCCTTGGAAAATGCTCGTCTCGGTAAGTGCTGGCGGTGGCCGGTAATTTTTCACGTCCCTTTTTCTGCGTTTTGCCCTGCTGGAATAACGAATGGCGCTGATCTCGGTGTCGTGTATAATGCACAGATTTACAGCATTCCTCTATCCGACAGAGCTACGCGCCCCTAGCTTCTTCGCGAGAAAAAAAGAAATACATAGGGACATTAACATCCAAGGCATGTAATATCTCGTGGACGGCAGGTCGAACGTTATTTTCTCCGAGAAATCGGTCCTCCTATGTTTTTCCATTTCTTTTCACCCTTACCCGGTTTCTGACGAGTCTGAAGTAGACGTCGGATTTTAGGGTGGAAGACGAGCCAGGATACGAAAGTCGCGAAGAAGAGGGTGAAATAGGAGGATCAAGGGAATCGTGATTACCTACGAAATTCGGGGGGGTTTCTGGGCATCGCTATAAGCGACATCAGCCTGATAAACAACACTTGTCTACGAGCAGAGAACGATAAGGGCGAAAGGGCGGTCGTATTAGCCGAAACGATCGCCGGCAGGGAAAATATTTGTGTTAGATGCTTCCGTGAAATTAGGTCGGTATTACATGGCTTTCACCGAGACACTGAAGCTTGTTTATTGCCTTTTATTGCTTGATTCGATTACCTTCCAACTATCCTTTGCTTCGTGCTATTCTTATATCAAATATCTCCCGGTTCAGATTGTCTCCGATAGAATTGCGGCGCAAGAAGCCCAGAATCTTAAATAATCTATGTACAATAAAAAATATTTACTTATTATTAAGATTTAATATTTATACTATAGTCGCAGAGAAAGGTAACTTAATTGGTAACTTTTTTATATTTATATAATAAAAAAAGAAGAAAATTATCTTCTTATAATTTAAATTATAGCATAATTTATAAATTTTTAAAAGAATATCAAGGAAGAAATTTTAAATTTTAGTAAAATGAATTTTAATTATCAGCCTGAAATTGTTTCTACGTTATAAGATTAATTTTGATTGGATCGCGAAAATTCGTCGAAACTATCCCACGTTTTCCAGCTTCTGGCGAAGTTTTATAAACCATTCTAAGCAATCCGATGTTTGCCTAAAGTTATACCGAATTATGTCGTGCGAACTCGACAACTGTAACAGCCAAGTTTCACACGTGCTAGGTCGGTGCGGTGGCAATCTGTTCGTTTTGTAAAACTAGCTACCGAGGTGATTTATCTTTGACGAACGGAGATTACCGCGATTAAACGTAGCGTTTATCTTCGTTCCGGCAAAAAAGATGATTAAACACGACTCCGGATTTCGGGGATAGAAAAACTAATCGGTGTCTAAATCGTACTCGGGTATTACGGGATAATCTATCGATTAAATAAAAATTAATGATATTTGTTCGATGGAAATTTCCCTCGTTCCAAGTTTGAACAGCATTGTAATGAAACAATTAAACCGTCGCTCGGTGAGCTCTTTCCAAAGGGTTGATTTTCAATGTCCAATCGATGGATTAAAGATCGATGAACGGATAATAAGCTGTGGATATCGTCAAAGCGAATACGTTCGAATACGCCCCCATTTCCCGTCTGTTTTGTTACATTTCATTGTTCCTCTTCCAGTCTGGTGACACTGGTATTACACATAAATTATTCGCTCGTCTCTGTCGGCTGGTGGTTCGCGATATCCCGAGATTTTCTCTGCCCCGACGTTTAACGATAAAAGAGAAAATAAATAATAAAACGACGGAGATTTTCTTATCTGGCACGGATGACGAAATTTGTCCCGGGCATGCATAATACATGCGGAAATGGCATCGAACGAGGTTGACTAGGCCGTTTCTGACTTCTTGTCTATAATGGAATCTGCACGGGCCTGGCCAATTTCGGGGATGGTATAAAGCAAAGAAACCCGTGGGTAACGTATAACAGGCCAAGTCATTCAATTTACAGGATCCCCTTTTCCGTTTCCAACTCATCTCGTTTCAGCCCCGACGGCTCCGAAACTGAACTGAAGATGAGCCAAACTCCTACCAGACTTGGCTAACCACGAACGGTGCACCCTTTTAGCGATGGCTACGATCTACACGTGTATACTTCCACTAGGGAACGGGGGGAAAAACAGCGATACAAGGGAAAGAGGAATTCTGAAAATCTTCGTTTCTACAGAATTAACATCCCGTTTGGTTATGACATCGCGTTTCAATCAACTCGGACAAGTGAAAAGCAATCTGACAGATTCATCAAGAGAGAATTAAATGAATTTAAATCATCCATTGTAGTTTTACAGACGAGGGCAAAAATAAGTGGACACTGTTCGAAATAGAATATCACGGTTAAAATTGGACGGTTTGAAAAGCTATACAAATTAATTCACTAAAATATGTATTTTCATCGGTTTAAAAAATTACAATTTGTTGAAATCAATTCAACTTTTTTATGCGAGTCTATAATGAAAATTTAAAATATGTCCTACGTAGATTCAAATAAGTTATGTGTATGCTGAAAATTTCATCGAGATTGGTCAACGCATTTAAAAGTTATAAATAATTAAAAGTCGTGATTTATTTTTTCCATTTATTTT